TCAGTGGTAGAGCGCTTGCCTTGCATGCCTGAGGCCCTGGGTTCAATTCCTCAGCACCACATAAGAAAAAAGCCAGGCCGGGCGCCGGTGGCTCACGCCTGTCATCCTAGCTACTCAGGAGGCTGAGATCTGAGGATCGTGGTTCAAAGTCAGCCCGGGCAGGAAAGACTGTGAGACTCCTATCTCTAATAAACCACCAGAAAACCGGAAGTGGCACTGTAGCTCAAGTGGTAGAGCGCTCACCTTGAGCTGAAGAGCTGAGGGACAGCGCCCAGGCCCAGAGTTCAAGCCCCACGACTGACAAAAAAAAAAAGAAAAAAGCCAGAAGTGACACTGTGGCTCAAGTAGTAGAGCACTGGCCTTGAGCTGAAGAGCTGAGGGGCAGCGCCCAGGCCCAGAGTTCAGGCCCCACGACCAGACCCGAGGAAAAAAAAAAAAAAGTAAAAAAGAAACCAGTGAGCTGGGCTCCAGTGGCTCAGACCTATAATCCTAGCTACTCAGGAGGCTGAGATCTGAGGATCACAGTTCAAAGCCAGCCCGGACAGGAAAAGTCTGTGAGACTCTCCAATAAACCACTGGAAAACCGGGAGTGGCACTGTGGCTTAAGTGGTAGAGCTTTCACCTTGAACTGAAGAGCTGAGGGACAGCGCCCAGGCCCAGAGTTCAAGCCCCACAACCAACCAAAAAGAAAGAAACCAGTGATGGCTCTTCAGGCAGGTGTAGTTCAAATGAGACCCTGTTGGGTACAGCTATAATCCTGGCTACTCAGGACCACAGCCTGAGGATGTGGGTTTGAAGCCAGCTCACTGGGTGAGCAAATGCATAAAACTCAGTTAGCCAGCAAAACACTGGGAATGGAGATAGGACAGAAGCAGTAGAGCACCAGATGTGAGCTGGAAAACTGAGCACGAGTGTAGCCTTTAGTTCAAGCCTCAGTGCTGGCACACACAAAATGAGACCCTACCCAAAAAAAGGACTGGAGGTGGGGATTCAGCGTCTAGCAAGCACAAGACCTTGAGTTCAAACCCAGCGTCACCAAAAGGACGTGCTGGGAGCTGGAGGCCGTGTGTGAGCGCTGGGACGTGCACTGAGTGCGGGGTCGGCGTTGCTGGCTGGGATGTCCCAACCTAAGAGCAGGGCGTGGTGCTCGGGACTGGATCTGTAGAGCAGTCCTCCCACCCAGGGCCAGGGGTGCACTTCCCGTGTCGGGGCACCTGGGGCATCACACAGCCCTACACTGAGCCCCATGCCAAGCCGGAGCCTCGGCTCACCGTGTGTGTCATAGCCAGGAAGGTGTCTGCAGGTATTAGAGGCAGGGGGGCGAGGTGGGTGGCATTTTCTGGGAAGTGTGTTGGGGGCTGAACCTGGGGGTGTGTGCGTGCGTGTGTGTCGAGCGCTCAACTTCCTCCCTGGCCCCACTTCAGGCTAGCTTCCTGGGCTGCCTTTAGGCTTGCGCTGGGTATAGCTACATGTCTGACGGTGTAGACGTTGCTGGTGAGCGTAGTCTCCTGAGCCTGAGTTGCCCGGTGGGTGGGGCCCGTTCCGGCAGATTTCCCGTTGTGTCCAGTGCCTCAGCGCTGGACAGCGTCCTCAGCCTGCCTGCTGGAGAGGTCGCGGTGAGGCCCCAGGGCTCGCCCCGACCTTGCCTTGTGGGCTTTTCTGGCTGCCCAAAGTTCCTACATGGAGCAGAGTCCTGAGAGAATGCTTAGCCGTGTCCATGCTCTTGCTCTGGAAAGATGCCGGCTTGCCTTCCCGCCCCTCAAGGTGCTGGCGGCCTCCAGGGGCGTGGCCCGGGAAAGGGGACGAGCAGCCGGCTCCAAAAGCGTGTGCTTTCTCCCCTGCCTCCAGGTAAATTTGAGCCACCACTGTTTCACCCAAATGTGTACCCCTCCGGTACAGTGTGCCTGTCCATCCTGGAGGAAGACAAGGACTGGAGGCCCGCCATCACGATCAAGCAGGTACCCAAGGCCTCGCCGGGCTGCTGGGCCGCGGCTGCCTTCCCAGCCGCTGAGCCCGGCCGTGTTTTCTCCTTGTCTCACACAGATCTTATTAGGAATACAGGAACTTCTAAATGAACCAAATATCCAAGACCCAGCTCAAGCAGAAGCCTACACAATTTACTGGTTAGTAGTGCCTGCTGCTGGCCACACGCCCCCCGAAGTGCAGCCTGGGCCACCTGCGGCCGTGCAGCGCTGGGGCCGTGTGGGGCCGTGCAGGACGGGGTGTGGAAGGCTGGGGTGGGGCAGCGTGTGGCCAGTCTGGTGGCCAGAGAGGGAAGGGCTTGCACAGAGGCACACAGCCCACTTGGCACGGCGCCAAACAGGGTTTGAGGCCCACACCGTGCTGTCTGTCGTGGGGCTCCTGCGCCCCGCCCGCCCCTGTGGACCCCATGGGTCTGTCTGGGTGTGAGGGACCGCTACACGCCACGCCTCTGCTGCCTTGGTCCCTCCCCATTGCTCCCTGTGGCCGACACTACCCCTCCCGTGTGGCTTCCCACGGGAGGAGAGGGTGGCGCTCGGGACTGGAGCAGCTCCGGGAGGTGCGCGCCTCGGCCGGCATGGCGCCGTCTCACCTGGCCGAGGCAGCGCAGGGCCTGCCACCTGGCTCCCTCGGGCGTCCGGCTTGGGTCTCCCGCTCCCGGCCCCGCGTCAGACCCTGAGCTGTGGAAAGGTGCGTGCTGTCTGTCTGCCTGCGCCGGCAGGGGTGTGGTGAGGCCAGGCCTTGTCTCATGGCCTGCCGTCCCCTGGGTCTCGGCCCTGTGGTCTGCCTCTGTGTCCTGGCACCGGTCTGCCTGGGATAGTGTGCACATCACTTGGTGCTGGGCCGCTCCGAGTCGGCACTGTCTCTAGAGCGTGTCTGTTTGGCTGCCAGCCCGTTTGATCCTCAGCCTTGGGAGTTTTGCGAACCCCAGGGCCCAGGCTGCATGCTGCAGAGCGTGTGCTGCAGCTGCCTGTGTGTGGCGTGCCCTGTAGTGCCTCTGCCGCTCTGAGGCCTGGCTCTGGCGCCTCTGCCCCACAGTCCTCGCGCCCCCCCCCCCCCCCCCGCTCCGGCGGCGGGGCTCTTGTCCCAGGTGCACCCTTGGGCTGCTCAGGTTTGCTGGGGGTCTCAGGCTGAGCCTCATGGAGCCCCAGCAGTGGATCTGGACCTAGACCACCATGCCTTGCCCTGAGCAACTTGGGTTTTTGGAAATGAACCAGAATTAGTGGCTGCAGTCTGTTCTCCGCAATTGCTAGCAGAATCTCAGACTTACTGCCAGTAGCTGGTAAGACTGGAGTGTGCCTGTGGTCCCAGCTCCTTGGAGGCTTTGAGCCCAGGATGTGTCAGTGTTGATAGATGTATGTGCCCATTGCTGGGCAAATGGCACTTATTTTCATAAGGCTTGGGCTTTGTGCCTGAGCTGTTCTTCTCAAGGCTAGCGCTCTACCACTTTGAGCCACAGCACCACTTCTGGTTTTCTGGTAGTTAACTAGAGATGAGAGTCTGCAGACTTTCCTGCACTTGCCTACCCAGGCTGGCTTTGAACCGCAGTCCTCAGATCTCAGCCTCCTGAGTAGCTGGGATTGCAGGTGTGCGCCACCAGCGCCCGCTCTCTTCTTGTTGGTGGTTGTGGTTGTCCTCATCCTCATCGTTGTCAGTTCTGGGGCTTGAACTCAGAGCCTGGGCATGTCCCTGAACTGCTTTTGCTCAAGGCTAGCACTCTCCCATTTGAACCACCGCTTTACTTATGGTCTTTATGGTAGTTGAGTGGAGGTAAGAGGCTCACAGCTTTCCTGCCCAGGCTGGCTTCTAATCACAGTCCTCAGTCCTCAGCCTCCTGAGTAGCTGGGATTACAGGCATGAGCCACTGGCGCCTGGCTCTTTTTTTTTTTTTTGTTAGTCAGGGGGCTTGAACTCTGGGCTTGGGCGCCGTCCCTGTGCTCCTCAGCTCAAGGCGAGCGCTCTACCTGAGCCACAGCGCCACTTCCAGTTTTCTAGTGGTTTATTGGAGATAAGAGTCTCACGAACTTTCCTGCCTGGGCTGGCTTTGAACCGCGATCCTCAGATCTCAGCCTCCTGAGTAGCTAGGATGACAGGCATGAGCCACCGGTGCCTGGATTCTATTTTGTGTTTTAAAGACAAGGTATAGCCAGGGCACCAGTGGCTCACACCTGTCATCCTAGCTACTCATGGCTAAAATCTGAGGATCACAGTTCAAAGCCAGCCAAGGCAGGAAAGTCTGTGAGACTCTTATCTTCAATAAACTACCAAAAAGCCAACTGTGGTTCAAGTAGTAGAGTGCTAGCCTGTTCTTAGTTTCGGCCTAACTGACCCCCCAAAAAGCCTAGGTCCAGGCATCGTTGCAAATAACATCCCATCCGGTCATGAGTCCTCTTCGCTGCCCACGTGTAGGGCCACTCTGCCGAAAACTTTGGGGTGGCCACCTAGCCTTCCCGCCTTCCCCCCACCCTCAGACCGCCAGCTGGGTCTCGGGGAGCCCTCCAGCCTGCTCCTCGCGCACCCCCCTCCTCGGCACCCGTCCCGGAGCTCGCTGGTCCCTCCCAGGCCATTCCCCGGCGCAGGCCTCTGGGTGGCCCCGGGTCTGTCTGTCTGCTAATGCGTCTTTTCTCTCCTCAGCCAAAACAGAGTGGAGTATGAGAAAAGGGTTCGGGCACAAGCCAAGAAGTTCGCGCCCTCGTAAGCAGCGTCCACGGCACCGTGAAAGGAAGGGATTGGTTTGGCAAGAACTTGTTTACAACACTTTGCAAATCTAAGTCGCTCCGTACAGTTCCCCGCTGCCTGGGAGGAGGGTGGGCAGGCGCCATTTTCCATTTCCGCCACTGGCATCCACTTCTCGATTTCGCTGAATTGCCCCAGTTTTTCATACAGGGTCTCTTCCTTCAGTCTTTTGTATTTTTGATTGTTATGTAAAACTTGCTTTTATTTTAATATTGATGTCAGTATTTCAACTGCTGTAAGATGATAAACTTTTATACTGGGTGAGCCCTAGGAGCGAGATCCTCGCTCTCAGAGCAGGCATGCTTCAGACGTTTCAGACCTTTGTAGCCCCGCTGGCTGTATGAAAAACCACCACACCGGCCCCCTCCCCCTCACCACCACCCGGGCTGTTGCTTATGAGCCTCAGATCCAAAGTCAGCCGGCGTCTCCATTCTGCACCACTTCCTTTGTGTTTATATGGCGTTTTGTCTGTGTTGCTGTTTAGAGTAAATAAACTGTTTATATAAAGGTTTTTGTTGCGTTATCGTCTCTGCGCGTGGCCGCCCTCCACCCGGCCCAGCGGCTGCTGGGCGCCAGCCTCTGGCCAGGACCCGGGAGGTGAGCCCCTGCTCCTACGCACGGGACGCGCGCGCAGGCCCCGCTCCGCCCTGGCTCTTTGTAAATAGGACTGCACAGAAGTGTCTGCAGCTCTGCTCCCACCCTGGGTAGACAGCGGAGCCTGGTGAAGTCGGAGCCCGCGACCAGCCCTCAGCGTGAGGTCAGAAGTCGGGCCTGGCCCACCGGGGAGCTCACAGTGACCGAGTCAAGACCAGGGCTGAGGACACCGCAGCCGGCGCCTGCTCTGCGTGCCCGCTGACCGCTCGTGCAGGCCCTGGGGCCCGGCTGCTTGCTTGGTGGCTGAGGTGCCCTGCTGGGGACCACCAGACCCAGCAGGTGGCAGCAGGCACCTCCCCCAGCAGCTCACAGTGCCACCCCGCGGCCTCCGCCGAGCCGCCTGAGGAGCGGTCCTGCGGTGCCCACCCGGCCTGAGTGCAGGGAGGCGGCATGGACACAGCTGGGCGCACCAGACTTGTTCCTGAGACCGTCTGAAGCCAGTCTGCCCTCACCCAGAGGACCCAGCCTGCAGCTGGTCGCCTGAGACCTGAGCCCATGGACGGAGGGTTGGGGCTGGTTCCTGGGGAATTGAGCGGAGGTTGCGGGGCGCCGGGGTCTCTGTCAGTGTCTCCATCTGCAGTTGGGGGACTTGAGGCACCCCTAGAGCTGGCAGTACCTGTGGCCCGAGGGCACAGCGCACAGCTGTGCTCACCCACACCCTGTCCAAGGCTGAGCTGTGAAGGGCGTGGACTAGTGCAAGGCCCTTGCTTGCGGGATCGGCTGGCGCGTGCGTTTGTAGCCTGCTCCCTGAATGTCTTATTTTGTAACGACTGACGACATTAGTAATAGTTACACATGTATATGGTTAATATATGAAAATTCGATATATTTTATAGTTCAAAGTATTCTAAAGCAATTGATGTTTCTAGCAAACTGTAGTGACTCGAGCTATGGAATGTTCCTTTTGTACCACAGTCCTCGGCTTAATGGAGCTGTGACTCTTGTAACCCAAGAGCGTGAACTGCGGTCATGCTGTTGGAGGGGGGGGAGGGCAGCAGTGTCCCAGCATGAGGCCTCGTGTCGGGGAGGAATTGTGGGCAACCCATTAACCACTGTATCTAAGAATCCTCAATTAAAACATTTCCACAAACTGCAGCCTTCACGTCGTGTCCTTTCCTGCCGTCCTGCCCGCCCCAGTCCCAAGGCCGCCTCGAGCCTCTGTAACCGCTGCAGGGCCTGCCCCCTTGGCAAACAGCACCCTGGGGTCCTGCGGGGACCTCCCTGGGCAGCCCTCAGGGAGTGGATCTGAGATGCTCACAGTGCTCGTGGCAGCCAGGAGCATTATGGAGACACCTGTGTCCCCACCTCAGTGGCCAGCCAGGCTGCGGTCGATCTCCACCACATCGTGGCCCCTGAACCCCGCAGAAGCAGCCCCAGTTCCCAGGTGCCCTGGGCAGCCTGAGGAGTCCTCCGCCTGTGTCTGGATCTGCTGATGTGTTGCCATGACAACTCATGCCAGGTTGGAGGGCCCAGCACTTAACATGGATCTGCTGGAACCTGTCTGGGTCAGCTCCAGCAGGGAGGGTCCCAGGATGCGGGGTTTGAGGACCCGCCCCCAAGCTGGGTCAGCACCCTGATACTGAGCTGGGGCTTCTGCCCCCCCCTCCCGCAGGGCCCCTCAAAAACCACACTCCCACAGTGCATCCTGTTTCTGAGCCGGCTTCTCGTGTGCCTGGGGCTGGCCACAGAAGATCCATGGAGCATCTGCCGTGGATGCAGGTGAGCGCAGAGACCAGGCCCAGGCACACACCCAGCGAAGCCACAGCTCTCGGGACAGAGGAAGATTCCTACCCTGGGCAGGCAACGCCTAACCCGTCTCCAGCCTCTGTCCTCGGGTCACAGACCCCACTGACCTCTGCCTACTGCGAGAGGAGTTCCTCCTGGGCCCAAGTGGACATCAGACCTCTGAGATCAGCCTCCAGGTGTTCCTTCCCTTTACAGATGAGGGGAACTGAGGCACAGGGCAGTGGAAAGAGAGACGGGCAGGGGTGAATGGAGCCAGGACTCTGATCAAGGACGGCCTGACTCAGTCTCAACACCATTGGGGGAATGGTGGGATGGGGAGTCCGTTGTTCAGCAAGCTCCCCGAGCCCCCAGGGAACAGATCTCAGGAGAATGGAGGTGCAGGTCAGTGGGCCCAAAGTCCTTTCGTACGTCTGGGCCTCAGTTTCCCTACCTGTAAAGAAGAGTACTGAGAGTCACCCAGCCCTAGCCAACTGATGGGCAGGGCTCCTGCAGGGGTGGGCAGCCCTCCCCGGCAGCCTGGCAGCTGCCCACCCCCACTTCCTGTTTACCGCAGCTGCGGACCATCTCTTCACCCCAAAGCCATTATGATCACCATGGCAACCAGACTGTGTTTGTTCCAACAGGTTGGCAGAACCTGACGCAAGTCGGTAACAGGGGTGGGGTAGGAGGGAAGCATCAGGTCCAGATCCTAGAAGGGGTGGGGAGGTCTGCTGCCTAGACCCAACTCCCATCCCCTGCAAAGGGGGGTGCCCAAAGCCCAGGCCCCCTGGCTGGTCATGGGACATCGCTGTCCCCGCAGCGGCTCCATCTCCAGAGTCCTCCCACGCACAGCCACGGTCGCCTGGCCAGACTGGGCAGGATGGAGGGGGCTTGGGGTTGGGCAGCTTTGAACAACACACCGCCACTCTGCCTCCTCCATCCGGCCATCCTCGCGGTCTCCTGTCCCCGCAGACAGAGGTCAGGCTGGCGGGCCGGAGTTGGGGTCCACAGGTCTAGACAGGAGCCATGTCCACCCCCACTGCATCTCCGCCAGGGTCGTGTCCAGGTCGCTCCTCTCTGCCAGACAGGCCAGGTGGGGGCTCATGGGACCCCATGGCCCTGGGCCCAGCTGCCCACGCGCTCAGGAGGCCTCTGGGGGCGCTTCACCTCACCAGGCTCCCCAGAATGGGCATGTGCCTTCCCTCAGCCCCCAGGACTGCCCCACTGGCAGGAGCCACGCCACGGGGGACAGGCCCCAGGTCAACGCCCCACATCTAAGTGGGCCTCCCAGCCGTGGAGTGTCCGGTGGTGGTGTCCGGCCCGGGCTGGTCCCAGCTGCAGCCCTGGGGCAGGGGCGGAGACCGCAGCAGGTGGGCACGTGGAGCCAGACCCCGCCCCCGCCCCTTGGTTCAAGCCCTAGGTGACCTGATGCATGGTGCCAGGCCGACCCTGCCTGACCCTGTCTGACCTGGCCTGACCCGGCCTCCCTCCTCTGGGAAGAGGGGTCCCGGTTGTTGCCAAAGCGGCCTGAGCCCAGGGACAGAGTGAAGCCTGGGCCTCAGGACAGGGAGCCGTCCCTCCCCCAGGCCTCCTCCCCCCAGGCCCCCTCCCCCCAGGCCCCCTCCCGCGAGGCCCCCCCAGGCCCTCTCCCCCCAGATCCCCTCCCCCCAGGCCCCCTCCCCCCAGATTCCCTCCCCCAGGCCCCCTCCCCCCAGGCCCCCTCCCCCCAGGCCCCCTCCCGCGAGGCCCCCCCAGGCCCTCTCCCCCCAGATCCCCTCCCCCCAGGCCCCCTCCCCCCAGGCCCCCTCCCCCAGGCCCCCTCCCCCCAGGCCCCCTCTCCCCAGGCCCCCTCCCCCCAGGCCCCCTCGCAGCCCCTCCCCCGCCCTCCCATCCGCCCTCCATAGCCGGCTGGGGGCGGGGCTCCGGGGCGCCCGCCCCGCCCTCCCGCGCGCCGCCCGCGCCCCCCGCCCGCGCCGCCCCGCGCCGCCCCGCGCCGGCTCCGCAGTGCTGTCGTCTCCGGCGAGCGCGGCGCTGGCTCGGGCGGGCGGCGCTGAGTCTCGGGGTCCCCGCGGAGCCCCCATCCCGCGCCGCTCCCCGCGCCCGGGCCACGGTGAGTGCGGCCCGCTCCCGCCCGCGGCCGTCGGGGCTCGGCCCGCCGGGGACGGACGCGGGGGGCGGGGGCGGCGCCTGGGGAAACTGAGGCTGCGCGCGCGGTCGGGCGCGGGCTTAAACGGCGGAGGGCGCGGGCGGGGAGGGAAGGGGGCGGGGAGGGGGCGGCGGGGGAGGGGGCGCGGGCGGGGAGGGAAGGGGGCGGGGAGGGAAGGGGGCGGGAGGGGGGCGCGGGCGGGGTGGGAAGGGGGCGGGAGGGGGGCGCGGGCGGGGTGGGAAGGGGGCGGGGAGGGGGCGCGGCCGGGGAGGGGGCGCGGGGCGGGGAGGGGGCGGCGGGGGAGGGGGCGCGGGGCGGGGAGGGGGCGGCGGGGGAGGGGGCGCGGGGCGGGGAGGGGGCGGCGGGGGAGGGGGGCGCGGGCGGGGTGGGAAGGGGGGCGGGGAGGGGGCGCGGGGCGGGGAGCGGGGGGCGCGGGGCGGGGGGCGCGGGCGGGGCGCGAGGCGGGGGCGCGGGGCGGGGAGGGGGCGCGGGGCGGGGGAGGGGGGCGCGGGCGGGGTGGGAAGGGGGGCGGGGAGGGGGCGCGGGGCGGGGAGCGGGGGGCGCGGGGCGGGGGGCGCGGGCGGGGCGCGAGGCGGGGGCGCGGGGCGGGGAGGGGGCGCGGGGCGGGGGAGGGGGGCGCGGGCGGGGTGGGAAGGGGGGCGGGGAGGGGGCGCGGGCGGGGCGCGAGGCGGGGGCGCGGGGCGGGGGCGCGGGGTGGGGAGGGGGCGCGGGGCGGGGAGGGGGCGCGGGGTGGGGAGCGGGGGGCGCGGGGCGCGGGGCGGGGGGCGCGGGCGGGGCGCGAGGCGGGGGCGCGGGGCGGGGAGGGGGCGCGGGGCGGGGAGGGGGCGCGGGGAGCAGGCCGCGGGGTCGCCCCCCCCCCCCGCCCCGTCCTGACACGGAGGACCGCAGCCGAAGCCGGCCCTGCAGCACCACAACCGATAATCAATAAGGGCCGCCAATAACCCGGCCAGACCCGGCTGCGGGGACCCCCCGCGGGTGACCGGCGCCGGCCTCAGCTCCCCGTACGGGGAGGGCGGGGAGACACGGGGGGGAGGGGCAGCCAGGGGGGGGAGAGGGGCAGCTGGGGGGACACTGGGGAGGCGGCCAGAGGGGGGACAGGGGGGTCAGAGGGCAGGGAGGGGCAGCTGGGGGGACAGCAGGGGGAAAAGCAGTGGGGGAACAGCAGGCAGGAGGGGGGACAGTGGGGAGGGGGGACAGTGGGGAGGGGGGACAGTGGGGAGGGGGGACAGTGGGGGGGACGTGGCCCCAGCTCCGCGGCCCCGGGGTGGGGTGGGGGAGACACCTGTGCCCGTCAGTCCCTGGCAGACTGAGCCTGGCCACCCCCGCTGGGGACGGCGGGGCAGACGCCCGGGCAGCTGTCTCCGGGGCCTCTTCGGTCAGCGAGGCGGGTGCCCCACGCGTGGGGGGTCCTGGGCAGCGCGGCCTCCACAGGTGCGGGGCCTGAGGACGGCTGTGCCCCCCAGCGCCAGGCCAGGGTGCTGAGCCTCGGCCCGGGACGGCCAGGGCCACGCCGCCGCCTGCGCTCTGCGGCTGGACCGTCACCCAGACGCCCGGCCCCACCGGAGCGCCGGCGCCTGCCTCCTCCGGGCTGCTCGGAGCGCTGAGCGGACACCCCGAGGGGCTGAGGGGACACCCCGAGGGGCTGAGGGGACACCCCGGGGGGCTGAGGGGACACCCCGGGGGGCTGAGGGGACACCGGGGGGGCTGAGGGGACACCCCGAGGGGCTGAGGGGACACCGGGGGGGCTGAGGGGACACCGGGGGGGCTGAGGGGACACCGGGGGGGCTGAGGGGACACCCGGGGGGGCTGAGGGGACACCCCGAGGGGCTGAGGGGACACCGGGGGGGCTGAGGGGACACCGGGGGGGCTGAGGGGACACTGGGGGGGCTGAGGGGACACCCCGAGGGGCTGAGGGGACACCGGGGGGGCTGAGGGGACACCGGGGGGGCTGAGGGGACACCCCGAGGGGCTGAGGGGACACCGGGGGGGCTGAGGGGACACTGGGGGGTGAGGGGACACTGGGGGGGCTGAGGGGACACCGGGGGGGCTGAGGGGACACCGGGGGGGCTGAGGGGACACCGGGGGGGCTGAGGGGACACCCCGAGGGGCTGAGGGGACACCCCGGGGGGCTGAGGGGACACCGGGGGGGCTGAGGGGACACCGGGGGGGCTGAGGGGACACCCCGAGGGGCTGAGGGGACACCGGGGGGGCTGAGGGGACACTGGGGGGCTGAGGGGACACCGGGGGGGCTGAGGGGACACTGGGGGGCTGAGGGGACACTGGGGGGGCTGAGGGGACACTGGGGGGGCTGAGGGGACACCGGGGGGGCTGAGGGGACACCCCGAGGGGCTGAGGGGACACTGGGGGGGCTGAGGGGACACCGGGGGGGCTGAGGGGACACCCCGAGGGGCTGAGGGGACACCGGGGGGGCTGAGGGGACACCGGGGGGGCTGAGGGGACACCGGGGGGGCTGAGGGGACACTGGGGGGCTGAGGGGACACTGGGGGGGCTGAGGGGACACCCCGAGGGGCTGAGGGGACACCCCGAGGGGCTGAGGGGACACCGGGGGGGCTGAGGGGACACTGGGGGGGCTGAGGGGACACCCCGAGGGGCTGAGGGGACACCGGGGGGGCTGAGGGGACACTGGGGGGGCTGAGGGGACACTGGGGGGGCTGAGGGGACACCGGGGGGGCTGAGGGGACACCCCGAGGGGCTGAGGGGACACGGGAGGGCTATGGCCCGCTCCTTGTCGCAGACATCTCCTTCCCAGGGAGGCCCCGGCCCTGCGGCGCGGGCTGCTTGGTTCCTGCGTCGCATTTGTCTCGGGACCGAGAGCCCCCGTGGCCCCGTCGCACACGGATGCGGCTGCCGGTTGCCCTGGCAACGGCTCAAGCCGGCGCGGCGGCGGGCTCGGGTCTGGGTCTCGGGGAGCGGCCTCTCCCACTCAGCCGGAGAGGGGGGGAGTTGTGCATCTGGCCGCAGGGTTACGGCCCAGCAGGCCCCACGTTGAGGGGAGACTGGGGGGCAGTAACCGTGTGGCGGCCGAGAGGGGGGCGTTCTCTGAGTGCTGCCCCTCCCCCAGGCTCCTCGCTGTCCTCCACGGGGTGGTCAGCGGGGGACCCGGGGCTCCCTGCGGTGGGGTGAGGCCCGAGCCACCGACAGCAGCGAACTCGCCGACACCTGTGGGAGCCCCAGGCTGTCCAGTGAGGCGGGCTGGCGCATTTCCTCTTCTGTGACAGGGACAAGACAGCGGCCCCTCACCTCTCGCCTCCTCGCCAGGGTGGCTGTGGTGAGGGCACCAGGCAGCGCCAGGCAGCGCCAGGCAGCGCCAGGCAGCGGGGTGGTGGCGGGGCAGGGGTGTCCTGTGAAGCAGAGGCCGTGTGCTCAGGTGGTCTGGCTGGGGGAGGAAGGAGGCCGTGTGCTCAGGTGGCCTGGCTGGGGGAGGAAGGAGGCCGTGTGCACGGGTGGCCTGGCTGGGGGAGGAAGGAGGCCGTGTGCACGGGTGGCCTGGCTGGGGGAGGAAGGAGGCCGTGTGCACGGGTGGCCTGGCTGGGGGAGGAAGGAGGCCGTGTGCACGGGTGGCCTGGCTGGGGGAGGAAGGAGGCCGTGGGGAGGCCTCGGGCGGGGCTGGACGGCCGGGCTGGGCGGGGCAGTAGCTCTCGCCCTGACTTTGACTTAGGGTCTACAAGGGAAACTGGGCCCTGCTAAAGTGGTCACCTAGGTGTTGGGCTGGGCTGGGGACCCTGCCAGGATACGTTACAACAGTGGGAATTGTCGGGATCCCAGACTGTGCCCTGGACGGGGAAGGGGGGGCCTCTGATTTGCAGTCCCGGGTCCCAGACCTCTATTGTGTGTCCCCTGGGTCCCCGCCTCCTCCGCCGTCCCCTCCCCCCACCCCCTCCCAGGGCTGGAGACTGGCTCAGCCCACTCCTGCCCCCCCCCCCAGTCCCCAGTTAGTGCAGGGTGAGGGTGGTGGGGGTTTCCGGGCCCCCCCCCCCCCCGGCGGCTCTGTACCAGCAGGAAGCCGGGCTGCTCCCTGCCAGCAGGATGCCCAGGCCAAAGAGCGGCCACGTTACCACAGCAACAGGGAGGCGGAGAGCCCAGGCCATGGGTCGTTCTTGGCTGTGAGGGCAAGCTCTGTCTGTGGGGTCGCTGACCGCACTCCGAGCTGAGGACCCCAGACCGCTCCCTCCTGGGCATTCTGGTCACGTGATCAGGGGTCTCTCCCCCCCCCCCCCCGGCTGCTGTGCCGCCCCGGCGCCCTGGCTCACTGTGCGGCCACGGTCTCCGGAACACACCAGGTGCCACTTCCCAGAGGCTCCGTCGGGCTTCTGGTGTGGTCCGCCAGTCCCGCGTGGGCAGCGGGCTCCCAGGCCCCTGCCCTGCTCTGTCCCGCGTCCCCGCGGCCTCCCCGCGGCCACCCACCGCCAACCCAAAGCCTCATCCTGCGGCAGGTGAGCGGCACCATGTCCACTTTGCTGGAGATCAAGAGCAGCGTGCTCAGGCAGGTGCAGGCCTGCCCGTCCTTCCTCCGCAAGACGGGGCAGGAGCCCGACAGCAGCGCACACCTGCAGGAGCCGGCCACGGGGGCCTGGTGGGTAGCGGGGGCCGGCCCCCACACCAGCCCCGCCTCCCCTCCCTCCCTGGCGCCCTCCCGCACTGTCGGCCGGGCTAGCTCACCAAGGGGAGGGGGCTGAAGGTCCGGGCACGGTGGGGGGTCACACTTCCCCGCCCCCGCGCGCCCCAGGGGTCGCCTGAGCTGACCCGGCCCCTCTCTCTCAGGAAACCTGGTGATGGTGTGGAATTCTTCGCCCACATGCGCTTCCTCCTGAAGAAAGGAGATGGCAGACAGGGCCTGCCCTGCCCCGAGGTGAACCTCTCCCCCCCCCCCCCGCCCTGCCAGCCCGGAGGTGAACCCCCCTCCCTGGCCTGCCCCGAGGTGAACCCCCCCCCTGCCCTGCCACGAGGTGAACCCCTCGACCTGCCCTGCCCTGAGGTGAACCTCCCCCCCCTCCTGGCCTGCCCCGAAGTGAACCCCTCCGCCTGGCCTGCCCCGAGGTGAACCCCCCCAAGCCTGCCCTGCCCCAAGGTGAACCCCCCAGCCTGCCCTGCCCCGAGGTGAACCCCCCCGCCTGCCCTGCCCCGAGGTGAACCTCTCCCCCCCCCCCCGCCTGCCCTGCCCCGAGGTGAACCCCCCCCCAGCCTGCCCTGCCCCGAGGTGAACCTCCCCCCGCCTGCCCTGCCCCGAGGTGAACCCCCCCAGCCTGCCCTGCCCCGAGGTGAACCCCCCCAGCCTGCCCTGCCCCGAGGTGAACCCCCCCAGCCTGCCCTGCCCCAAGGTGAACCCCCCCCAGCCTGCCCTGCCCCGAGGTGAACCTCTCCCCCCTCCGCCTGCCCTGTCCCGAGGTGAACCCCCTCCCCCCAGCCTGCCCTGCCCCAAGGTGAACCCCCCCGCCTGCCCTGCCCCGAGGTGAACCCCCCCGCCTGCCCTGCCCCGAGGTGAACCCCCCCCAGCCTGCCCTGCCCCGAGGTGAACCCCCCCCAGCCTGCCCTGCCCCGAGGTGAACCCCCCCCCCGCCTGCCCTGCCCCGAGGTGAACTCCCCCCCAGCCTGCCCTGCCCCAAGGTGAACCTCTCCCCCCCCCCCGCCTGCCCTGCCCCAAGGTGAACCCCCTCCCCCCAGCCTGCCCTGCCCCGAGGTGAACCCCCCCGCCTGCCCTGCCCCGAGGTGAACCCCCCCGCCTGCCCTGCCCCGAGGTGAACCCCCCCCAGCCTGCCCTGCCCCGAGGTGAACCCCCCCCGCCTGCCCTGCCCCGAGGTGAACTCCCCCCCAGCCTGCCCTGCCCCGAGGTGAACCTCTTCCCCCCCCCCGCCTGCCCTGCCCCAAGGTGAACCCCCTCCCCCCAGCCTGCCCTGCCCCGAGGTGAACCCCCCCGCCTGCCCTGCCCCGAGGTGAACCCCCCCGCCTGCCCTGCCCCGAGGTGAACCCCCCCCAGCCTGCCCTGCCCCGAGGTGAACCCCCTCAGCCTGCCCTGCCCCGAGGTGAACCCCCCCGCCTGCCCTGCCCCGAGGTGAACCCCCTCAGCCTGCCCTGCCCCGAGGTGAACCCCCCCCCCCGCCTGCCCTGCCCCGAGGTGAACCCCCTCAGCCTGCCCTGCCCCGAGGTGAACCCCCTCAGCCTGCCCTGCCCCGAGGTGAACCCCCCCGCCTGCCCTGCCCCGAGGTGAACCCCCCCGCCTGCCCTGCCCCGAGGTGAACCCCCCCAGCCTGCCCTGCCCCGAGGTGAACCCCCCCCCGCCTGCCCTGCCCCGAGGTGAACTCCCCCCCAGCCTGCCCTGCCCCGAGGTGAACCCCCTCAGCCTGCCCTGCCCCGAGGTGAACCTCTCCCCCCCCCCGCCTGCCCTGCCCCAAGGTGAACCTCTCCCCCCCCCCGCCTGCCCTGCCCCGAGGTGAACTCCCCCCACCAGCCTGGGCTGCAGCCCCCCCCCCCCCAGCCTGGGCTGCCGTCCACCCTCCCCAGCCTCCCCCCCTTCTCCCAGGAGGAGCTCTGCTCAGCCAGCCATGGTTCGGGGGTGGCCTCGGGCTCAGAGCCCTCCCCAACTTGGGGATCCTGGCCCTCCCTCCTTCCAGGTCCTCTTACGCAGCGGTTCCCCAGCTCCCGCCGAGCCCGTGGACCCCAACCGTGGCCTGAGAGCCCTGACCCAGGAGGAGGTACTGACACAGGAGGGCCCGGGCAGGGAGGGCTCAGAGGCCTGTGTCCCACCGCAGCCAGCAGCCCAGGGCGAGGGACGGGGCGCAGGCAGCGGGCACGCAGGAAGGCCCGGGCGGACACTCAGGAGCTGCCGCCCGCAGGTGGAGATGCTGTACGAGGAGGCCTTGTACACGGTCCTGCACCGCGCCGGCACCATGGACCCTGACCAGGTGGACGATGAGGCGGCCCTGCTGGGCTACCTGCAGCAGGTGAGCAGCAGCCCAGTCCCCGCTCCGGGGACAGCCACACCACCACCACCAGGGTGACACAGAATGGACAGACACAGGTGACAGGTGACAGGCCACGGAGAGGTGAGAGGTGGCATTCACACACAGGGAGGGGCACAGAGGGCGGGGGACTGCGACTGAGGGGGAGAATCCGGACAGACCGGTTGGAGGCGGGAGAGGACTCCGCCGGTGGTCCCTGACTGGAGTCCCTCTCCAGGCCTCACCCCCCACCTCCCGCAGGTGTTCGGCACCAGCCCCGAGGAGCACGCTGCGGCCATGGAGCGTGTGAAGAAGGCCAAGGTAAGTCCCCGGGCGCTGACGGGGGGGGGGGGGGGGGGGGGGGGGAAGGCCCTCGTGGTCCTGCTGAAGCTGCCCAGCCCCATGCGGTTTCCCACAGGCTCCCACCTATGCCCTAAAAGTCTCCGTCGTGCGAGCCAAGAACCTTCTGGCCAAGGACCCCAATGGTGAGTGGGGACCGGGTGGACCCTGGCTGGCCAGTCCTGGCGTCTGCGGAGGGCGGAGGGCGGAGGGCAGGCTGCTGCGGTCCTCTGAGGCTCTGCCCGACGCAGGCTTCAGCGACCCGTACTGCATGCTGGGCATCCTGCCGGCCTCGGGCGCCCCTCGGGAGCCCAGCGGGCAGAAGGAGCAGCGCTTCGGCTTCCGGAAGGGCAGCAAGCGCAGCGGCCCGCTTCCCGCCAAGTGCATCCAGGTCACGGAGGTCAAGAACAGCACTCTGAACCCCGTCTGGAAGGAGGACTTCCTGTTGTAAGCTTCCTCCGCCCCCCCCCCCCCACTGGCTCAGAACCCTCTACCCTCAGGGGACGAGTTCCAGGCTTTATTGCTGCCCCTAGGCACCCCAAGGTGGGGCAGGCTGGGTCCGATGTCCAATGGAGAGTGCGGGGCTGGGGGAGGGGGGACGATTCGGCGCCAGCCCTGTGCTGGGCCCCAGCGGCCACCCAGCTGGCAAAGCCGAGATGTGCACATAGGAGCTGGAGCTGTGGATACCCCCTACTGTCCCCGGACTTGCCACTGCCCAGCCCTGGAGGGGGGGCGGGGACCCACATGAGATCTCTGTGCTCCCCGCAGCGAGATCGAGGATGTCAGCGCGGACCAGCTGCACCTGGACATCTGGTACGGGCCTTGGCTCCGCGGGCGGGGGGCAGGGCAGGACCGGGCTCTGCAGCTCCAGACAAGCCTGCTCTCCCCGCAGGGACCACGACGACGACGTGTCCCTGGCAGAAGCCTGCAGGAAGCTGAACGAAGTGATCGGCCTGAAAGGCATGAGCAGGTGCTGTGCTGGGGCCCCGCGTCCGCGCCCCGCCCCCGCCCTCGCCCCGCCCCGCGCCTGCCCCGCCCCGCGCCCCGCCCCGCCCCGCCCCGCGCCTGCCGCGCCCCGCCCCGCCCCGCCCCCCCGCGCCCCGCCCCGCCCCGCGCCCCCGCGCCCCGCCCCGCCCCCCCCGCGCCCCGCCCCGCCCCGCGCCCCCGCGCCCCGCCCCGCCCCGCCCCCCCCCGCGCCCCGCGCCCTGCCCCGCCCCGCCCCCCGCCCCGCCCCGCTCCCCGCCCCCCGCCCCGCCCCGCGCCCCGCTCCCCGCCCCGCCCCCCGCCCCGCGCCCCGCCCCGCCCCCCCCGCGCCCCGCGCCCTGCCCCGCCCCCGCCCCGCCCCCCCCCCGCGCCCCGCCCCCCCCGCCCCGCGCCCTGCCCCGCCCCGCCCCCCGCCCCGCTCCCCGCCCCGCGCCCCGCCCCGCGTCCGCACCCCGCCCCGCGCCCCGCCCCGCGCCCCGCCCCGCGCCCCTCACCCTGCCCCGCGCCCCTCACCCTGCCCCGCGCCCCTCACCCTGCCCCGCGCCCCTCACCCTGCCCCGCGCCCCTCACTCTGCCCCGCGCCCCTCACCCTGCCCCGCGCACCGTGCCTTGTGCCCTGCCCCGCGCCCTGCCCTGTACCCTGCCCCATGTCCCTCGCCCTGCCCCGCCCCGCGCCCGCCCCCCTTTCCCCGCACCCCCCACCTGTAGCCGCAGCTCGAGGCCCTGAGGTCAGTGGCTTCCTGGGGACGGCCAGGGTGACCCCCGCCCTGTGCCCAGGTACTTCAAGCAGATTGTGAAGTCCGCCCGCGCCAACGGCTCCGGGGGACCCACCGAGGACCACACCGACGACTTCCTGGGGTGCCTCAACATCCCCGTGCGGGTGCGTGCGGGGGGGGGGGGGGGGGAGGGAGGCGGCGTGCGGGGGGGGGGAGGCGGCGTGCGGGGGGAGGGGGGTGGAGGGAGGCGGCGTGCCGGGGGAGGGGGGTGGAGGGAGGCGGCGTGCGGGGGGAGGGGGTGGAGGGAGGCGGCGTGCGGGGGGAGGGGGTGGAGGGAGGCGGCGTGCGGGGGGAGGGGGGGTGGAGGGAGGCGGCGTGCGGGGGGAGGGGGTGGAGGGAGGCGGCGTGCGGGGGGAGGGGGGGTGGAGGGAGGCGGCGTGCGGGGGGGGGGGGGAGGCGGCGTGCCGGGGGAGGGGGGTGGAGGGAGGCGGCGTGCGGGGGGAGGGGGGTGGAGGGAGGCGGCGTGCGGGGGGAGGGGGTGGAGGGAGGCGGCGTGCGGGGGGAGGGGGGTGGAGGCAGGCGGCGTGGGGGGGGAGGCGGCGTGCGGGGGGGAGGCAGGCGGCGTGCGGGGGGGGGGGGAGGCGGCATGGGGAGGCAGGTGGCGTGCGGGGGGGGGGAGGCGGCGTGCGGGGGGGGAGGCGGCGTGCGGGGGGCCCGGCCCGTGTCCTTGTGACGCTGCCCCCACCCCTTCCCTGGGCTGCCCGGAGCTTCCCGACTTCGGTACCCGGTGGGTGCTGCCCACGCCTCCCCAGCCTCCCGTGGGGGCCGTGCGGGAGCGGGGAGTCAGCGGGGCCGACCCTCCCCCGCAGGAGGTGCCCGTGGCCGGGGCCGACCGCTGGTTCAAGCTGGAGCCTCGCTCCAGCGCCTCGCGGGTGCAGGGGGACTGCCACCTGGTCCTCAAGCTCATCACCACGCAGGTGGGTAGCCCCCGGCGCGCGGGCCTGCCCCCCCGGGCTGAGCAGGCCCGGTGACCCGCCGGGCTGTGCCGCTTCCAGAGGGACACGGCCCTGAGCCAGCGCGGGCGGTCCGGCTTCCTGTCCTACCTGCTGCTGCTCAGCCGCGTGCTGCGGCTCGAGCACCGAGTGGAGGAGGTACGGCGCCTGGCAGCTCCGGGGGCGGGCGGGGGCTGCCCGGGCTCTGCTCACGCGCCTCTCCCCCAGCCCGACTCCAGCCGCTGGCGCGGTGAGCTCAGCGCGCCCGCCACCACGGTCCTCTGCCTGCACGGGGCACAGAGCAACCTGTCGCCGCTGCAGCTGGCCGTGCTGTGAGTGGGCGGGGCGGGGCGGGGCGGGGCGGGGCTCCCTGAGTGGGCGGGGCGGGGCTCCAGTGAGTGGGCGGGGCGGGGCTCCAGTGAGTGGGCGGGGCTCCCGTGAGGGGGCGGGGCAGGGCGGGGCTCCCGTGAGGGGGCGGGGCGGGGCGGGGCGGGGCTCCCGCGAGCGGGCGGGGGCGGGGCTCCCTGAGTGGGCGGGGCGGGGCTCCCGTGAGTGGGCGGGGCTCCCGTGAGTGGGCGGGGCGGGGCTCCCGTGAGTGGGCGGGGCCCCCGTGAGTGGGCGGGGCTCCCTGAGTGGGCGGGGCGGGGCTCCAGTGAGTGGGCGGGGCTCCCGTGAGGGGGCGGGGCGGGGCTCCCTGAGTGGGGGTGACGGGGCTCTGAGCACAGCCCCCCCCCCAGGCACTGGCAGGTCAGCAGCCGCCACCATCAGACACGCACTCTAGACTATGGCTACCTCCTGGGGCTGCTGGAGGATATGCAGGCGCACTGGGAGGAGGCCGCCTCCCTGCCCCAGGAGCAGGTGGGTGCCCTGACCGCGGGGGGGGGGGGGGTGAGGTTACGGGGGACAGGGTGCTGCCTGACGGGGGAGACAGGTCGACCTCTGCAGCGAGGGGGGTGGTTGTGTCAGTCACCCCGAGAAGATGCCACGGACCTGTGTGTGTCCAAGGCCCCTTGAGGCAGCGAGCATGGGGGCAGGCGTGGGCACTGGTGGGCGGGGCAGGGGGCAGCAGGTGCAAAGGCCCGGGGCTTACAGCCACCGAGGGGGACTGGGACGGCCCGCGGGGGTGTGGTTCTTCAGGACGGGGAGGGGGGCGGGGGGGGGGGGGAGTTGCAGGGGCAGGCAGTGCTAGAGCTCCTGAGCGGGGCTCAGAAGAGCACTGTCCCCCAGGAGGAGAGCCTGGCCGACAGCTTCTCTGCCTTCTCGGAGTTCGGGCTTCGGCTGCTGCGCCAGCTCCGGGACTACTTCCCTGCCACCAACAGCACCGCGGTGTACCGCCTGGAGCTGCTGCTGAAGTGAGGGGGGGCGGGGGGGGGGGCGGGGCGGGCGTCCCAGGGCTGAGGTTAGCCGGGGCTGGGACTCCCACTCCAGCACCCGCCCCCCCCCCCCTCACCAGGTGTCTGGACAAGCTGCAGCTCTTCCAGCCCTCCTTTGAGATTTGTCCCTTTGAGACGGAGCTGAACATGGACATTTGCGCAGCCCTGAAGGTCTGTTCCAACTGGCCCGGGCTTTGGGGGACCCTGTCCCCCCTCTTCCCTCCCACTGATGACTGACTTCTTTGCAGAGAGGAAACCGAGAGTGGTATGACAGGCTCTTGAACGCCAAGAGTCCCCGAGAACAGGTGTGGCTCGGGAGGGGCGCAGGCACGGTGGGGGGGAGCAGGCATAGTTTGGGGGGAGCAGGCTCAGTTGGGGGGAGCAGGCTCGGGAAGGGTGCGGGCATGGTTGGGGGGAGCAGGCACAGTTGGGGGGCAGCAGGCAAGGTTGGGGGGTGCGGGCACCGTGGGGGGGAGCAGGCATGGTTGGGGAAGGGGAGCAGGCACGGTGGGGGGAGCAGGCATAGTTTGGGAGGAGCAGGCTCAGTTGGGGGGAGCAGGCACGGTGGGGGGAGGGGTGCAGGCGCACTTTGGGGGGGAGCAGGCACGGTGGGGGGGAGCAGGCACGGTGGGGGGAGGGGTGCAGGCGCACTTTGGGGGGGCTGCCAGGCGCAGAGGTCAGTCGGAGCCGGGCTCCCTTGCAGCCAGCACCGCAGCGCCTGCCTGGGCTCATCGAGCTGGCAGACATCGTCTATGAGGACCTGCAGTCTTGCTACGGCATCTACGCCAGCCTCTTCCACGGGTAGGCTGCCCGGGCGCGGACGCGGGCTGGGCACGGACGCGTGGGCGCCGGGCGTGGGGTCTGACGTGCGTCCTCCGCAGCATCCTCAACGTGGACTTCTTCACGCTCACTTTCCGGCAGCTGGAGCGCCTGGTGAGGGTCGGGGCTCTGGGGGGCTGCGCGGCCCCCCGGCTGGGGGGCGGGGGGGCCCTGTGTCGCGTGGATGGTCTGACCCCGCCGCTCCCGGGCAGGTGGCTGAGGAGGCATGGGTGCTGACAGAGGAGCTGAACCCCAAGATGAGTCTGGAGGTGGCTGCGGGGCTCTTTGAGCTCTACCTGACGCTGGCAGACACCCAGCGCTTCTGGAGCTGCGTCCCTGGCCGGTGGGTTGTCCCAGCCTCCCCCAGGCGGGGGTCGGGGCCGCAGCCCCCGTGGAGGGGGCTCTGTGCTCCCGGGGCCCCTTGTGGCCCAGCGGAGCCCTGACGGCGCCCCCTGTAGGGACAGCCGCTCCCTGGCCCTGGGCGGCCTCCACACGCCCTTCCTGCCGGCCGTGAAGCTGTGGCTCCAGGTGCTGCGGGATCAGGCAAGTGGCGCTCCAGGGGGCCGTGGACTCGGACTCGGTGAGCAGGCGCGTGCCGTGGACTCTTGCGTGAGCGTGTGTGATAGGCATGCGTGCCGTGGACTCTTGCGTGAGCATGTGTGATAGGCGTGCGTGCCGTGGACTCTTGCGTGAGCCGTGAGCATGCGTGGTGGCTCAGGACTCGGTGAGTGGGCACACGGGGTGGACCGCGTCCCTGCCGAGCGGACGTGTCCCCAGGCCCTCCGGTCCAGCTCCCTCACGGCCCCGCCTCTGCCCCTCCCAGCTGGAACCCGTGGACTCGGCCTCCAAGCACAGCAGCTCTGCCACCACCGCCAGCCTCTGCCTCAGCCACATTCAGGAGCTGTGGGTCCGTCTGGCCTGGCCCGACCCAGCCCAGGCCCAGGGGCTGGGCACTCAACTCAGCGAAGTACATCGGCGGGGGTGGGGAGGGGAGCAGGCCCAGGGGACAGCGGACAAAGAAGAGGGCTCACCCACCCCCACTCCCCCAGGACATGTGTGAGACCACGCTCTTCTACACCGAGCTGCTACGGAAGAAAGTGGACAGTCAGCCGGGGGCAGCGGGGCGAGGTGGTGAGCCAGCCGGTGAGCGGGGGGCCCCGGGGAGGTTGGCGGGGCGGGGCTGGCGGGCAGCACGTGCACGGCCCCACCAGCTGCTGGCTGCCCCTCCGCAGCTCTGCGTGGTGCTCAACAACGTGGAGGTGGTACGCAGGGCTTCGGGGCAGGCTCTGCGGGGCCTGGCGTGGCCGGAAGGAGCCTCGGGGGTGGCGGGGGGCGCTGCCCCGGGCCCTGCTCGGCTGCACGCAGGCTCTGGACGAGGACCTGCAGCGGGAGGCCCGCACGGGTGACGGCACACCTCACCTCCAAGGTGGGCGGCCGGGGGCTGGGGCGTGCTGGACCCGGGCACCGGCCGGTCCTGGTGGCCCACGCCCCTGAGCGAGCGTGTCCCCTCCCAGATGGTGGCGGACATCCGAAAGTATGTGCAGCACATCAGCCTGTCCCCCGACTCCATCCAGAATGACGAGGTGAGCCCTGGGCTGGGACGCGCTCCAGGAGAGGGGCGGGCCGGGCCCTCGGCGGGGCGGGCTCAGCTGCCTCGTGCTCTGCCGCAGGCCGTGGCTCCTCTCATGAAGTACCTGGACGAGAAGCTGGCCCAGCTGAGCGCCTCGCTGGTGAAAGAGAACCTGACCCGGTGCGGAGCCGCTGCAGGGCGGGGCAGGCGCTCAGGGCTGGCAGGGCGGGCAGGTGCCCAGCAGGGCTGGTGCTCACGGGCTGGCAGGGCGGAGCTAGCAGGGCGGGCAGGTACCCAGCAGGGCTGGCGCTCACAGAGGGCTGGTGCTCAAGGGCTGGCAGGGCAGGGCTCACGGGCTGGCAGGTGCCTGCCAGGTGGGGCTGGCAGGGCGGGCAGGCGCCCCGGCTGGGGCTGGTGCTCATGGGGGCAGGTGCCTGGCGGGGCAGGTGCTCAGGGCTTGCAGGGCGGGCAGGTGCCGGGCGGGGCTGGCAGGGCGGGCAGGCGCTCAGGGCTGGCAGGGTGGGCAGGCGCTCAGGGCAGGCAGGCGCCCGGCAGGGCTGGCAGGGCAGGCAGGTGCTCAGGGCTGGCAGGGTGGGCAGGCGCCCGGCAGGGCTGGCGCTTACGGGCTGCGTCCCGCAGGGTGCTGGAGGGCTCTGTGGGAGCTGCTCCTGCAGGCGATCCTGCAGGCCCTGGGTGCCAACAGTGACGTCTCCGCCGACTTCTACGGGCGCTTCCACTTCACACTGGAGGTGAGGCCAGGAGCCCCTGGCACCCCCGCCCTGGCCGCCTGGTCTCAGGTGCCAGCTTCCTCCTGGGCCTCCTGGGGTATCCGGGTATGAGAAGTGGCTTTGTCCTGGTTCTTGAGACCGAGTATTGCTGGGGTCTCCGTGCCCCCGGCCAGCCGGGCTCTCTGACATGCCTATGTCCCTCTCCTTTCCCGGCTGCAGGCCCTGGTCAGTTTCTTCCATGCAGAGGGCCAGGGCCTGCCCCTGGAGAGCCTGAGGGACGGAAGCTACAAGGTAAGGGCCCCGCCCGCTCTGCCCAGCCACGGCCGGCTGGCTGGGGGCGGTGCAGGTGCACCCCCCCCCCCCCCCCCCCGTCACCCACGGCTCTGGCTCCCCGCAGAGGCTGGAGGAGGAGCTGCGGCTCCACAGGTGCTCCACCCGCGAGTGCATCGAGCAGTTCTACCTGGACAAGCTCAAGCAGGTGAGCAGCGGCGGCCGCGGGAGCGGGCGCCGGCCCCAAGCGTCTCTGCTCATGCCCTCTTTCTCAGCGGTCTCTGGAGCAGAACCGGTTCGGCCGCCTGAGTGTCCGCTGCCATTACGAGGTGGCCGAGCAGCGGCTGGCTGTGGAGGTGCTGCACGCGGCAGACCTGCTCCCCCTGGACACCAACGGTGAGGCCTGGCAGTGCCGGCGGGGGTGCCGGGAGGGGGGGACGGCGGGCTCAGGGCTGTATCCCGCAGGCCTGGGGGAGCAGGGGGGGACGGCGGGCTCAGGGCTGTACCCCGCAGGCCTGGGGGGCGGGGGGGACGGCAGGCTCAGGGCTGTACCCCGCAGGCCTGGGGGGGGGACGGCAGGCTCACGGCTGTACCCCGCAGGCCTGGGGGGGGCGGGCTCAGGGCTGTACCCCGCAGGCCTGCAGGGGGCTGGGGGGGGACCGCGGGCTCACAGCTGTACCCCTCAGGCCTGCAGGGGGCTGGGGGGGCCGGGCCGGTGGGCTCACGGCTGTACCCCGCAGGCCTGAGCGACCCCTTTGTGATTGTGGAGCTGGGCCCGCCACACCTCTTCCCGCTGGTCCGCAGCCAGAGGACGCAGGTGAAGACGCGGACGCTGCACCCGGTCTACGATGAGCTCTTCCACTTGTGAGTACCCGGCCCGCGCCCGCGCGCCCGCGCGGCATGGCACACCCCTGACCGGCCGCCCGCCCGCAGCTCCGTGCCCATGGAGGCCTGCCGGCGCCGCGGGGCCTGCGTGCTGTTCACCGTCATGGACCATGACTGGCTGTCCACCAACGACTTCGCCGGGGAGGCGGCCCTGAGCCTGAGCGGGGTCAGCGGGGTCCTGAGGCCTCAGGCCGGAGGGGGCGCGAGGGCCGGCCAGCCCGTCACCCTGCACCTGCGCCGGCCCCGGGCCCAGGGTGAGCAAGCATTGGGGGCCCTGCCCGCCGTGAGGCCAGGGTGTGTGTGTGTAGCAAGCATTGGGGGCCCTGCCCGCCGTGAGGCCAGGGGTGTGTGTGTGTGCCGTGAGCCTGGCCACGTGTGTGTGTGTGTGTGTGTGTGCCGTGAGCCTGGCCACGTGTGTGTGTGTGTGCGTGTGTGCCATGAGCCTGGCCACGTGCGTGTGCATGTGTGTGTGTGCCGTGAGCCTGGCCACGTGCGTGTGTGTGTGTGCCGTGAGCCTGGCCACGTGCGTGTGCATGTGTGTGTGTGTGTGTGTGCCGTGAGCCTGGCCCCGCCTCAGGCCCCCCTCCTCCCCCCCCCCCGCCCCGTCTCCCCAGTGAGGTCTGCGCTGCGCATGCTGGAAGGCCGGAACAACAAGGAGGCGCAGGAGTTTGTCAAGAAACTCAAGGAGCTGGAGAAGTGCATGGAGGCTGACCCCTGAGCTCCCCGCGTCCCCTGGTGCCCCCCTTGCATGCTGGTGTGGCTGTGCCCCGTGACTCTGTTGGCTGTGATGTGCTGTGAACCCCTCGCGCACTGCTCCAAGTGTGGGCAGCTCCGGCGGCGGTGCGCTCCGGCGGCGGTGTCCGCAGACGCTCTGGAGGCCACGGGTGGGAGGTGAAAGGTCCCCGGCAGCGGCCAGGGAGGCTGCACACCCTGAATGGCAGCGCGCCGTGCCCGCGAGAGGCGCGGGGTAGAGAACAGCTCCCAAGGAAGTTCTACCCGATCCCCCAGGTGAGACAGGAGGCCAGGCTCAGGTTTGGGTGACCCAACTTTTAAGGAAAGCGAGGTGTGAGTGCCGAGCTCGGCTCCCTCTCCTGGCTCTGGAAGCGCCGCTCACAGGAGGCGGCAGGGCTGCGCGTGCTCATCCCAGGCCCCATCTGGCCCCAAGCTTCGGGAGGTTTCCCGGGGTCCCAGAGGCTGACGAGCAGGACAAGGAGCTCGGTGTCCCTCGGCTGCCCTCCACACACGTGCATGCAAGCACAGCCCGTGCCCCCGCTGCGTACCCCAGCAGGCAGCGCGCTCCCGGCCCTCCGTGCCCAGACCCCCCCTTCCAAGGCCTGCGGCTTGCGGAGAGCCCAAGGCGGGCCTTCAGCCCTGCGGGCCGCTGCAGCGGGCTGGTGCTGCCAGGCCCTGTCCACCCCATGTCCCACTGCTGTCGCTGGACTTCCAGTCCTCTCAACAACGTCGTGTCTGCATCCTTCAGTCTCTTTGCCGTTACTTAATTCCTTTCCAAGCTGGGGCTGGGGCTCTGGCTCTAGGAGCCGCCGCCGCCTCCTCTTCCTCCCCCTCTTCCTGCTCTGCCTCCTCCTCCTCCTCCTCCGAGCAGCTGCTGCTGCTGCTGCCGCCTCCGTCCTCAGAGCCAGGCCCCTGATCCTCAGACTCGTCGCTGTCACTTGTTTCCATAGGCAGTCTGGAAGGGAGTACGTGTGTGTCCCTCGTGGCATCCTCCCTGCCCGTCCACGGCCCTCCCCATGACACTGACCTCAGAACCTTGCCTCCTGCACTGCGAGTCCTGCCCGGTTGTCTTGGGAGACCTCACCCCCTCCCCTTCACCCCCTCCCCGCCCCCGGTTGTCTTAGGAGACCTCCACCCCCTCCCTTCACACTCCTCCCCCCCCCCCCCCCCCCCCCCCCCCGCCGCCAGAGGCCTGAGTAATGCCCGTGCTGTGCTATCACAAACCCCAAAGTCCCCAGGACCTACCGGGTGCTGGCCACAGGTCTGTTGGGGTTTGCAAACTCTCGACCTGAATCCACATCAAAGGGATCTGAATGGAGAGAGGACGGTGACCAGGACAGCCAGGACAGAGACAAGTGCGTGCCCCAGAAGCTCCCGCCCATCCCGCAGCCCTCACCGATTTCCTCCTCCTGGGGCCTGTCCTTCTCGCTGGCCAGGAACGCCTGTTCTGCCTGCACTACCTCCTCCGGACCACTGCAGGCAGCGTACTTATCCAGGAGGTGGCGGTTCAGGTCCAAGAAGCCCTTGCCCCACTTAAACTTCTGCAGCAAAATGACACCAAGATCTGGAAAGCCTGATGGTGCAGAGGCCAGGACAGGGGTGTCAGTGGTCTCTCTGGAGAGAGTACCCTGACCACCCTGCTGGCTGGTGCGGCCTCCCAGCAATTCCCACCCCTGTAGCTTCCCCTCCCCCGGGGGTTCCTCTCTTATTCCAACTTCTGAGTCTTCATATGGGGCTCCAAAAACTGCCTGAGGATAGCCAGGTGCCAGTGGCTCACGCCTGTCATCCCAGCTACTCGGGAGGCTGAGATCTGAGGATCGCAGTTCAAAGCCAGCCGTGGCAGGAGAGTCTGTGAGACTCTTCTGGGAGTGGCGCTGTGGCTCAGCGGTAGTGCGCTCGCCTCGCTCCACCTTCCTTCTATAAACCGAGACTTGGGGGCTGGGAGTGAAACCATCCTGCCTGGTAGCTCCCCTGAAACACTTCATACCCCTCCGGGGGCTGCGTGGGAAAAGCCAGGGGTGGGGGCACAGTGAGACCACCAGGCCAGGCCCCCCAGGGCTCACCCACAATACAGAAGGTGGCAGCAAAAGCCTCGACGCAGGAAAGCCTGCAGGGCCGGCCGTAGTTGACAGGGTTGGCAGCCACCAGGTAGGGCAGCAGCCGCGTGTGGCCGCCCCGCATCTTCTCCAAGGGTGTCTCGTCCAGTCTGGCCCACGAGCAGTCTATAACAGCGATCCCAGACCGGGCCACCAGCTGCCTGCGGGACAGCGTGCGGTGGACCGTGGGGTGCCCTGAGGACGGGCTGCCAGGGCGCCTGGCCTGACTGGGGTTCTAAGCCAGCCATTCCCCAGCCCTCACACCCCAGCGAAGGGCCCGTGGGGCGCCCGAGGCCGCGGCGGCCGGCTTGAGAGCAATGCTTCCTTCCTCCTAGGCCGGGCGCGCGCACCGGGCCTGCGGGGGAAGTCCGGGGGCGGGGACCCGGGTCCTGGGGGGCGGGGACACAGGGCCGGGGGCGGGGACCCGGGTCCTGGGGGGCGGGGACACAGGGCCGGGGGGCGGGGACACAGGAACCCGGGGGGGCGGGGACACAGGGCCGGGGGGCGGGGACACAGGGCCGGGGGGGCGGGGACACAGGGCCGGGGGGCGGGGCACAGGAACGGGGGGCGGGGACACAGGGACGGGGGGGGGGGGGGGGAGGGGGGGGGCCGGCCGCGCCTACCTGTCTGCCGGGGACACGCACTGCGCGCCCGCGGGGCTGAGCACCAGGCCGCGGAACCTGTGGCCCAGGCGCAGGCCGCGCACCAGGCCCAGGCGGGCCAGCTTGCGGCCCGTGCAGCGCCGGGGGGTCGCAGTGGCCCAGCTCCCACATGGCCAGCGGGCAGGGCAGCGCTGCCGGGCCCGGGCCGCCCGCTTGCTCGGCCGCCGCGGGCTCCACGCACGCTGCTCCAAGAGAGAGGAGAGCGCGGGGCCTCAGCGCGGGGCCGGGCTGCTCCCCGACCGGCCCCCGCGCCTCCCGGGCCCCTCCCCTCCCCCGCGCCCTCCCGGGCCCTTCCCTCCCAGGCCCCGCCCCTCCCCGCGCCCTCCCGGGCCCTTCCCTCCCAGGCCCCGCCCCTCCAGGGCCCCGCCCCCACCTCCGGGCCCCTCCCCTCCCAGGCCCCGCCCCTCCCCGCGCCCTCCCGGGCCCTTCCCTCCCAGGCCCCGCCCCTCCAGGGCCCCGCCCCCACCTCCGGGCCTCTCCCCTCCCCTCCTCGGCCCCTCCCCTCCCAGGCCCCGCCCCTCCCCGCGCCCTCCCGGGCCCTTCCCTCCCAGGCCCCGCCCCTCCAGGGCCCCGCCCCCACCTCCGGGCCTCTCCCCTCCCCTCCTCGGCCCCCTCCCCTCCCGGGCCCCGCCCCTCCCCGCGCCCTCCCAGGCCCCGCCCCCTCCCTACCTTCGGGCCCCTCCCCTCCCCCACCTCCGGCCGCGCCCCGGGCCCCGCCCCCACCTCCGGGCCCCGCCCCGCCCCGCCCCCGCCCCGCCCCGGGCCCCCGCTCACCGCGCAGCGCGGCGCCCACCTCCTCGGCGAGCGCCTCCAGGGAGCGGCCGGGCGGGCGCCGGGCGCGGGCGCCCTCGGCCCCAGGCCCGCGCGATGCCCTCCGGCGGCCCATGTCCCGGGCCGGGTCCCCGACCCCGGTCCCGCTCCTCAGCCGCGGCCGGCGGTGCTCGGACCGCTCCGCGCGCGCAGGCGCGCCGCCCCGGCTTCCGTCGCTCCGCGGACGCCACTTCCGGGTTCCACGCCCACGTGACCCGAGAGGCGGGCACGGGGTCGCGCGCCGGAGCGATGGCGGCGCGGCCAGCGAGCCCGCTGCTGCCGCTGCTGCTGCTGCTGCCGCTGCTCGGGCCGGCGGCGCACGGTCGGTGGCTCGGCGCCCGCGTCCCGCGTCCCCACCCCGCGTCTCACCGCCCGCTCCCCGCTCCCCGCGTCTCACCGCCCGCTCCCCGCTCCCCGCGTCTCGCCGCCCGCTCCCCGCGTCTCGCCGCCCGCTCCCCGCGTCTCGCCGCCCGCTCCCCGCGTCTCACCGCCCGCTCCCCGCGTCTCACCGCCCGCTCCCCGCTCCCCGCGTCTCGCCGCCCGCTCCCCGCGTCTCGCCGCCCGCTCCCCGCGTCTCACCGCCCGCTCCCCGCTCCCCGCGTCTCGCCGCCCGCTCCCCGCGTCTCGCCGCCCGCTCCCCGCGTCTCACCGCCCGCTCCCCGCTCCCCGCGTCTCGCCGCCCGCTCCCCGCGTCTCACCGCCCGCTCCCCGCGTCTCGCCGCCCGCTCCCCGCGTCTCGCCGCCCGCTCCCCGCGTCTCGCCGCCCGCTCCCCGCGTCTCGCCGCCCGCTCCCCGCGTCTCGCCGCCCGCTCCCCGCGTCTCGCCGCCCGCTCCCCGCGTCTCGCCGCCCGCTCCCCGCTCCCCGCGTCTCACCGCCCGCTCCCCGCGTCTCACCGCCCGCTCCCCGCTCCCCGCGTCTCGCCGCCCGCTCCCCGCTCCCCGCGTCTCACCGCCCGCTCCCCGCATCTCACCGCCCGCTCCCCGCATCTCACCGCCCCGCTCCCTGCAGGGCCCCTGCCGGCCGGAGCCGCGAAGATGAAGGTAGTGGAGGAGCCCAACACGTTCGGGTGAGCGCGGGGCCCGGGCGGGGTGGGGCGGGCGGGGCCCGGGGCGGGATGGGGCGGGCGGGCGGTGGGCCCGGGGCGGGGTGGGGCGGGCGGGACCCGGGGCGGGATGGGGCGGGCGGTGGGCCGGGGCGGGGTGGGGCGGGCGGGGACCCGGGGCGGGGTGGGGCGGGCGGTGGGCCGGGGCGGGGTGGGGCGGGCGGGGACCCGGGGCGGGGTGGGGCGGGCGGGGCCCGGGGCGGGATGGGGCGGGCGGGCGGTGGGCCCGGGCGGGGTGGGGCGGGCGGGACCCGGGGCGGGATGGGGCGGGCCGGGGCCCGGGCGGGATGGGGCGGGCGGGGCCCGGGGCGGGGTGGGGCGGGCGGGGCCCGGGGCGGGGTGGGGCGGGCGGTGGGCCCGGGCGGGATGGGGGGGGCGGTGGGCCCGGGCCGTTGGTCCATGCGCGGCCCCAGCCGCCTGCCCGCAGGCCTGACCCGCCGTGTCCACCAGGCTGAACAACCCGTTCCTGCCCCAGGCCAGCCGCCTCCAGCCCAAGAGGGAGCCGTCGCCCCTGTCCGGTGAGTTCTGGCCCCACCCGGGCGCCTTGGACCAGGGGCCCCGAGCCCCACTCAACACCCGAGAGGCGGTCAGCGCCTTTTTTTTTTGTCGGTTGTGGGGCCTGAACTCGGCCTGGGCGCTGTCCCTCATCTTCAGCTCAAGGCGAGTGCTCTACCACTTGAGCCACACTTCTGGCTTTTTTTGCTTATGTGGTACTAAGGAATCGAACCCGGGGCCTTATGTACGCGAGGCAAGCGCTCTACCACTGAGTCACCTTCCCAGGCCCGGTCAGCACTTTTTACCGCTGGCGTCTGAGGCGTTCCAGATGGGCTGGGTGCACCCGGGAGGCTGCCCTGCCCCCAGAAGGACAAGGAGCATTCGGAAGGAGCCACGACTGGGTGTTGTCTAGGAGGGTGTGTTGCCCAGTGACTGGGAAGGGCCTCTGCACAGGGCTCACCTGTGGGCACGCGCTGCCCAGGCGCCCGCTTGGGTTTCACCTGTGGGTGGAGAGGTCAGGCCTTCCCCCAGGTGGCGGCTGTTGGGGTCTTGATTCTGCCACCTGTAAGGGAAGCGGCTGGGGCAGTTCCTGTCCTGTACACAGTAACAGAATGAGTCAGTGCCACACAAGAACTGATCGCCGAGCTCCATCCTCAGCCTGTGTGTGTGTGTGTCAGTGTGTGGGTTGTAGGGCTTGAACTCTGGGCCTGGGCGCTGTCCCTCAGCTCTTCAGCTCAAGGTGAGCGCTCTACCGCTTGAGCCATAGCGCCACTTCCAGTTTTCTAGTGGTTCACTGGAGATAAGAGTCTCACGGACTTTCCTGCCCGGGCTGGCTTTGAACCGTGATCCTCAGATCTCAGCCTTCTGAGTAGCTAGGATGACAGGTGTGAGCCATCAGTGCCCAGCTTGGCCTCTTATTTTGAGACGAGTTCTTGCTACGAAGATCCTCCGGGTTCTGCCTCTCACCAGTGGGCAGGGTTGGTGGTGAAGAGCAGGAGGACATCAGCAAGATGGGTTGTAGCTGGGCTATCTAGGGAGGTCAGTACACTTCCTCAGAGGAGGCGGCGCCCCCAAAGCTACAAGCACTTGGCCCAGCCTCCAACAGCCGGAGGATGGCACAGGAGCAGCTGGGCCTGGCTGGCTGACCGTTCTGATGTGCACAGGATGTCCCTCTCCCCACGGTTGGAGGGCATGGAACGTGAGCACGTAGCATGTGAAGTGCAGCTTTCTGAAAGTGTACTGTGTGTGTGTGTGCACAAGCGCACCATCCTAGGGCTTGAACTTGGCCTGGGCACTGTCCCTAAGGTTTTTTGCTCGAGGCTAACGCTCTATCACTTGAGCCATAGCTTCATTCCCAGCTTTTGTGGTAATAAATTGCCGGCTTCCTTGGTAGGTAGTTGGAGATACAAGTCTCACGGACATTGGTGCCGGGCTGACAATTTATTCTTTGTCTCAGTTGAAATGATTTATGCAGCCCCGCTCCATCCCATCGATGTGGTTTACCAAATGCTGTGAGTGTGGTGTATCAATATTGGTTGGCTTTGTGTTCAGGGAAAATTTCTCACTTGACCAAGTATTTTCCTTTCTACTTCTGAGTTTGGTTTGCTAATATTTTTATTCAGCAGTGTTGGGGGTCAAGCCCTCTACCACTGACTACAGCCTCAGCTACCCCCCCCCAATTCGTTTTTCTGGGATTTGAACCCTGGACCATTGATCTTGCTAGGCAGGTTACCACTTGAGCCACACTTCAGACCCCCCAGACCCCCTTTTTTTTTTTGTCGGTCGTGGGGCTTTAACTCTAGGCCTGAGCGCTGTCCCTCAGCTTTTCAGCTGAAGGGGAGCGCTCTACCACTTGAGCCACAGCGCCACTTCCAGTTTTCTGATGGTTTATTGGAGATAGGAGTCTGAACCGCGATCCTCAGATCTCAGTCTCCTGAGTAGCTAGGATTACAGGCGTGATCCACCAGCGCCCGGCTAAGCCCCCCTTTTCTTTTGGTCCTGGGGCTTGAACTCTGGGCCTGGGCACTGTCCCTCAGCTCTTCAGCTGAAGGCTAGCACCCTACCGCTTGAGCCACAGCGCCATTTCTGGTTTTCTAGTGGTTTATTGGAGATAGGAGTCTCAGAGACTTTCCTGCCCGGGCCGGCTTTGAACTGTGATCCTCAGATCTCAGCCTCCTGAGTAGCTAGGATGACAGGCATGAGCCACAGGTGCCGGCCCAGCCCCTTTTTTTTTTTTTTTTTTTTACCCCCCTCCATTGTTTTCCCCCTAGCATCCCTTCCCTCCCTACCTTCATTTTTTTTTTTTAATTGTGATTAAGTGATTATATAATCCCAGTATTGTCCAGCCCTCATTTTTGAGCCTGGTTTACTAGTGTTGAGGATTTTGGTTATGCTGGTACCAGGGCTTAAACCCAAAGCCTTGCACTTAGCTTTCTTGCTGGCAGTTGATGTTCTACCACTTAAGCCATGCTGTGTGCGCGCACACACGCATGCTGGAACTTTCAACATGTGATCTACCACTTGAGCCACACCTACACTTAGAGCTTTTTGCTGGTTAACTAGAGATGCCTATCTGACGTTCCTTCCCCAGCTGGTTTTGAACTGTAATCCTCAGATTTCAGCCTCCTAAATAGCTAGGATTATAGGTGTGAGCCATCTTGTCTAGTTTCTGTTGAAGATTTTAGCATCGGTGTTGATGCAGTGTGTTGGTCAGTTTTCACAATGTCTCTGTTGGGCTGATTGCTGAGCTACAGAGTGAGCTGGGTCGTGGTCTCTTCAAGTTTTGCAAGTATGAGAAGCATTGGTGGAAATGCTTTAGATGGTCAGAAGAATTTACTGGTGAAACTGGGCTTTTTCTTGGGAGGTTTCTTCCGTTTTTTTAGTCGTGTCTTGGGGGGTACTGATCCTGGGGCTTGAACTCTGGGGCTGGGTGCTGGGCCTAAGCTTTCATGCTCTAAGCTGGCACTCTACCATTTGAGCTACTTTGGGTTTTTGCTGGTGGTTAACTAGAGATGATGACGGGCACGCGCACTGGCACCTGCTGCTCTTCTCCTGGGGCTTTGCCTTGCTTCCTGTCATCTCCCTGGTTTTGCTGTGTGCGCCGGCCCCCGCCGGCCCGGTGGTGCTCTGGGCCATCACAAGGACTGGCCCTGGAGGTTGGGTCGGGCAGTGTCTCGTGGCTCCTGGGTTCCATAGGGACAGACATGGGGTTTGGGGACGCTACCCTCCCAGGTGGCGTCTCAGTCTGTGGCCCCTAGGCCTTGCAGCGTGGTGATTTCACAGTAGCGCTCTCCTCCCCAGGGCCTGCTCATCTCTTCAGGCTGTCTGGCAAGTGCTTCAGCCTGGTGGAGTCCACGTGAGTGTGGGTGGGGACAGGGAAGGGGGGGCTGAGGGGGCGGCTGTGTGGCAGTGCCCAGGGGTGGCTTGATGCTCCCGTGTCCCCAGCTACAAGTATGAGTTCTGCCCATTCCACAACGTGACCCAGCATGAGCAAACCTTCCGCTGGAACGCCTACAGCGGGATTCTAGGGTGAGTGGAGGGGGCGGGCTCTGGTGGGGGCGGGGCTCTGCTCTCCGGCCCCAGCTTGCTCTCCTGCCATCCCAGCATCTGGCACGAGTGGGAGATCAGCAACAACACCTTCACGGGCATGTGGATGAGTGAGGGCGACTCCTGTCGCACCCGGAGCCGCCAGAGTAAGGTGAGGGCTGGGAGAGGCCGGGGGGAGGGCCCAGGCCCACGCCCGTTCTGAAGCCCCCTCCCCAGGTGGAGCTCACCTGTGGCGAGAGCAACCGGCTGGCCCACGTGTCCGAGCCCAGCACCTGCGTCTACGCCCTGACCTTCGAGACACCCTTGGTCTGCCACCCGCATTCATTGCTAGGTGAGGCGGGGCGGGGCGGGGCGGGGCGGGGCAGTTAGGGCGGCTCCTCTAACCTGCACCTGTCCCCAGTGTACCCGACCCTGCCCGAGGCGCTGCAGCGGCACTGGGACAAGCTGGCGCAGGACCTGGCCGACGAGCTCATCACCTCCCAGGTGAGCCTGTGCCCACCCAGGGGGAAGCCGGGACCCGCACGCCCTGCCCCTGCTCCCGTGCCACGTCCACCTCCAGGGCTACAAGAAGCTGCTGAGGGCGCTGTTTGAGGATGCTGGCTACATGAAGGCCCTGGGAGAAAACTCGCCTGCCCGGGAGGGGGCGCCGAAGGCCGTGGGGCTGGAGAGTCTGGAAACGTGCAGGAAGGTAGGGCGCAGGACAGCCAGCCACTGGCTGCCGCCCACAGAGGCCTGACTTGCCACGCCACACTGACCTGCCCCTCCCGCTCTAGGCCCACTCGGAGCTGACCGAGGAGATCCAGAGGCTCACCTCGCTGCTCAGCCAGCATGGCATCCCCTTCTCAAAGCCCACAGGTTGGTGTTAAGGCCCGGGCATTTTGGGGACGCAGCGCTGTGGGGCAAATCCCGACTTGCTCCCTGGGGTTTTGGCAGAACCATCTCGTTTGGAACAGCACCTGGGCCAGGGGCTCCCCACTCACGGGCTCTCAGAGCAGCTGAGAGGAGACCCTGGGCTGCGTGGCAACGCCCTGTGACCTGAGCAACCTGGAGCGAGGGGAGAGGAGGAGGGCCAGGCAGGCCAGCGGGCGGAAACCGCCTCTGCACCCACCTGGCCAGACAGTGCCGTCCCTCAATGTGAGCACAAAGGAGACCTGCACAGTAAAGACGGAGAGGTTTAATTTGAAGTCCCATACTGATAAAAATAATTCCATGAGTTCTGTAAACCATTGCGAAAACGCTATAGTGTAAAAAATTTAAACAGATGTTAACAGCTGACCACACGTAAATGATTATGCAGTATAAACACACCTTGGAGACCAGGAGGCCGCCAATGCACACGCACCCAGGTGTGCGCAACAAGGCTTCCGCACTGCGCTGAAGTCCGCAGGAAGTGCCCACACTGGGAAGCCTGCCACTCTAATCTACTGTGAACGTGACCCCAGAGACACAATGGGCAACACAGACAAGGGTGGGGCGGGCTCCCACAGCCTCCGTCCTGGCCCAGCCTGACACGGGCCGCCAGCCTCCTCCCCTCAGCCCCTTGCCCAGGAGCGCTCTGCACCACAGGAGGGAGGCGAGGAGCCGTGCCCCGGGTCAGTAGGCGCTGGCCGTTCCCTGTCTTCAGGCTCTGAAGCTCCGTTGCCCCACACAGGGACTGGCCCGTGTGGATGGAGCCTAGCCGTTTCACTAACTTGAAAAAGTCTAGGCACGATACCAATCATCAACACTGGCCTGTTGTCCTCGAAAAGACCAGAGGCCCACATGAAACAAGTGCATAAATATCAATAAAAATAATCAAGAGTGATTAACAATAGCACAAAAATACGCGATTTCTAGGTAGTGAGCTAGTAAGTCATTCGCTATATAATTAAGAACAAAATAAGATTCACTAAAACCAAGAGTTGCTTTTAGTAACGACTAGCTGTGGAATGTCATAGATTCATTTCCTTTAAAATGATAGAGAATTCTCTACCTGTGTCATATTAAAAATGCTTTTAAATCTCCTATATTAAATACATTCTAGTTTGGTCATTGATAAAAATGTTAACCTAGTCACTTTGCACTTTAAAAAATGCTATTAAAAGTCTTTGGCAAAGCCTCAGGGGAGGGGAAGCCTGGTGTCCAGATGTCTCCCCAGGTGTCCAGGCCGTCCAGTCCTGACCAGCTAGGGCCCAAATCACTGCACTGGACTTGTGCTGCGGGTCCAGGCCAGGCCGTGGTGGCCTCTGCTTAACGGTCCACGTAGGTTGATGCTCCACTGCACCCCATTGTCCATTAAGTCTGCCTATCCCCCCTTCCCCACCCCCATGCCCAGATGGCTCTGGGAAGTTACAAAGCACCACTGCCTGTTAGGTAAGTCTTCAGAACACAGCTGCTTCCAAAGTGAATGTCCGAGACTCTCCAATGTGAATCTGGGCCCTTCGGTTAGCATCAAATTGTCTTCACAGGAAAAATCAAAGCCAAACCAGTCACTTCCCTTACTTCTGACGCAAGGCACAGGCACTTAGAGAAGGTGGCCGCAGGTTACGCGATGCGTGCAGACTGCTCAGTGCCAGCTCCAGACACAAGCGTAACTGCTACCTGTGTGCACGTGCTCGCTAGGAAAGTGAGTTCCTCAGGAAATTCAAAACCTCTAAATGTCTTTCAATAATCACCCTGCTTATAAATACTATTTGTTTGCAAATAATTTGAAAAAGTAAAAATCCTAGATCTTCCTCGCTACTAGATAAATGCTCTCACTTCGTAAGTAGTTTCAGAATACGAAATCTATTCACTGTACTAAGAGTTAACAATAAACCGATAGGAAACTCCAAAGTTCACAGTACATACATAAAGCTTCATGTTACCTCATATTAAAAACATGAACCTAGAAAGCAGCTTAAAATGTCTTAACTAAATTCCTCGGTTTACAAAGTGCTTTGAGAAGGCCTGGCCTCGCGGGAGGCTGGCTGACCAGCACGGGCCCATCCACGGCCCAGACCTCAAGGTACGAGCCCCCACAGACAGGGTTGGGGTCTTGTTTTTAAGGTGTTTGAAAACACCTTGGAACCGCTGGTGAGCACACGGTTGGCAGAGACTCACGTCCTGGCAGCAGTGCACGGCGGCCCTTCACGGTGCTCGGCAGCATCGGGCTCCGCTCCGGTCACCACGGGCTCTGGCCCTCGCAGTAAGGGCACTCGGGTGCCGAGGCTGCACATGTGTCGCACAGGACCTGGTGCTGACAGGGCTGCGCAGCGGTGCCAGGGGCCCGCTCCTGGCAGGCCACACACTGCTTGGCACGGAGCTGGTAGATCACCTGTGGGGAGGGATGGGTGGGGCTTAGAGTCCAAGGCCGTCTGCAAAGCCAGGGGCACTCAAGGATGATGGGTCCCGGCCAGAAGGGTGGCTGGGCAGTCAGAGGCAGGGGAAACATGCTCCCTGGAGCACCACGGCCACAGGGGAGGACTGGCAGGTGGGGCCCTGAGAGACCCGCGGCGCTGGATTCAGCTGCAGCCACAGCAGGCTCATGTGAGGCTGGGCTGTGAAGCGCCCCAGAGGTGCTGGCAGGATGACCCAATGTGAAAGACGGGGCGAGGAGTGGACAGGTGTGAGCTCTCACCTCCTCCGAGCACCCCAAAGGCAGCCATGCAGCAACACACGCTTCTAACCACCGTGCAGTGGCAGAGCCAGTCTGCACAAGGCACAGCCTACTGACTGCCGGAAGGAAGAGCACAGAAGCCAGCCCGATAGAGAAGAGACACTTGCAGCACAGGCTGTGGGAGCCCGACCCCTCCCCCCCCAGGAGATAGCCTAGAAGCTGCCACTGCCCTGGCCAGGACTCACCCCGTCGACGGCTTCCAGCTCCAGGCGCAGCTGGCTCTGCAGGGAGTGCAGCTGGGGCAGTGGGACGCTGCCCATGTCGCTGGGCAGCGGTGACACCAGGCCGAGGCCCTCGAGCTCCTGCTGCAGCCGCTTCACCTGGGCCTCCACCTCCTCCTTCCTCCGCAGGGCCAGCTGGCGGTCGCTGTCTGCCACCCGGGCGCGCTCCCGGGCCTCCTGGGCCTCTCGCTGCCACGCGTCGCAGGCCTGAAATCCAAGGGGTTCATGCAGGAGCGAGGGTGGCTCCGGGCGGCTCTCCACGCGCGGGGGGCACCGACTCACGCCTCCCACGTGGGGCCTGTCCACCCGCTCACCTGCTTCACCTGCCGCCAAGACTCCTCCCACCGTCGGATCTTCCTTCTGGCCTCATCCAGCTGCCGCCTGACCCGGGCCAGCTCGGCGCTGCTGGGACTGGCGTTTGCCGGGGCCATGGTCCCTGGGTTCAGGACGGGGGATGGGCTGGGGGAAAAGCTGCCAGACACGAAGTCCCAGATGCTCCCAGGGACGCCATTCAAGCCTGAGAGGGAGTTGGAACAGAAAAGGTACAAGTTCTCGAAGGCTCTACACACAAGACGCTGGAGGCCCTGAAGTGGTGATGCGTTAAAAAAGAGAGCATTCCGCGTGGAAGGTGAATACTGAATACGTCACAGCACCAGACGGACGGGGTGCAAGGCATGCCGCAAAAAGCCGTAGAACAGGAAGGAGGCGGGAGTACGGAGGTAGCGCGGAGGTGACATGGTATCTGCGGGTTGGGAGTCACCATGGGGAAGCCCCTGGGTGCCATGCGTGGGCATGAGCAGAGCGGGTGACAGGGCACCCTGTCGGGGAGGAGTGGAGAGGGTGGATGGAAGCTCGATGGGTGCTTTATTTGCTTATGTGAAAATGGACACAGAGCTGTTGAGCTGGTTTTATTTGAAGGTTGGCGGGGAGCTGGCGGGCGGCGAGCAGGGCTGAAGGCGGCACGGGAGGCCGTGAGGTCAGCGGGTGCCTCAGACAATACGGAACTGTCACAGCGCCCGAACGCGCGCCAGCTCAAACACAAAAGCACGTTCCGCATTGCGACAGACGCCTTCAGAGAAATGGCCTCTGCCAACCAGGTCCAGCGGGGGTGCGGCAGGAAGAGTCAGGGAGGGCCTCCAGGGGAAGAGGCCCAGCCGAGTCAGGTGAGCCTCCCCAGGGCGGGGCAGGGAGGGCACCGGGCACTCACCTAAGGAGCTGTAGGAAGAGGCTGCGGAGCCCAGGGGGCCCGGCTCTGACCGCAGGGGCAGCGGTGGCTGCTGGGGGGGCGTCATGGCTGAGGAGACCAGAGGCCGGGACAGGGACTGGGAGAGGGAGCCGAGTGGAGAGGTGGACAGCGAGGAGGAGGACTGCAGGGACGGCGAGCGGGGCAGGGGGCCGGGGATGGTGACGGGCGCCGAGCCCCCCAGCGACCTGGCGCCTGCAGAGGGGGGCCGCGTGAGGCGAGGCACGCAGGCGGCGCACGCACCCCCGCACCTGCGCACCCGCCCCACTGTCCCCTCCTGAGCCACCTGGGTCTCCAGGAAGAGCCAATCAGCACGGGGGCCCGAGACCTAACTGCCCCCCAAGCAAGCAATGCCTGCTCGTCACCCGAATCAGCCCGCCGTCCAGGGGACCCCGGCAGACGGCCTGGGCTCCTCTGCAACACGGCCTGAGATACACTGGGGCTGTTTGAACAGCGTCTTTCTTATCGGCTCTCCCTTTTAACCGGAGGCCGGCATCGGCACCTCCACAGACGCCGTCTTCCTCAGGTGCCGTGGGATAACCTCCCTTCCCCGCTCTCTGCCGCGTCTCTATCTGGTGTGGGGGGGCAAGTGGTCAGACGTGAGGTGGGACTCCTAGACTTTCGGCCTGAAGTCTGAAAAGGTTTTCAGGAACACCTGCCCTGAGCTCTGCCCTGCGGACCCCGGGGCGGGGCGGGGCGGGGCAGAGTGGGGCTCAGAGGGCACCGGAGAGACTGGGCCCCCAGAGCTGCTCCTGCTCCTACCCCTGGCTTGGCGGATCAGCCCCTCGGCATCTGAGCAGAGAGACCTTGCAGGGGTCCTAGGCTCGGGCCAGGGGCCCTCCGGGGTGATGCTCCCAAGGGCTCCGGGGGATCCCTGAAGTGGCTAAGATCTGAGAAGGCCTGCAAATGTGGCAAAAGCGGCAGCCAGCCAGGCCTGACTCGAACACCGTACTGCCAGAGGGAGAAGCAAGCCGGCAGCCCAGCACTCACTTGGCAGTCCTGGGTCCCGGCGCTCCGGCTCCTCCAGGTCTTTTTCTAGGGATGCAATATTTATGTCGCTAAGACGAAGATCTAAGGCAGAACCTGTGAGAAGAAGCAGCCCGCATTGCCGTGGACCGCTCAGCCCACAGCGAGCCCCCGCCCAGAAGGCTGAGCCTGAGCCCAGGGCCCCAGCTTGAAGCCAGGGGCAGGAGGGGTGCTGGGGACAGAGAGCGGCCGCGGCCCCAGCCCCACCTGGCATGGCGGCCAGGCGAAGCCCCCACAGGGCTGCCCACCCGCAGAGGCCCGCTGCGCCCCGCTGCCTCTCCAACGTCTTGCCATTTGTTAAGCATTAGCCATACAAGTCTCCCACGGCGCAGGCCAGCGAGCGTGTGGCTCCTGGCACTGTGGCTGGGCAGCAGGCCTGCGGGCCCTGGCACCCCCACGGCTGAAGCAAACTTAGAGGCTCCACCAGCCAAAAGCAGAAGCCACACCCAGAGCTGGTCTTCCCTAACACTCCTGGGGAAAGCGGGCCGGGTCCTCCCCTCTGGACGGACAGCCTGCTGCCAAGGCCCTTGGGGTGGTCCCGCATCCCAAACCTGTTGCTGGTCCTTCCCACAGGCCTAGGTCCCCCCGGCCTCCCCGTGGGGCCCGGCCCCTCCCGTGGGCGGCTCGCGAGCCTCCCCAGCAGCGTGATCTCAGCCTGGTTTCATGGACGCTGCAGCCTGAAAACTGAATCCCCCGGCGGCCGCAGCATCCACTCGGGGGAAGCACGGGAAGCGAAGCAGAGCCTCCGCTGCGCTAGCCTCTCCCCTGGCCGCTCGGTCCTGGGGCTCACAGTGCACCCCACGTGGACCTGGTCCAGCGTGGCCCAGCACAGCGGCAGGCCCTGTTCTCCGGATGCCAAGCCCCACTTTGATGGCACGGTCCCCCGTGGATGGCCTCCCGCCCCTCAGCCACTCCTGACTCACTGCCCTTGCTGGGCGCATTTCTTCAGAGCAGGATGAAGGGACCAGATGGTCGGATCTTCCTGGGGGGGTTGGCAGCGGCTCCCGGGGCCCCAGTGCCCTCCTGCAGCCTCCCATACGCGCAGCCCAGCGCTTACTCCCAGCAGCACCCGGTGTGGGGGAGGAGGTCACCCCACTCCAAATGCTGAGGCCGCCTTCCTGCCCACAGCAACGGCCACCTCCCCGACGTGGACACGCGCCACACCACCTTCAGGCTCTGCCAGCGCCTCTGACCTCCGGCCTCTGAGGACGAGCTGTAGTGTGCAGACCTCACAGGGCCCCAGCCGGCCCCTCCTCGGCCCCGCCCCTTCCACGGCTGCTGTGGAGCGAGAACAGCCCCTCCAATCCTGGATTTGCGTGGCCCTAAAACTTGTGTGTCAGCCCGCAAGATGCCAATGAGCCGTGGAGGTGTGCCCTGCTCCCATCTCTCCTACCTCCAGGGCCCTGCCCTGAATGGAGCTGACCGGGCGCGGCCGTGTGGGCCTGGTGTTCAGTACCCAGACAACCAGGTAAGAGCGATCCGTGACTTATTCTGGCAGGCTTCCAGAAACTTCCAGAAACTCGTGAACTAGGGCAGGAGCGAAGGAGGCAGGAGAGGGGACCAGCTCCTCCCTGGGCAGCGCTGACTCAGCACGGGGACTCCAGGGCCCCGGGGCAGCGGGGTGAACCCCACAGGGCGGGACGGGGACTCCTGCTGCAGCTCAGCTGCAGTCGGCAAGGGTGAGTGGCTGCAAAGCGGTCAGCATGTCCCTGGGGCCTCCTGGAGACCAGAAGCTGCTCCCTCCTCCTCACCCCACACAGCTGGGCCCAAGGTAGGGCCCAGGGCCTCGGGCTGCCCCGAGTGCCGCCCACCTCAGCACCAAGCACAAATTTTAAAAGCCACTGGAGACGGAGAGTGTGGCTGGGTGCTGGAGTACTTGCCTGTCGGGAGCCCTGGTTCCATTCCTCAGTACCACATACACAGAAGACACCGGAAGTGGTTCTGTGGCTCAAGTGGTAGAGAGCTCGCCTTGAGCAAAGCAGCTCAGGAACAGCGCCCAGGCCCTGAGTTCAAGCCCCAGGATGGGCAAACCCAAAACAGAACAAAACCACCAGAAATGCGAGACTCGTTATGTAAACACAGAAAGGCTGAGCTGTAGCCCCAGACCCAGCTACCAGGAGCACCTGGGGCTGGGAAGGGCACAAGCTGGGGAGACAGCCAACACCTGGCCCAACATGACTCGGCACAAGGCCGGGGGCGCGCGGGTCCCGGGGTGAGAGGGCGCGGGGAGGCCGGGGCGAGAGGGCGCGGGGAGGCCGGGGTGAGGGGGCGCGGGTCCCGGGGTGAGGGGGCGCGGGTCCCGGGGTGAGGGGGCGCGGGTCCCGGGGTGAGGGGGCGCGGGTCCCGGGGTGAGAGGGCGCGGGGAGGCCGGGGTGAGGGGGCGCGGGTCCCGGGGTGAGGGGGCGCGGGTGCCGGGGTGAGGGGGCGCGGGTGCCGGGGTGAGAGGGCGCGGGGAGGCCGGGGTGAGGGGGCGCGGGTCCCGGGGTGAGAGGGCGCGGGGAGGCCGGGGTGAGGGGGCGCGGGGAGGCCGGGGTGAGGGGGCGCGGGTGCCGGGGTGAGGGGGCGCGGGGAGGCCGGGGTGAGGGGGCGCGGGTGCCGGGGTGAGGGGGCGCGGGTGCCGGGGTGAGAGGGCGCGGGGAGGCCGGGGTGAGAGGGCGCGGGGAGGCCGGGGCGGGAGGGCGCGGGGAGGCCGGGGTGAGGGGGCGCGGGTGCCGGGGTGAGAGGGCGCGGGGAGGCCGGGGCGGGAGGGCGCGGGGAGGCCGGGGGCGCGCGGGTCCCAGCCGCCCCACCCCGTTACCAGCTCCGGCGCCGCAGCCCGAGCACGCGCGCCCCCAACCCGAGCTCCCGGCCACCCGAGGGCGGAGAGCAGGGCCTGGTCCCACGGAGGAGCCGTGCGCGCCCCGCGCCCCGCACTCACCGGCTCCGGGAGCACCGGCGAGGGGGACGCCCGCGCGCCCCGCTCAGTGCACCGAGTCACGACGCCCCGCAGCCCGGTGCCGCGCCCCGGGGTCGCCGCGCCGCCGCCCAATGCTGACTCACGCCAGCCGGCGCCCCGCTTCAGCTGCAGATTCAAACCCAGCCCGCGCCCCGCCCCCGCCCGAGGTCCCGCCCCCGCCCGAGGCCCCGCCCCGGCGCGCGGGCCGCCCCGCCCCCGCCCGAGGCCCCGCCCCAGCGCGCGGGCCGCTCCGCCCCCGCCCGAGGCCCCGCCCCGGCGCGCGGGCCGCCCCGCCTCCGCCCGAGGCCCCGCCCCAGCGCGCGGGCCGCCCACGTGCGGAGAACGGAGGCCCCGCCCCGGCGCGCGGGCCCGCCCACCCATATGGAGAGCGCGCCGACCCGCCTCTCCCATATAAAGAGGCTCCGCCCCCAGCGCGCGGCCCGTCCCACGTCCGGAGAACGGAGGCCCCGCCCCCAGCGCGCGGGCCCGCCCCACGTGCGGAGAACGGAGGCCCCGCCCCCAGCGCGCGGGCCCGCCCCACGTGCGGAGAACGGAGGCCCCGCCCTCAGCGCGCCGACCCGCCCCCCTATATGGAGAGCGAGCCGACCCGCCTCTCCCATATAAAGAAGAGGCTCCGCCCCCAGCGCGCGGGCCCGCCCCGTCCATACAGAGAAGAGGCTCCGCCCCCAGCGCGCGGGCCCGCCCCGTCCATACAGAGAAGAGGCTCCGCCCCCAGCGCGCGGCCGTCTCGGTGGAGACGCGCAGCCCGCGGCGGCCCGGCCCCGCCCCGCTCGGCAGCGCCCGCCTGGCAGGTGAGGCCGCGGGTCAGTGTGCGGTTTCCCGGGCCTGGCCCCGCGGTGGCCCGCCTTCCGGGGCGGGGCGGGGGAGCGGGGAGCTCCGGGCCCGCAGCGCCGCCTGGCCCCGGGTCGCACGTTCTGTGCGTCTAACTCCCCCCCGGAGGCTCACGCGCCCAGACGGCCGGGGCGGGGCCCGCGCGCGCTGCGGGGCGGGGCGGGGCCCGCGCGCGCTGCGGGGCGGGGCGGGGCCGCGGACTCACCTAGCACGGCTTCCACGGTGCTGCCCGCGGCGGCGGCGTCCGGCGCGGCGGTGGGGGAGGAGCTGCCCGAGCCGGGGCTCGAGCCCGCGCTGGGGGCCCGGGGCTGAACCACTGCGAACACAGCCAGGTGGTTCTGTCCGAAAACACGCACAAGGTGAGCTGTGCCCGGGGTCTGCTCCCGACCCTGCCCGAGCCCAGCCCCCTCCTGCTCGGCAGCCCGCCGCGCCGCTTCTCCCCGCCAGGCTGCGGCCAGGCTGCGTCCGCCCAGGGCTGGCAGGCGTGGGCCCGGGGCCCCGCACGGCACTGCGGGCCGCAGGGCTGGCAGGCGTGGGCCCGGGGCCCCGCACGGCACTGCGGGCCGCAGGGCTGGCAGGCGTGGGCCCGGGGCCCCGCACGGCACTGCGGGCCGCAGGGCTGGCAGGCGTGGGCCCGGGGCCCCGCACGGCACTGCGGGCCGCAGGGCTGGCAGGCGTGGGCCCGGGGCCCCGCACGGCACTGTGGACCGACCTTGTCCGCAGCCCCGCGGTCACCAGCGCACCATCGCCAGGCGTGGGTCGCCGTCCAGCCACCGGGGCATACCATGCCACCTCCCGCTGCGAACTTCGGTTTTTGTTTAGATAAAATTTACCATCTTGATCGTCCCCTGTGCGCACGTGCTGGTGTGGGGGCTTGAACTCAAGGCCTCAAGCTCTCTCACTCAGCTTTCTTGCTCCTGGCTCAAAGGCTACTCATTGAGCCACACCCCCGGTCCAACATTTTGGAGGTTAACTAGAGAGAGTCTGGCAGACTATCCTGCCCAAGCTGGCTTTGAAGCTGCCAGTCCTCCCGGCTCAGCCTCCTCAGCAGGTAGGATTGCCGGTGTGAGCCAGCGCCCCAGGCCTCCACCTTACCACTCACCAGGACTCTGAGGCCGTTCCCTCCCCACCCCTCCCAGTCAGGGTCTCAACATGTAGCTCAAGCTGGCCTCACACATGAGCTTCTCCTGCTACAGCCTCCTCCACACGCATGCCTACCACGCTTGGACACGCTCACAGGAAAAAACGCCCTGCCACTGAATCTGTAGAGCAGCACTGTCAGGAGGAAACGGTGCTTCTCAAAACACCAACACCCGCGCCGAGCGGCGAAGCCAGGGCTGCTGTCTGGGAGGGCAACATGAAACCACCGCACACCCAGGCTCGCCGGGCTCATGAGGACAGACTGACGGAACAGAGGCCCGTCCACGGGCAGGAGTCCCACTGGACCTCAGGTGTGCCCAGAGCCACTTCTTGGGGACACAGTCAGGTGAAGATGAGCTCACTCGGATGGCGCTCACCCAACTAACTCATGTCCATACAAAAGAGATGACGGGCTGGCTCAGTGGTAGAGTGCTTGCTTTGCATGCACCAGGCCCTAGGTTCGGTTCTTCAGCACCACATAGAAAAAGCTGGGAGTGACGCTGTGGCTCCAGTGGTAGAGCGCTCGCCTTGAGCTTAAGAACAGTGCCCAGGCCCAGAGTTCAAGACCCACAACCAACCAAAAAGAAAGAAAAAGTAGGGCCCTTCACCTGCCGGCTGAACGTCTGTGAGAAACCCAAACCAGTATTAACCGGATGAGCCAAGAGCCAACAAGAACCACAGTGTGTTCAAACAAACAGGTTAGAAAGGCACTAGGAACCCTCAGCCCCTGGGCCCACCTGCTTGCCGTCCAGCTGGCTGCACCTCTGACTGCCTTCCGAGGGCGCCTCTCTCCACTTGGCCTGCAACAGAAAAACTGCTCAGGCTGGGAAGACCGAGCAGACCTCGCCCGACAGCACACAGCCAACGCGCCGCTCAGGGTTTGGAAATGTGAAAAGAAATTATTATTTTTTTGGCAATACTAGGGCCAGTCTAGTCTTTTTTTTTTTTTTTTTTTGGGTCCAGTCGTGGGGCCTGAACTCTGGGCCTGGGCGCTGTCCCTCAGCTCTTCAGCTCAAGGCTAGCGCTCTACCACTTGAGCCACAGCGCCACTTCTGGCTTTTTTCTTTTTGCTTATGTGGTGCTGAGGAATCGAACCCAGGGCCTCAGGCATGCAAGGCAAGTGCTTTACCACTGAGCCACCTTCCCAGCCCCCAGTCTAGCCTTGAACCGGAGTCCTCCCGAGCTCACCCTCCCGCCTTGCTAGGATTACAACTGTGACCCGTGAATGCCCTGCAGGAAATCCCTGATTCCTGGAGAGTCCCACAACAGCTCGGTGCGGACGCAGCCCTGGTGACAGCATGCGAGCACCATGCCCCACGCCCGCCCGCGGCCCCCACCCACCGCCTGCCCTGCTGGACACGCGCACGCCCCTCCTTTGGTCTTGCTTGGGTGCCTGGCCCAGATCCGAGGTGGGGAAGAACCCATGAGGCCCCTAGGTGCCTGCTCGGCCTGGCTGTACAGAGTGGGCGTCCCCAGGAACAGCCCTGCCGGATTTCCCGGGGGAGGCCCTGGGAAGGCAGGGGTCTCTATGCAGAATGCCAACGACCCCGTGGGTAGGAGCAAGTCCCAGGAGGGCAGTGTCCCCTGGGACTGTGCCCAGCTCTTCACCCCCACCAGCCCACGCTAGCCAGCCGACTGGACGGGCCTGGGCAGAGGCCCCACTAGCCCGGACACAACTGGTCTGCACCCCGGCAAGCCGACCGGGCATGCTTCCTTGTGCCTGGAACTTTCTTAGAAGCAAATGAGCATGTTGGTTCCCGTTTCAAAATTCAGCTAAACTTTGACCCCCACGGTCATGACCGAGGGGACCCAGTCTAGGGGCTGACAGCAATGAGATCGTGACTTCCAGACGAGAGCGAGAAGCCGCCTGTCTGAGCCCTCACGCCCCTCCCCGCCGAAGCCCAGTGTGCTGGAGTGCCAGGGACAGGGTGTCACACACACCATGCCGCTCCGTGATGACCTCCGCACCCCCAGCTCTGTGAAGACAAGCACCTGCTAGGCCAAGGACCCGCTCACTGGCCGGCACTGCAGCACCCCCCCCCAGCCCAGGCTGAGGTTCTTCTAGATTGTGGAGAGGAGCCCCAACACCAGCAGGCAGCCATCCTGCCTCAGGCTGCCGTGGGCCCCGGCGCGTCTACTTACATGTCCGGGCTGACTGCTGGGGGCCGGGGCGCCGCCGCTGGGCAGGTCACGACAACCCCACTCGCTCCCTAGGCCGAGGCTCTCTGCCAAGAAAGAAGAGCGGGCGCTAAGGGCCACCGGCAGCGGACAACACGCCAGGCTTTCAGGCCCTAGAGAGTCAGGGCTTGGAGCTCGTGCTGCTCTGGGGACGGTGGCCAGCCAAGATGGTCACATGGACCAAGGCCTCCGTGAGGTCTTCACATTCAAGCCTTGAGTGAATTTAACACTCAAAGTCCACGTTTAAAATGTAAAGAGTAGAAAGCTGAGCTGGGAGCATGTCTCAAGTGGTAGAGCACCTGCCTGGCAAGCTCAAAGTCCTGAGTTCAAACCACACTACTGTCAAAATGAAGGACAGGCCTGTGTCTCACTCCAGCTGAGATGTGAGAATCATGGTTCCAAGCCAGCCCAGGCAAGAGACTCTCTGAGACTCTTACTGCCGATTAACCAGCCAAAAGCCAGAAGCAGAGCTGTGGCTCAGGTGGTAGAGTATCAGCCTTGAGCAAAAATCTCAAGAGACAGCACTCAGGCCCTGATTAGCACAAAATAAGACTAGAAAGTAAAATTTGAGTGTAGGTCTTGGAATGTGCAGAGTGCTTGCCCAATATTCATAAAGCCCTGGGTTTGATTCTTCAGCACCACATACACAGAAAAAGCCATATGTGGAGCTGTGGCTTAAACGGTAGAGCGCTGGCCTTGAGCAAAAGAAGCTCAGGGACAGTGCCCAGGCCTTGAGTTCAAGCCCTATGACCAACCCAAAAACCCCCAAAAAACTGGAACCCAAACGCTAAAGCGGGGGGCGAGGGAGCGCGCAGAGGAGGCTGCCGCCCTCCTCCCTGGGGACAGGACTCCCTGCGGTGAGCAGGAGGCTGAGACCCGCCGGCCTCACTTCTAGGGACCCTGGTGCCTCCCCAGGGTGAGCTGAGAGACGCCCCTCCCTCCACAGAGGCCCCGCCCTGGGTCCTGGGCAGCACGGCCGCCCCGGGCGAGGTGCGGGTGAGCAGGTGGGGCAGCAGGACAGGACCCAGGTCTGCACGGACCCCGGGGGCTGGAGGCAGGAGGCCCCCTGGGCTCTGCACCGCCGGGTCTATGGCAGGTATGAAAGGAGGGTCCTGTGCCACCAACCCCCCCCCGCCTCCCCCAGGGGGCCGAGCGCCCTAGCCCTCAAAGCTTGCACGGGATGACCCTAACAATCACACATGCTGAAGGAGGGCCCCCAGACCACGCACACACACGTGTGCACGCCGGGACCGCCGACTCACTCTCCGCGTGTGCAAACGCACAGAAGGGGCCCCGCGGGCAGAAGCCGGTCTGACGCATGTCGTTGCACTTGGTCGACTTGTAGATCTAGCAAGGAAAAGCGGAGGTGAGGGCTGCGCTGGCGGGGCGGCCGGGAGAAGGGCGGAGGTGGCCAAGCCCCCGTCCTGGGGCTGCCAGTCCACCGGCCACAGGGCAGGCGCCACGGGCCCACGGCCACGGCCACCGCAGGCCTGACGCAGCGGACCGGTCCCGCTCCTCCCAGCTCCGCCGCCCACGTCCCTGGAGCTCGACACCAGGCCCCCCTTCTCTCCCCGCCCCCCCCGCGTGGGGCCACCCGTAGCAGGGTGACCTGTCGGGCCCTGCCTCTGCTGGCGGCCCCCCTCCTGCGGCGCTCACCTCGGGGTGGAACTGCTGCTCGGTGCGGGAGTGGCAGTACTGGCAGCCGTCCCCCCCATCGCAGCGGGAGGGCTCCCCCCACTCATCGCCAAGCTTCACGCTGGGGCACGGTGTGGACCTGCGGGCGAGGACCAGCGCAGGTCACGCCCGCCCGGGGGCCAGGCCGGGGCAAGGCACCCTGCGCTGACCACCGCAGGGCCGACGCCCCTCGGGGTGGGACGCGGGGCGGGAGGCAGCGTCTGTGCCCCAGCAGAGACCCGCGGCCAGGGCCGACCCACCCACCTGTACTGGAACCTCCCGGGCTTCCGCCGGCGGTCCCGGCTGTTGTGGTAGTGTGGGCAGGCGTAGCCCTGGCGGCACAGGCGCGGTGGCTTCGGGCACTGCTCAGTCTTGTAGCTGCCCAGAACGAAGCTGGCATCTACAAAACAGGGGGGCAGACGCCTGGCCCCGGGGCCTCCAACCGACCCACAGCCACATGATGGACACTCCAGCCACGAGACGGGCGGGCTAACAGCTCCCTCCACGCGGGCCAGCCCTGAGAATGCCACACACAGCAGAAGCCACGGCCACGGGGGCCACGGGGCTTAGATGTACAGAACAGGACATCCAGACACCGAAAGTGGAACAGAGGCGGCCGGAGGCGGAGGAGGGGGGCAGGGCAAGACTACCAACGGGGATGGGATTTCCTTTCCTTTTGGCCCGTCCTGGGGCTTGAACTCAGGACCTGGGCGCTGTCCCTGGACTGCTTCCGCTCAAGGCTAGCACTCTACCACTTGAGCCACAGCGCCACTTCTGGCTTTGTCTGTGTATGTGGTGCTGAGAAATCAAACCCAAGGCTTCGTGCATGCATTCTGGCAAGCATTCTGCCACTGAGCCACATTCCAGCCCCTGAGATTTCCTTCTGAAGCAATAAAAATTAGGGCTGGGCATCGTGGTACACTCTTTCAATCCCAGATACTCAGCAAGTAAAGATCAGGAGGATCACCGTTCAAGGCCAACCTGGGAAAAAGTTAGCAAGACTGCTATCTCAGTAAGCAAGCTGAGCATGGTTTTAGCTCAGGGCTTTCTCCACGCACAGGCAGACCCTGAGAGCCACCATGGGCTTGTGGCTCCATCGGTGCATCTTTGGGGATGAGTATGCTACTCTTAAAACTTCACTACCCAGAGAGGTGTGGACAGAAACCGACAGACAGAGGCAAGCAAGCAGGGAGTGGGCTGCTGCCATGGGGTTTCCATCTGGGGCGGCGGGAAAGTTCTAGAACTTGACAGGTGATGACGGCACAACACTCGAATGTGCCGCTGAGTTGCTCACTTGGACACAGTGAGCTCTGTGCGTGCTCTCTACCTACAAAACCCCCAAGCCTTCCTTGGTCACCACCACCATGCCAGGCACCAGAGAGCGCACACAGGTGGAGGCCCAGGGAGACAGGCAGCCGGCGCAGCCAGGCCAGGGCGGGCGGGCAGGACGCCTGGGCGCAGACTGCGCCCCCCGCCAGCCGTCCAAGCGCCCACAGCGCCCGGGCCGGGCTCCCCGGGCGGCGCCCCTCCCGCTGCCCCCTCGGCTCACCTTGCCAACGGGGGTCCTCGCCCAGGGTCTTCTCAATCATGGCCTGGCTGGCCAGCACGCCAGGCTGCAGGTCGGGCACACCATCCCCGCCGCCAAGCTGGCCATTCTGCAAGGCTTCCTGAGCCTGTAGCTCCCTGCAAGAACACAGCGTCACAGGCCCGGGCAGCCCGGACGCCGTGCACCAACACTGGCGGCAGCCTACCACCCCCGGGTGCAGCCCTGGGGAGTGATGGTCCTCACCCAGCCCCCACGAGTCACAACTAGCTCTGCTCAGAAGCATGCGGGTCCACCTGGGGGGCCAGGTGTGGCGGCACACGCCTGTAATCCCAGCCTTCAGAAGGCTGAGGGGGCGGGGTCTGGAGTTTGAGGCCAGGCTGGGCTACAGAGCCACACACCCCGAGATGGAGAGCAAGGCAGAGAATGAAGAAATGCATCTCCCTGGGTCTCAGCAAGCTGGGACTGGAGCCGCGGCCCTGGGTCTCAGCAAGCTGGGACGGGAGCCGCGGCCCTGGGTCTCAGCAAGCTGGGACGGGAGCCGCGGCCCTGGGTCTCAGCAAGCTGGGACGGGAGCCGCGGCCCTGGGTCTCAGCAAGCTGGGACGGGAGCCGCGGCCCTGGGTCTCAGCAAGCTGGGACGGGAGCCGCGGCCCTGGGTCTCAGCAAGCTGGGATGGGAGCCGCGGCCCTGGGTCTCAGCAAGCTGGGATGGGAGCCGCGGCCCTGGGGGCCGCAGGGGCCGCGTGTCCTCACCGGATGTCCCACACGGGCGGCCGCAGGTCCAGGGGGCCGTGCGCGAAGGCGCAGTGCAGCCCGTTCTTCACGCAGTGGCCGCGGGCGTCGGTCTCGTGGATGCACGTGCCCGTCTTATAGTAGCGCAGGTGGTACTTGCGCTCCGTGTCCCCAGTGGTCCGGTGCAGGTAGGGGCACCTGGGAGGCAGAGGAGTGGAGCGTTCCCTCGGGTCCCTCGGATGGGGGGCTGACCCTCTGCGCCCCCCGCCATGCCGCCCCATGCCGCCCCGCCCCGCCCCGCCATTCCGCCCCATGCCGCCCTGCCCCGCCATGCCGCCCCGCCCCGCCACACCAGGGCCGCAGACTTCTGATCTGGCTGCAAAGAGGACGACACCAAACAGGCACCTACCCCCAATTTGGGACCCTTGCCTAAGGACTGATACCAAATCTCCCTGTTGTATACAGCAGGGAAAAACAAACACAACCACTGACTGCGCGGGAAGCCAGGCCTTGGGCGCGTTTAGTAACAGTTCTAAAGTTGTCCGTGCCCGGCACGCGGGCCGGTCCTTTCCTGGCAGGCCATTATCAGAGAAGGCGTGGTGACTACCGCCAGCATCCAGGGAACTCAGGGCCCAGGAGAGGGAAGGGGAGGCTTGGGGTGGGAGAGCCCGGGCCTGGAGGGGTTAGGGAAGAGCCACGGTGGGAGGCAGGCTGAGAGGTGCAGACGGTGGCATCCCCAGCCACGGCCTCCTCGGAGAGCAACGGGGCGAGCGACTCGCAGGGCAGGGGCTCAGCCCGCTGCCTCCCAGAGCCTGAGCTGACCCTCGGATAGGAAAGAGGAAGCTGCGACCTCAGGACCAAGGAGAGGGCCTGAAGGACCCGGCGGAGCGCACACAGGCGCACGCCAGGACCCGCTGCCCACCAGGCTGCACTCCGTTCCTATGGGGCAGGGTGTCACCCACATGACCCAGGGAGGCCAATGGGACCCCACCTGGGGCAGGCCTGCCCACCGGACCAAAGTGTACCAGGCGGCCCCAGAGCCAGGCCAGTGGTGAGGGGGACGGGGTGGGGAGGGGGTGGGGAGGGGGTGGGGAGGGGGAGGGGGAGGGGGGTGGGGAGGGGGAGGGGTGGGGAGGGGGAGGGGAGGGGGTGGAGAGGGAGAGGGGGTGGGGATGGGGACGGGGTGGGGAGGGGGACGGGGTGGGGAGGGGGAGGGGGTGGGGAGGAGGACGGGGTGGGGAGAGGGAGGGGGAGTGAGGGGGACGGGGTGGGGAGGGGGAGGGGGTGGGGAGGGGGACGGGGTGGGGAGGGGGAGGGGGACTGTGGAGAGGGGAGCTGTAGGGAAAGCGGGTGAGGGCGTGCGCCCACCCACCCAGGAAATGGTGGTGGCGCAGGGCAGTAGAAACAGCAGAGCGCCCAAGGGAAAGGAGAGCAGAACTGAGGAAAGCGGCAAGGGCAGGAAGGGTGGGGGCCGCCTGGAGAAGGGAGGGAGACAGCTGGGAACAATGACAGGGTGCCAGCCTCCAGCTCAAGACCCCTCCAAAGAACCGTTCAGAACAAGGCTCCATGCTCTTTGATGTAAGTTCATGGTTTAAATATCAGCTTGGGCTGGAAGGAGCGCACTGACACAGAGCACTGGACCCCTAATCTGACTTAAGACATTGTAACCGCTCTGTCCAACCACGTAATAGATAATAAAGTAAAACGATGAGTTTGGAGCTGGGACCAGATGGCTCACCCCTGTCATCCTAGCCACGCAGAAAGCTTGAGATCTAAAGATCTCAGTTCAGGGCTGGGAAGTTGTCTCAGTGGTAGAGCACTTGCCTTGCATGCTCGAGGCCCTGGGTTCGATTCCTCAGCACCACATAAGAAAAAAGCCAGAAGTGGTGCTGTGGCTCCAGTGGTAGAGCGCTAGCCTTGAGCTGAAGAGCTGAGGGACAGCGCCCAGGCCCAGAGTTCAGGCCCCACGACCGGACCCAAAAAAAAAAAAAAAAGATCTCAGTTCAAAGCCACCCAGGGCAGGAAAGTACATGAGGCTCTCATGTCCAATTAACCACCAAAAACAAAAAAATACTAGTAGTAGAGCTGTGGCTCAAGTGGTAGAGCAGCCTTGAGCGAAAAAGCTAAAGGATAATCAATGCCCGAGCACACACACACACACACACACACACACGCGCGCACGCACACGCACACTCACACGCACACACGCACACACACAGAGCCAATGAGCTCAAAAGACCTCATTCTTGCCAAAAGGAACTACCCGTTCACAATTTCCTAGCAACTCTACATGAACCAAAATACATAGTTCATCGGGAGGAACGGCAGCTGCTCCTGTGCTTGGTGGAAGGATGGGAGGAGCGGAGAGAGCACCCCAAGGGAGCCAGCTGGACAACTGGGCCCAAAGACCTGAAGCCAGACCCTGCGCTGAGTTGCAAAAGCCTGAGCCACACTGCTTTCTTTCTAGGCGCATACAGGCGGCATGCGTCCCAACCCAACCCTCACGCACTCTTCTCTCACTGGTTTCCCAGTGATGAACCTCTGTTCAGTCAGACGGTCTATTAACCTGTCTGTAGTAACTGCATGATCCAATTACTAATTTTTTTTTGTTGGCCATGGGGCCTGAACTCTGGGCCTGGGCGCTGTCCCTCAGCTGTTCAGCTCAAGGTGAGCGCTCTACTGCTTGAGCCACAGCGCCACTTCCAGTTTTTTTGTGGTTTTATTGGAGATAAGAGTTTCACAGGCTTTCCTGCCCAGGCTGGTTTTGAACCGAGATTCTCAGATCTCAGCCTCCTGAGTAGCTAGAATTACAGGCATGAGCCAGGGATGCCTGGCTCCGTGAGATTCCTATCTCCAAGACACCACTAGAAAACTGGAAATCTGGAGGTGGCAGTGTAGCTCACGGGTAGAGTGCTCGCCTTAAGCTGAGGAGCGCAAGGACAGAGCCCAGGCCCGGAGTTCAGGCCCCACCACCGACAGCGCCGGTGGCTCGCGCCTGTCATCCCAGCTACCAGAGGCTGGGACCTGAGGATGGTGGTTCAAAGCCAGCCCGACAGATGAAGTGCGAGAGACTCTCTGTCTCTAGTGCACTAAACGACTTCAAAGTAAAGCCATTTATGCTTAAAAACACAATGTACACAAAAGCTTGCTTCCTGGAAGTTTTCAAGTGTGACATAGATGATACTCAGCAGGGCTGAGCAGCAGGAGGGGCGGCACCGACCGGCTGGGGAGGGGGGCGGGGCCGGGTGGTGAGGGGAGTGGCCGGGGCGGGGCCGGCGAGAGGCGTGGCCGGGGCGGGGCTCGGGGCGGGGTGGGGAGGACGGGGCAGGGTGGGGGGTCCGGGACGGGGCGGGCGGGGTGGGGGGGGGGCCGGGGCGGGGTGCGGCAGGAGAGGCGGGGAGGGGCGGGCGGGGCGGGGCAGGCTCCGCAGCCCAGCACCAGCCGTCCCGCAGCCCCAGGCTTGGCGGAAGCCCACCGGCCTGGGAAACACAACCACAGCCAAAGGAGCCTGCCCGGCAGTGCCGCCAGGGCCCGGACAGGTGAGGCAGGCCAGCGATCTGCAACCCACGGGCCCCGAGCTGGCCTCACGGTGTCCGGCCCAGGTACGGAGCGGGGGCAGGGGAGGGAGAGCGTGGCAGAGAAGGGGACCTGGCAGCTGGGACCCCGGCCCCGCCCCTTCCCACCCCGGCCGCGCCCTTCCCTGGCCCCGCCCCTTCCCAGCCACGACCACTCCCTTCGCCGGCCCCGCCCTTCCCCGGCCGGCCCCGCCCCTTATCGAGCCCCGCCCCCAGCCGTTCCCCTCGCCGGCCCCGCCCCCTCACCGAGCTCCGCCCCGGCCACTCCCCCTCGCCACCCCAGCCCCGCCCCCTCACCGAGCCCCGGCCCGGCCATTCCCCCGGCCCCGCCCCCTCGCCGAGCCCCGCCCACTGCTCTCGCCGGCCCCTCCCCTCGCCGCCCGGCCACGCCCCCTCGCCGCTCGGCCACGCCCCCTCGCCGAGCCCCACTCACTCGTCGCCGTCGGGGCAGAGCCCGGAGGCCTCGTCGTACTTGGCGCAGTACACGTCGGGGCTGTAGTTGAAGGTGCCGTCGCGCCTGCGGAGCGGTCTGCGCCGACGCTGATTTAGGAAATGCCAATGGAAACAGGTAAATGGCCTGTGCTGGCTGCACCTGTGCTGCACAAACAGGGCGCACTGCTCTGTCCTAAACTCCTTTAGATACCTAAAAAGACAAACAGCGTTGCGGGTCGCTTCTGCCGCCGCCGCCGCCGCCGTCGGGCGGCCCGGGCCTCGTGGGCGGGGCGGGTCCCCGGTGCGCGCCCACCCGGAGCCCGGAAGACCCGGATGCACCGACGGACCCCGCCTCCGCCAGTCGGGACGGAGCCCAGATGACCGCATAGGGCGCGACCCCGACCCCGGCGCACCGGCTGGACCCCGGGCGCGGTCCCGACCCCGGGCGCGGTCCCGACTCCGGGCGCCTCAGCTGGACCCCGGTGCCGTTCCGACCCCGGGCGCGGCCCCCCCCTTCGGTTCCAGACAGGCCTCAGGGCGAGGCCCCGGGGCACGCGCGACCCCCGACCTCCGCCAGGCGCGGCGGCCGCGGGCGCCAGGCCCGGCCTCCAGCCCCCCACCCGGGAGCCCCGGCCGCGGGGCGCCGGCCCGCGCCCACACGGTCGCGCGTCTCCCCGGACCCCGGCGCGGCCCCGACGCCCACCCCCGGCCGCGGCCTCCAGGCGCCCGGAGAGGCGCGCAGCACCCAAACCCCAGGCTGCCGGGCCCCGGGCGGCGCCCCGCGACCTCGGGCGGGGCCGCCCACCCCCCGCGCCGGGCCGCGCGGGGCGGGGCGGTCCGGGCGGCCGGACACTGACCTGTAGTGGGTCGGCTTCTCGGTCTGCGGGGGGGACCCGCTCAGCGCCGCCGCCGCCGCCGCCGCTTTCGAAACCGACGGCATTTTCAGTCAAAACAATGCAGCGCGCATGCGCCGCCCCCGCCCCCGGATCTCCCCCCGCGCGGAGCCCCCCGCGCCCCCCGCCGCGCCGGCCACGCCCCCGGCCACGCCCCCGCCGGCCCCGGGGCCCGGACGCGCATGGCACGCGCGGCCCGCCCGCCCCGGCGCCGCGCTCCGGCCCGCACACGCGGGGACGCGCCGTGCGCGCGCACGCCGGCCTCTTCCAGCCCGAGGTCTAAAATTAGAGCCCCGTAATACACGCGGATCGCCGAGCGTGCGAGCGAGGTGTGCGCCGCCGCGCGGGGGAGCGGCGGAGGCGGGCGCGGGCAGCCCGGGCGGGGGTGGGGGGGTGCGGGGCGAGGGCGGGGCGCGGAGCCCGGGACAGGGGGGGAGGGCGGGGCGCGGAGCCCGGGCCGGGGGGGAGGGCGGGGCGAGGGCGGGGCGCGGAGCCCGGGACGGGGGGGGGGGGGAGGGCGGGGCGCGGAGCCCGGGACGGGGGGGGGGAGGGCGGGGCGCGGAGCCCGGGACGGGGGGGAGGGCGGGGCGCGGAGCCCGGGCCGGGGGGGGGGGGGGGAGGGCGGGGCGAGGGCGGGGCGCGGAGCCCGGGACGGGGGGGAGGGCGGGGCGCGGAGCCCGGGACAGGGGGGGAGGGCGGGGCGCGGAGCCCGGGCCGGGGGGGGGGGGGGGGAGGGCGGGGCGAGGGCGGGGCGCGGAGCCCGGGACGGGGGGAGGGCGGGGCGCGGAGCCCGGGACGGGGGGGGGGGGGGGGAGGGAGGGCGGGGCGCGGAGCCCGGGACGGGGGGGAGGGCGGGGCGCGGAGCCCGGGACAGGGGGGGAGGGCGGGGCGAGGGCGGGGCGCGGAGCCCGGGACGGGGGGGGAGGGCGGGGCGCGGAGCCCGGGCCGGGGGGGGGGAGGGCGGGGCGAGGGCGGGGCGCGGAGCCCGGGCCGGGGGGGGAGGGCGGGGCGAGGGCGGGGCGAGGGCGGGGCGCGGAGCCCGGGCCGGGGGGGGGGAGGGCGGGGCGCGGAGCCCGGGCCGGGGGGCGGGGCGCGGATCCCTGGGAAGGGGGCGCGGATCCCGGGACATGGGGCGGGGCCGGGCGCGTGGGGGCGTGGGAGCCACAGCACCAATAGCAGTTTCCTGGTGGTTGATTGGTAGATAAGAGTCTCACGGATTTTCCTGCCTGGGCTGGCTTTGAACCACTATCCTCAGATCTCAGCCTCCAGAGCAGCTAGGATGACAGGTATAAATAATTTTTTAAAATAATACAGAAAAATGAGAACTATCACTGGCTGATAAGGATGAATGACTTAATCCATTCACAGTCTAAATGGACCACTGCCTCTGTAAACATTACATCTTCAAGTAAAAATAAGTAAAAAAAAAAAAAAAGGAAAAGTGAAATATCCTTTGGTTTGACAATCTTGCGCGCTCGTGCTCTCTCTCTCTCTATATATATATAGTCCAGGCTGGCTTGGACCCTCCAGATCATCATGCTTCAGTTTCCAAGTGCTGGAAGTACACACTTGTACTAGGACACCACCAGTGAAAGAGTATTTCCTGGGGTGGGGATGTGATCCAAGTGGTAGAATGCCTGCTTAGCACAGCCAACAGCAGCAATTGAGTTCAAATTACTGTATCACCATTAAATAAAAAGTATCCAAGTAAATCAAGCAGAATGTGAAGAGTGGGGGCCTGGGCACTGTCCCCCAGTTCTTTTTCTCAAGGGTAGAGCCACAGCTCCACATCTGGTTTTCTGGTGGTTAATTGGAGATGAATTTTAAGGACTTTCCTGCCTTGGCTGGCTTCAAACTATGACCCTCAGATCTCAGCCTTACCAGTAGCTAGGATTACAGGCATGAGCCATGGGTTCCTGGCTGTCTTTTTTTTTACCCTTTTCAGGCGCCAGTGAAAGCAAAAGCAAGCACTGGTTTTAAAAACTGCCCCCTAAAACAACCTCAGCTCTGCAACTCTAGGAACTAGGTCAGTCTTTTCAAATCTCTTGAAAACATAAACATACTTGTATCCACCCTACTTCTCTCCTAGTTTTGGAAAGTGTGCTGAACCCTTGGAGCATGTTTGGAGAAAGACCTTTAGAAGGCAACGTTTGGAAGTGGTGCTGTAGCTCAAGTGGTAGAGCGCTCGCCTTTAGCTGAAGAGCTGAGGGACAGCGCCCAGGCCCAGAGTTCAAGCCCCACGACCGACCAAAAAAAAAAAAAGAAATGTACTCTTTGGGGCTGGGAAGGTGGCTCAGTGGTAGAGCACTCGCCTTGCATGCCCAAGGCCCTGGGTTCGATTCCTCAGCACCACATAAGCAAAAAGAAAAAAGCCGGAAGTGGCGCTGTGGCTCAAGTGGTAGAGTGCTAGCCTTGAGCTGAAGAGCTGAGGGACAGTGCTCAGGCCCAGAGTTCAGGCCTCACAGCGGACTAAGAAAAAATAAAAAAAATAAATAAATAGAAGACGTTTGCCACAGCCAGGGCAGCTTATAGACCTCTTACTCACACATGTGTGTCAGAAAACAAAAAAACTCATTTCCTTAAGTTTGTTTAAATAAAAGTTCCCTTTTACTCAGAATTTTCTTTTAAAATTCAGAATTAGCAAGCATTTTTTTCCCCTTAGTACCTGAAAAAAGTATCATGCAGGTAATCCAAAACAGTGCCCTTCATGAAAAGAAATACTTTAGCACTATTTAGATTCCACAATTTATTTTTATTTTTACTTTTGTACCCATACTGGTGTTGAACTCAAGAGCCTTGGCACGCTCCCTCGCTTTCTACTTAAGGCTGGCATTCTACCACTTGAGAGCCTTCTTAATAGGATTACAGAGTGAGCCCCCAACACCCAGTGCATTTAAGTTCCTATTTCAGTAAGAAAAACCATCTAGCCACCTTTTTAATTACATGGGAGGAAAATAAGAGAAAAAGGAATCACCTTAACCTGACTTTGGTGTTGCCACACTACGATGTTAATATGTAAGATTAGCGCCCACAGGTTATTAGGTACACACATGGTGCCACCTTATAACACTTGAACACTGCTGCCAGCTATTTTGTCTCATACAGTAAATGACCTACAAATCGGCCCTGTGCTACTTGTGTCACCAGAACAGCGTCGGATACACGATTAGGTTGTAGGAAGACCACGAATCCAAGGGCATACAGCGCGGGCCAAACGTCTATGCAGCGGAGTCTTGGACGAAACCCTGGCCATCCGCGTCAGGCAAGAGAAGGGTCCGAGATGCTGACTGTCTGCCCAGCCTGCGCGCGTGTCAGCGGCGGTGCTTCACCGGGATGGAAGCCGCCGGAGACGCCTTTCACTCCGAAGGGCGGCGGCCCGTTTCCTTGCTGGACCGCGTCAGCTCCTCGCCGCGCGGGCGGCGGGCTGCTCCGCGCCGTGGCCGGGCGCGGGTGCCTCTCGGCGCGCCGCCCTCCACCACCACCGGTCCGTGCCGCCCTCCTCCCTCAGGAAGCACCAGACGACCACCGCCAAGAGGGAGAAGGTGGCGGGCAGCACCTTCCTCCCGGAACGCTGCCGCTTCTCCCCCAACGAGCGCAGCACCGGCCAGCGGAACGGGTGGGCTCCGCTGGGTGCGAACGGGAAGGGGCGGCTGGGGTCTTCCGCCTCCGCCGGAGGCCGCGGCGGAGCGCTGCCGCCGGGCGGCGGATGCAGGCTTCGAGCCCAGCGCGCCCGCCGCGGCGCCCGCGCGGCCCTGGAGAAGAGAGCGCAGTGAGCGCGCGTGAGCCCGGCCCGCCCGGCCCCGACCCGCCCGCCCGGACCCCACCCGCCCGCGCCCGCCCGGCCCCCACCCCGCCCGCCCGCCCGCCCGCCCGCGCCCGCCCACCCCGCCCGCCCGGCCCCCACCCACCCGCCCGGCCCCCACCCGCCCGCGCCCGCCCGCGCCCCCACCCCGCCCGCCCGGCCCCCACCCGCCCGGCCCCCGCCCGCCCGCGCCCGCCCGGCCCCCACCCCGCCCGCCCGGCCCCCACCCGCCCGGCCCCCGCCCGCCCGCGCCCGCCCGGCCCCCACCCCGCCCGCCCGGCCCCCACCCCGCCCGCCCGCGCCCGCCCGCGCCCGCCCGCCCGGCCCCCACCCGCCCGCGCCCGCCCACCCCGCCCGCCCGGCCCCCACCCGCCCGCGCCCGCCCACCCCGCCCGCCCGGCCCCCACCCGCCCGCGCCCGCCCACCCCGCCCGCCCGGCCCCCACCCGCCCGCGCCCGCCCGGCCCCCACCCCGCCCGCCCGCGCCCGCCCCCGCCCACCCCGCCCGCCCGGCCCCCACCCCGCCCGCCCGCCCGGCCCCCACCCCGCCCGCCCGCGCCCGCCCCCGCCCACCCCGCCCGCCCGGCCCCCACCCCGCCCGCCCGCCCGGCCCCCACCCCGCCCGCCCGCGCCCGCCCGCCCGCCCGGCCCCCGCCCGCCCGCGCCCGCCCGGCCCCCGCCCGGCCCCCGCCCGCCCGCGCCCGCCCGCGCCCGCCCGGCCCCCACCCCGCCCGCCCGCGCCCGCCCGCGCCCGCCCGCGCCCGCCCGGCCCTCACCCGGACGCGGGGACACGCAACGCGCCGCTCATCGCGACCTCGGCCCGGCGCTCGGCGCCACGCGTCACTTCCGTCGCACAAGAGCGGAAAGGACGTCATCCCAGGCCTCCGCTCACGACTACAGAACGTGAGCCCGGCGGCGCAGCGGAAATGACGCACCTCCTCGGGCGGGCTTTTCCTTTGCTGTCAGGACCCCTGGGGGGCGCGGGGCATACCGGGAAATGTAGTTCCTCGCGCAGCAGGCCCGAGCCTGGGGGCCGGAAGGCGCGTTTGTAGTTCGGCGGGGGGGACGGAGCGTGGACGGCGGCCCCCGAGGGCCTTCGTGGTGGCGGTGGCCGGCGTTTGTGGTTAGAGGACGACGCTTCCTACCAAACACCACCCTAAGTGACCCGCGCCCAATGACGGCGGCCTGAGCCGGACCAGCGGGCGCGGGGGCGGCCCCTGCCGGGCGGCTCCGCGGGGTGCCCCCGACCGCCAGCCCGCTCGGCCCGGCGGGGCCGCACATCCCCGGGGCGACCCCGAGGTCACGCGGGGTGCCGCGGGCGGGCGTGGCCCGGGGGGCCACCACGTGACGTCAGGCGGGGGCGCCCCCCCCCCCCCGGCCTTGGCTCTGGAATAAACCGCCGCCGTCTTGGGTGGCCGGGGAGGCCCCGGGCCGGCGACCGGCCGGCCATGCCCATCTTCTGCCACTGCACCCCAGCAACCCCATCCTGCCACCCTGCTTCCCGCACACCCTCCTCTGAAGCAGATCCCCGGCCGGGAAGCCGAGAGGGAGGGGACCCACGTGGCCCTGCCCGCGCCTCCCCAGGACACAAACCAACACCTGAGCGCTCATTATCGCAAAGCACACACAGAATGCCCCGCTAATGGGGAGGGGAGGCCGCCGCCCTGTGCGCTTAATGGCAGGGTAATTTATTGTCATGCCACTTGAGAGCTGACATATTGGAGCTATTGATTTTCCCCAGGAAGATCAATGGGGGGGGGGGGGGGGGGCAGCAGGGCCGCAGAGCCTTCAGGGCCTGAGAGCTGCCGCGCAGTGGAGGCCGGCGGGGCGGTGGGCGGCGCTCCGAGCGCCCCAGCCTGTGGCGGGAGACGGGCTGGGAGCAGATGCTGGGATAGATGCTTGAGCCCCAGCCAGGAGCCCAGATGGTTGCTGGGGGCTCAGGGACACCACGCGGCAGACCCTGGCCCCCGACCCAACACACGAGCAGGCGTTGACTCCATGAGTGCGGATCTTTGCCAAGCCATTGTCTCTCCAGTCGCTGTCCCTACCTAACCCCACCAGTAACAAAACCCAGAGAAAGGGGCTGGGAAGGAGGCTCAGTGGTAGAGCACTTGCCTTGCATGCATGAGGCCCTGGGTTCAATTCCTCAGCACCATATAAGCAAAAAGAAAAAAAGCTGGAAGTGGCGCTGTGGCTCAAGTGGTAGAGCGCTAGCCTTGAGCTGAAGAGCTGAGGGACAGCGCCCAGGCCCAGAGTTCAGGCCCCACGACCGACCAAAAAAAAAAAAAGAGAGAAACAGAAACAACGTGGTGGACGCCTGGTGTTCCTGAGCTTAAAACTCAGAGCAGACAAGGGGCCGCGTAGCCAACCCCTGCGCGAGGTCCCGGGCATGCTTTGGAAATTGCTCGGGCCGGTCCCCATCAGTGCCCCTCAGCTCACCCTGGAGGTGGACCCTCCCCACTGCCTTCTTCAGCTCCTCACCAGGCTCCGCTTCCTAGGCACATAGCCACTCTGGTTTCTTCCCTACTCTAGAATTTTCCATCCCAGGCTGGGTTTTTCCTCTCTCATCTCTTTTCAGGCAGGAACCACCACCAGGATTCTGCAGGACAAACAATGGGTCTGGCAGTCGGGGGAAGGTACACCCTCCAGCAAGCACAAGAGGCCTTTGGTCATTGCAGGAGTAGGGGGTAGGGTCAAAGCAGGGGAGCAGTCCCGGGGTATGTTCACCATGCCCTTGCTGGCAGGAGTGATACCCGCTTTAGGCTTCCCAGGGACCCTCCATGGAGAATGCATAGGCACCCTCCATCTCCTACTCTGTATTTCCCAGCCCTTCACGAGACCTGACCTGTCTGCCCAGCTCCACCTCCAGCCAAGTCTCCAGCTATGACTTTTCCCTTGTGCTGAAACTGATGGCCACAGCTGAGTGGCTTAAATGACACACTCACGGCTCTGGAGGTCATGATCTAGGATGACACAAAGGCCTGGAATTCAGGTGTTGGCAGGTCAGTTGGATTCCTTGAGGTCTCTGCCTTTTGGAAGCCCCAGCATCCCTTGGCTTATGGCTTCTTCACCTTTGAAGACAGCAGTGCAGCATCTTTTTTTTTTTTGGGGGGAGGGGGGGGTCTGGTTGTGGGGCCTGAACTCTGGGTCTGGGTGCTGTCCCTCAGCCCTTCAGCTCAAAGCTAGCCCTCTACCACTTGAGCCACAGCACCACTTCCAGCTTTTTTCTTTTTGCTTATGTGTTGCTGAGGAATCGAACCCAGGGCCTCAGGCATGTAAGGCAAGTGCTCTACCACTGAGCCAACTTCCCAGCCCAGTGCAGCATCTTTGAGCTTCGTCTTTAATCTCCCGTGTCTATGTCTATATTCAGGGATCCTGTGCTGACATCCAGATGCCTGGAAACCAGGAGTCCATGGCTGTGGCGTAGCATGGGGCCTGCCCTCTGCTGGGAGCCCCTCCAGAGGTTTCTAAGGCAGGAGGGACCTGCTTGAGGGCAGGGCTGTGTCCCAGCCACTCACCTCAGCCTGGGCTCCCCACCCAGGGCTGGGCCTCACAAGCAGATGGCCGTGACCCCAGCCTCAGCTCCTCCCTGTCCTGACTCTGGTCAGGGTCGGACACACAGGTCCTTCAGGCCCCTGCTTCTCCCCGCAGAGGCAAGGTGTGCCACAGCGCTGCGCCTCTGGAGGGCTGCCAGCGTGGACTCCACCTTCGTTTTCTGCCCTTTCCTACACCAAACAGCAGGGGGCACTGTGCCTCCAGCCAGGAGTTGCTGTGGCCTCCTCCACTCTAGGGGACCATTTCTGGGGTCCTGGGCAGGTAGGGAAGGGGGCACCCAGGCTGAAGGCCTCTGAGCCCACAGGAGGCAAAACCTGTGTGTGTCCTCACAGGCAGGACAGATGTCTGGAGCCAGTCCTGGGCGTCCTGCTGCACCAGGCCAGAGCCGAGGACGCTGAGGCTGAGGCTAGGCTGCCCACAGCCAGGACAGGGCAAGTCGCTTTGGATTTAGGAGTCAAAGCGCCCCTGTATGATTCACAGCCCAAGCCCCAGTCTGGCGTCCAGACGCCTGAGCCAGAGGTTGGGAGCCGCAGAGGCAGAAGGGGGGCCCAGGCCCGGGAGGGTGTCATGGCATGCCGAGACAGTCAGACCCAAGGCAGAATGCCGAGAGCCACGGAGCTGAGCTTGCTTAGACGCAGGGTCACTCCAGACACAAGTGGTGGGTCTGGGGTGGGTGGATTTGTTGTGCCCCCCACACCCCCACCCAGCGGGCATCCTCTGAGGACCCGGGGATGCTGACGCACAAGGACAGTGTGGGGACACGGGCAGGGACAGGGACGTATGGTCACAAGTCCAAGAACCATGGGTGGCCAATGGCCACCGGCATGGGAGAGCAGGACCAGATCCCCAGATCCTCAGACCCTGGGGGCCCTCCGGAGTGAGGGCGTGCACATCTCTGCCGCCTGCGGCCCCTGCCCGCGACCCTCCCGGATGCTCACACGGCCCCACGTGGCAGGACCCGGCGAAGTCCACTGAGGCGGGCCGGAGGCCAGGGAAGAGGGGCCACCTCAGCCCTGGGTTAACCAGGCCGGCTGCCCACACCCATGGCTCTGGAAGAGCCAGGTGGCAGCTGGGTGGGGCAGCAGCCCTGCCTGGGCTGGCAGAGATGACCACAGCCATCCCCAAGGGCCGAGGGGGGCGAGCAGGTTCCAGGCACTACCTACACAAGCTCCATGCCCTGGGCCTGGACATGGCCCCTTCCCACACTCTGTCCCTCTGGTCAGGGCCCAGGCAGCTCCGTCCTCCCCCCCCTCCCCCACCCAGCACCTTGGTGGCTGTTTACAGCCCGCGCTGTGCGGGCAGGATGTCTTCTGGAGAGGTGCACTCCAGAACTCAAAATAGCATGAAATTTAATTTTCCGCCTATTTGGCAAGGCCTGGACCAGGCCCAATCAGCAGCAGAGATAAGAGTGCTTGGGCCAAGGTGTGGGCCAGCTGGGGCCAGGCAAACACTCCAGGGTCCCCAGGCAGGCCGGGGACCAGGCCGGTCTGCAGGCACTGCCCCCATCGTGGGGCCCTGGTTGCCGGGCGCTAAAGCAAACGGGCTCTATTTGCCCAGTCTGCGAGGACAATGCCGTCACCAAATATTTGCCGGCCCCAGGCAGCCCCGGAGCCCGGCTATAAATGCTTGCGCCCAGGTAGAGGTGGGCCCGCGCGCAGGAGCTGCAGCCCCCATCAGGTAGGAGCTGGGCGAGGCAGGTGGGGAGGGCTGGGGGGGGCAGCTGCCTGGTGGGGCGGGGTCTCTGCACCCGCTGGGTCTTGCTGGACCTCTCCCTTGGGAGGCCCTGCTCCAGGAGTGACCATCCTGACGGCCAGTGCTAGGGTTCCCGGAAAGTTCCTACACCAAGGGAACCCAGCAGGAGAGGACCTTGAGGGGCCGGGCCAGGCGGGAGCAGGCAGGGGTGGCTCCAAGCTCACCCACACTCCACGCCAGAGCCTCAGGCCCCAGGAGGGGCCTGCCTGGGTCAGCCAGACCCCAGGAGACCTGCACAAGCGCACCCCACACCACAGGTCTCTCAGAGAGGCTACTCTGACCACAGGAGAGGTGCCTGCTCCCTGCCTTTCTGCTTTTGGGGGGACCCACTCAGCTCCAGCCTGGGGAGGGACGTGGTGGCATTTGTCCTGCTGGCCGTGAGAGCCATACCACCCTCTGGCCACTTCCCCAGCGACCCCCCCCCCCCCCCGGCATCAAGCTCCAGGCCCAACTGCTTCCACTGGACCTTCCTGGGACTGCAGAGGCCACTGGCTCTCTGTTCACTCTGGGGTCCTGCCTTGGGATCCCCCTGACTGAGCGGGAGGTGCGGGTTGGGCTGCTCTGGTGTCGCCTCCCCTGGAGGTCAGATGTTGGGTAACACCAGAGCCTAGCCAGGAAGAAGGGAGTGAGTTCAAGACCAGACTCAGCTAGGAACAGAGCTCCCCAAGCCCTGGAGCTTGTTGGAGGGGCAGGGAGCCCCCTCCCCTCACCCAGGCAGCCCTGGGCCGGGGGGTGGACGCCAACCCCCCCCCCGCCTCCTCAGCTCTGGGCAGGGGGCCCCCAGGACCTCTCCCTCCTGCACGGTTCTCGGTGGTTTGAGGGGCTCCGACGGGCATCTTCTCATCCCTGCTTGCTCCCTGGGCCCTGAGGGGAGCCCCGACCCCAGGCAGGCGCTGCACCAGTGGCCAGCCCTGTCCTGCACCCCACCCCGGCACGCGGGGGGCCGGCCGTGTGTCCACTGGGTCTGCCTATCTTTGCTATGTCTCCCTAAGCACAGCAGGGCAGGGGCTCCAGGGAGCGGGGAGCGGGTGGCCTTCTTAAGGGCATCGAGTCCACAGGGCACGGCCAGGTCTGCCATAACCGGTCCCTCTCCACCTCCCAGCAGTGCCCACTGCCCAGAGGCCCAGGCAGCTCAGGTCGGGAGGAGATGGCCGCGGGCGTGATACGGCCTCTCTGTGACTTCGGGCTGCTGCTGCCATCCCACCAACCCTTCCTGTCCTTGGACCCGGAACCCCCAGAAACTTCTGAGGAGGAGGAGGAGGAGGAAGAGGAGGAGGAGGAGGAGGAGGAGGAGGAGGAGGACCTGGAGGTGGAGGGGGCACAGGCCTGCTGCCTGCCCCACCCGAGCTCAGGGGTGGCCCCCCAGGGTCCCGGCAGCCCTGAGACCCCGCTGCAGCTGCTGCGCTTCTCGGAACTCATCAGCGGTGACATCCAGAGGTACTTCGGCCGCAAGGGTGGGGGGCAGGACGCAGACGCCCGTGACAGGCACAGGCACAGCCCGCCCGCCAGCCACTCCGCCCGGGAGCTCTACTACGCGGACCTGGCGCGCCTGGCCCAGGCCGGGCCTCTGGAGCAGGAGGAGGCCGCGGAGCCGGGGGTCTGTCCCCCCGAGGCGTCTGAGGGGCAGGCACACCGGCCGGGCCTCGGCAGCGGGGGGGCCTCGCCACTGGGACCCCTGGCCGAGCTCTTTGACTACGGGCTGCGGCAGTTCTCCGGCCGCAGACTGAGACTGGAGCGCAAGTATGGCCACATCACCCCCATGACCCAGAGGAAGCTGCCCCCCTCCTTCTGGAAGGAGCCAGAGCCCAACCCCCTGGGCCTGCTCCACCCCGGCACACCAGACTTCAGTGACCTGCTGGCCAGCTGGTCAGTGGAGGCTGAGCAGGAGCTGCACAGCCAGGGCGCCCGAGCTCTGGATGCGGCTCAGCTGGCCGAGGCCTAGCAGAGGAGGGGCTCGCGTGCACTGGGCAGCAGCGCCCTTCCCAGGGTGCCCATTCCCCCACCCGCTCGGCCGGTGCTGCTGGGGCTGGGAGCCGGAGGAGAGTGGGAATGCCCCCATCCAGCCCACCTGACCCTGACCTCCACAGCTCCCACTGTGCACAGCCATCTCCACAGCTCCCTGCGGGAGCGGGGACTCGGGTGGCAACTGCGGCTTCCAGGGCGGGTGGGGGGTCCTGCTAGGGAGGCACCCCTCCCTCAGCAGGGCCGGGGCTGACGGTCCCCGTGGCAGGCCCGGCATGTGAGGGCTCCGCACAGGTCAAGCCCCTCCCCAGAGTTGTGGCGAGAAGCTGCTTCCCTGGGCTGGAGTGGCAGGCCGGGGGAGGGGTGCTACGCAGAGCTGGAGACACCCCAGATGGGCCTAAGTCGAGACCCCTAGCATCGCGTGCCCTGCCAGGCGCGGGACTGGGTGCCTCTGTGCACACCTGCCGGAGCCCTGGCCCCCTGGGGCGTGGGGCCCCGATGCTGGGCAGGGCAGGAAGGTCCTGGGGGACGGTCCAGGGACTGGCCATTGGTCCCTGGACTCCCTGTCAGCTGCAGAGCCCGTGGGAGGCTGTCGCAGAGGCGTCAGGGGACTGGCTCTGAGGGGGACAAGCACTGTGCTTTTATTTTTGGGAAGGGGACAGAGACAGCAGCTGGGACACAGGCTTTTGGCGGGAGATGGCGCCTGGCTTTCGCTGGGCCAGCAGGTTCATGAAGACAGCCTTCCACTGCAGCCACCTGTGTGCAGACACGGCTCATGCAGGCTCCCCCGCCTGGTGCGGTGGGGCCGCCGCCCCGGGACGCCGGGCGCCCTGCTGCCCACCTCAGAGCCTGGTACACGCCCCAGCGGTTCACAGAGACCAGCTCGCCAGGCGCCACGTCTTTGACGAAGAACCGCTGCCTCACCAGGGACATCAGCATGCGCCTGCTGCCCAGCGTCAGCGGCCAGGGCCCCGCCTCACTCCACAGGAGCAGCACAGTCTCCCGCAGGCTTGCCAGCTCCTCCTCGCGCTGCGGGCACAGGGTGCGAGTGCTCCCCAGAGCCGCGGGGGACAGGGAGGGAGAAGGACACAGGGCAGCCAGCGGGGGGCTCGTCTCCCATGGGGGGGCCGTGCTGCTCGGCGGCTTCCAGGCAGACAGCAGGCCGTGGAGTTGGCAGGACTCGGGCCGGGCTGGGACCCGAGGGACCGAGGGACGGGGGGGCGGGGGGTGCTCACCAGCTTGGTCTCTGTATTAAACTTCAGGTTCTGGATGGTCTTGTTAGCTTGGATGCTATCTTCCAGTTTTAGCACTTGCTTCTGAAACTGAACAGAGCCCTGTTCCTGAGCAGCCCGCTGTGCCCAGGGGGCCCCGCCCAGGCTGGACCAGGCTGCTTCCGAGGGCTGAGGAGTACCGTGGCCAGGTTGCCCTGGATCTCAGCGATCTTCCGCCCGGGGTGGTCCTCCTTGAGCAGCTGCATGGATGACTGCAGCGAGGCCAGCTCCTGCCGCACGAGGCCCATCGCGGCCTTTCTGTGGGGGCAGGGGCTGGCTGTGGGGTGCCCTGGGGGCAGCCAGGGGACGGCGTGGGCAGGGCGGGGATTCCTCTGGCCATCACAGGCTTAAGGAGCTTGAGGGGCTCGGCCCTGCCCGCTCTCCAGGGGGTCTGTGGCAGAGGTGGGAGGGGCGGGCGCCCGCTGGGGGCAGCTGGGGGGGTGGGGAGGGGCAGGGAGGCAGGGGTGCCACACAGAGCGTGGACGGAAGAGCCGGTGCCCGGGGCTCCCACCTGGCCTTGCTCTCCACGGAGATCTTCAGGTCGGCATCACTCTTGCGGAAGGCACACTCCTCTGAGACGCCTTCTATCTGAAACGCAGAGTGGGCGAGACTCAGGGCGCCTCCAGACCCAGCCTGGGGCAGACATGGGGAGAAGGGAGACTGCACCCACCTTCTGGGAGAAGTCGTCCACCTGCTCCCGCACGGCCCGCAGCTGCGCTGCCGCCTCCTTCAGCCCCAGGGCCAGGTCCTCCTGAGACTTCCTCTCCGCACATTCCCACTCCGTCTTCACCTAGGATCCAGATGTGAGGTCAAAGCTGGAGTCCAGAGCGTGTGGCTGGACAGATGGGTGGACGGGAGGGAGGGGGAAGGGGAGGCCAGAGCCCAAGTCCACCTGTAGCTGCAAGCACACTTGTGCACGGACCTACACCCTGGGGCAGCCTGGCCAGACACAAACGGACAAGCCAGCAAGGCCAAGGAAGCCCCAGGCCCCTCCAGGCAGGGTCGCCGGGCTGTGAAGGAGCCAACCCCTTTGCCAGGGTCAGAGGCTGGAGCTGTTCTGACTCCTCGTGTGCACAGAAGGGCCGCAGGGCCAGCCGGAGGAGCACGGCAGACCCGTGTCACCACAGGGCGGCTCAGGGAGAGAAGCCGGGGACACTGCAGGACTCCTCTGCAAGGAGTCTGCTCTCTACAGCAGGCCGCTCAGAGACAGGAAGGAAGCTCATCTCGTCCAGGCGCCGAGGGGCGGGGGAGGGCGGCAATGGGCCAGGGGGCTTCCATCTGGGATCATGGGCAAGTTCCAGCACTGACTAGATGCACAGCTCTGTGGATCAACGAGTGACTGAATGGCACACCTTAAAGAGCGAACGGCCAGTGGCACCAGTGGCTCACGCCCACAACCCTAGCTGCTCAGGAAACCGAGATCTGAGAATTACAATTTGGAGGCAGTCTAAGGAGATAATTTCCAGAAATTCTTATCTCCAGTTAGCCAGGAGAAAGCTGGAACGTGGCTCAGGAGGTAGCGTGCCACTCAGCTGGAAAAGTGAGTGAGGGTTCAAGGTTGAGTTGGAGCCCTAGTACCAGTACAGAAAACAATGCCAGGATGCCAGGAGCTGGAGCTGCCTCCCCGGCTGGCGGCCCACCACCAGGATAGTGGAAAGCCACAGCTGTGGTGCCAGGCGCTGCAGCGTCAGCAGTGGGTCCTGGGCAACTAGCCAGGGGCCACTGTCTGAGACAGTGCCGGCCAGAGGAGGCCTCCGCCCCGGGCCCCATCTGTCTCGGGAGCTCACCTGGGATAGCTTCATGCCCAATGTCTGCTCCTGCAGGTCCAGCCTCCAGCTCAAGGCCAGGCAGTGATCACTCAGGTCCTTCAGTTGCCGGGCCATGTCGGCCACCAGGGCCTCCAGGGCCTGGCTCTTCTCTTGGAGCTGTAGGGGGAGGGCAGGGGTGGAGGAGGTCCCGGCTGGGTGCTAGTGTCTGGCTTTACGGAAGTCTCTGCTGGCCCCTTACCAGCTCCAGTGCGCTCTGCGTCTCCTGCTGGGCCAGCTTGCCAGCTAGCTGCACCGCCTCCAGATTCTCCTGAATGTAGGATGCCAGCTCCCCAGCCTGGCTCTCCTCCAAGCTCACCATGGCCTCCCTGCCACCAAGAGTGTCCCTCAGCCGAGGCTCGACCCCAGTCCCACCGGGGAGGAGGGGCCCATGAGATCCCACAGACTAGAGGGTGGGGCATAGTCACAGGTGCTGCCACCAATGGGGGGGAGGGGCTGCACTCTGCAAAGAGGGAGGGAGGATGGACAGGGAAGGGAGTCTGTGCACCCATATGGCCAGCGGGTGAGCTGGGGGGAGGGAGGGGCAGGCAGCAGGGCTGAGCCTTGGTGAGCCCCAGCAGGCCCCTGCAGACGGGCCTGGGTGGCCCTGCAGGCCACACCCACCGGGCCTTCTGCTCAGCCAGCAGGACACGGCTCAGGGACTGCTGATTCTGCCGCACAAATGTGGTGAGCTGGACCACGGCTGCGTCCAGGCCCTGGCACTGGCCCAGCAAGTGGCCTTCCTCCTCCTGCGGCAAAGATGGCTCTGACAGCCGGGCGCCGGTGGCTCACGCCTGTCATCCTAGCTACTCAGGAGGCTGAGATCTGAGGATCACGGTTCAAAGCCAGCCTGGGCAGGAAAGTCCGTGAGACTCCTATCTCCAATAAACCACTAGAAACCCAGAAGTGGTGCTGTGGCTCATGCAGTAGAGCGCTCGCCTTGAGCTGAAGAGCGCAGGGACAGCACCCAGGCCCAGAGTTCAAGCCCCACAACCGACCAAAAAAAAAAAAAAAAAAGATGGCTCTGAGTTCCAGCACCTGCCACCTGTCCGCCCACCTGTCAGCTTGGGCCTACCTGACGCTGGGCCCGCACCGTCCTCATGTGCTCCTTAGTCAATTCCAGAAGCTTCTGCCAGCGGACCTCTAGCTCCTCTCGCAGGCCATTCTCCGCCTTCAGCCTCATGGTCTCCAAAGTCTTCATTCTCTGCAGGGACAGAGAACGAGCCTGTGCCCCTGCCAGGGTGGGCGGCAAGGGGCCATCCCAGCTGGGACGCCTCCCGGCGTCCAGCCCGGTCCCCACCTGCTCCAGGGTCAGGAAACTCTTCTGCAGAAAGCCGCACAGCTTGGCCTCCCTCTTGAGGAAGCGGAGACTCGTCTCCTCCGCACGCTTGGTCACCAGGACCTGGGGAGGTGGGCACAGGGTCACCTGCAGCCTCCCCGCGGGACAGCCTGCCTGGCCCCTAACGTTCCTGTGCCCAGTGGCGCTAGGCCCACCACATTCAGGTCAAGAAGGGCGGGGGGCAGCGGCCACAGTCCCCACTCCCCAGAGGACCCAGCTTGGGAGTCAGGAAGGGCCTGAAGGTCAGGACACCCTGAGGTCTAGAGATCCTGGGTGCGTATCAGCCTCCAGATGCCCTCAGGAAGGCTGCAGGATGGCCACAATTCACATCGTGAGCTTTGGCCTCAGGCAGGGAAGCGGGTGAGAGAAGGCCCACAGACAGAACTTCCTTGGAGCATGACAGCCTCCGCATCTGGGGCCCCCAGAGGGTCTACAAGCTTGGGGCCTCCATCCCATATCCTCCCTGCCTCCATCCCATATCCTGGCTCTATCCCATATTCTTTATGTCTCCATAACATAAACTCTCTCTCTCCAGACCTCTTTTCCACAGCCAGGTGCTGAGTGTGGGCCATGAGCAAATGGGCTCTCCCTCCATCTGAGCACCTGCTGACATTCCTGCCCATAAAAATATTGGGGTGCCTTTGAGCAGGGTCAGCAGCCAGACTACAAATGCTTCAGGTTTTCAAAGGTCTCTCTTAAAGCCTTTACCTCCCATTTTTACCACTACAGCCTCAAGGTAAATAATTTATAAATGTTCATGGCTCTGTGCCAATAAAACTTTATTTACAAAAACAGTCACTATGGCCGGGCGCTGGTGGCTCACGCCTGTAATCCTAGCTACTCAGGAGGCTGAGATCTGAGGATCGCGGTTCAAAGCCAGCCCGGGCAGGAGAGACCGTGAGACTCCTATCTCCAATAAACCACCAGAAAACCGGAAGTGGCGCTGTAGCTCAAGTGGTAGAGCGCTCGCCTTGAGCTGAAGAGCTGAGGGACAGCAGGCCCAGAGTTCAAGCCCCACGACCGACCAAAAAAAAAAAAAAAAAAACAGTCACTATGTCATCATGTGCTGACCCCTGGTCCTAGAGAGCCCTTCTACACCCCTGTGCTCGGAGAAAAGGCAGGCAGGGCCTACATCCAGCACATCAGGAACTTCAGCTCCACACCCCTGCCCTCTTAGGAGAGCCCATATGTTGATTTCCCAGTGGGCAGTGAGCGGACACCACCAGCTCTGGGCAGCAGAACTATGTGGGTGCGGCTGGGAGTTCCTGGCCTGGCCCCGAGAGGAGCTGGACGCACGGTGGAGACACTGCCATCCCTGGTCTGTCTGCAGAGCCCAGGAGCTTGGCTGCAGATGTGTGGGCCCTGCCCCCTGCCCCACGCCGTACAGCAGGCCCCTCCTCGGGATCACCAGCGGGAGGGAGCTGGTGGCTCAGAACTTATCACCCACCTGGAGGGAAAGGCTGAGGCCAAACATGGCCACGGAAGGGGCTTAGAGAGCAGATATCCCTTTTTTTGACCTGGTTGGAGTGGCTTGAACTGGGAGAGGGAGGTGGCCATGGCAGCTGCCCCCCCCCCCCATGGTACCTGCAGCTTGGCCACCTCGCGGTCCACCTTCTGGCTGGTGTCCTTCTGACTCTTCTGCAGGGCCTCACAGGCCACTTCTCGGCACTGTTCTTCTTGCCTCAGCAAGTCAGTGAGCTGCGTCAGTCTAGGGACGGTGGAGACTCATACCAGCCCCAGGGAAGCAGACGGGCTGGGAAACACAAACCACTTGGGTAACACATGGCAATGCCAAGCAGACTGAGGACGGGACAAGCCTTGTGGCTCCACAGACGGCCTGAGGGGCCCCGCAAGCGCAGTACTGATGATGGGCATGCTCTGGGGGTGCTGAGGCAGCAGGGTAGGACTCCACCCGTGGCTAGATCAGCCATGCCCAGCACATACACGAGGTGGGTGGCTCAGGGCCAGTGTGGGGAGGCCGTGGCTCACCTGAGGTTAATCTCCTGCTCCACACCTTTCCTCTCCGAGTTCTGCAGAGCCTGGGTCCTCTGGATCTGCATCAAGGCTTCCCGGACCTCCACCAGCCTGACACAGAAGGAGCCACCTCTGCCAGGCTCAGGGCAGGTGGCACAGCCTCCCGGCTAGCCTCCCCGCTGCCTCCCAGGGCAGAAGGTGGACCACGTGCCGGAAGACAGCTGACTGGGCACCCCAGGGCTAGTGGCCCCCACTTCCCACCAAGCCCATACCTATAGAGGAGGGGGGGTACCTTTTCTCCAGGACCTGCATCTGGTTCTCCTTCTGGGACCCAGGGGACTGCAAAGAAGGCATGGAGCTGAGCAGGCTGGCCTGTTACCTACCGAGTTCCTGCAGCACAAGGAAGTGTGCTGGGGGGCAGTGTTAAAGGCCTTGGGATGCTGTGAACCCTGGCATCAGCGACCCAGCTGGACTCAGGGTCGGGGAGAAGCTGTCCCCGTGCCCAGGGGCCATGCATTGTGGGTGGACAGCCGTGCACTGTGGGGGGCAGGGAGCTGCGGGCACCGTCCCGGGCTCACCTCCAGCGCCTCCTTCTCCGGGGCCGCCTGCTGTGCCTTCTGCTGCAGCTGCTGCACCGCTGAGGTCTGCAGATGCAGGCGTGTGCGCACCTGCAGCAGCTCCCGGAGCAGGCCCAGCGTGACGTGTTCGCAGCGCTCTTTGTGTCCTCGCAGGCAGGCCACATCAGCCTGCAGGTCCGCCACGCTAGCCAGAGCGGGCGGGCTCAGCTGTGTCACCACGGACGGGGTGGAGGTAGGGAGCCCCGCTCGGCCCGCCTCAGCCCCGCAGGCAGTGACACGGGATGGGGTGGGGGTAGGGAGGTGGGGGTAGGGAGGTGGGGGTAGGGAGCCCCGCTCGGCCCCGCAGGCGGCTCACCACTGCTCCAGCTGCGCTTTGTACTTGGAAGCTTCCGGCTTGGGGACGGAGGAGCTGGGTGCCCCGTGGCCGGGCTCGTACCTCTCCGGAGTCTCTTCCAGGCTCAAGGGCTCAGGGCTGGTCAGGGCTTCTGCCAGGAGCAGCTCCAGGTCCTCCAGCGCCACAGTGCTCGGCTGGGTCGGGGGCGACATCCCCGACAGCATGCTGCCAGCCAGCTCTGTAAGAAGGCACCTCGGGAGCGGGCTCTCCGGGTACGCCCGATCCCTGTAACGGGAACCAAACTGCAAGGGTCACACCCCAAGCTCTGGGTGAATCCTCTGAGTTAGTCTGGCCTGGGCTGGGCAGGGGTTTGGCTCAGCAAAGTCTAGGGCCCTGAGAACGCACAGGTGGCCAGCAGGAATGAGACAGGGCTCCCATCTGTCAGCTGTCTGTGGGGGTTCCGGGAGCAGAGTTGTCCCATGGACCCTGTCCATCCCGGCTCGCCTGACATTACCACCAGAAGCCCCTACCTGCAGGCCTGGCCTGGGCCCAGTGCCTGTCCCTGGAGACCAGGCCAAGGCAGGCGGGGAGTGGCCGGAGGGAGGCAGTGAAGTCAGGCAGAAGGCTGGGGGCCTCTGGAGAGGATAAGGGCTGGGCCGGGGGGGAGCGGCAGGGGAGGCTGGGTGGGGAGTCGGGCCCCCCGGGGGCTGATGGGGCCTGGTAGGATGGCTGGGGCCCTGGGGGTCGGGAGCGGGTCAGCAAGGGGGGCAAGGGCCTCGAAGCAGTGAGGCGCGAGCTTCCTGTCCCCACACCCGGCCTCCTCAGAGAATCCCAAGGGAGGTGGGTACAACTTGGCAGCAGGGTTATTCTGGAACCTTCCTTTCCTCAGCAGAACCTTATGACTTCATGGCCCAACTGCCAGTGGAACCTGAGCTCTCCCCTGACCTGCCAGTGTGGCTTCCACAACTGCCAGCGTCTGCGCGGCTGAGGGCTACTGCAGAGTGTCTGGCAAAGGGCCGCCCCGACCCTGGCTGCTGGCCTGCGCAGTCAGGGGAACCCAGGAGCCACCCAGGTCCTGGGGGCCCAGACCTGGAGCAGGGAGACGAGGGCCGGCCCCCCCCCCCAGAAAGCAGGGGCCCCAAGGTGGCCACACAGCCACGGCAGCTTGGGGACTTCAGCTGTTCCAGAAGCCACTGAGAGGAGACGGTCGAGTGAGTTTTGATAGCTCCTTTTATTTACCTAGTATATCCAAAATATCATCTCAACATGTAACTGACATAAAACTATGAACAAGATTGCACGTGCTTTTTTGGTACCAATCGTTTGAGGCCCTGCGCAGTTCCTTCCCTTCCCTTCGCTGCCCTTCCCACGCAGAGGCTTCGCGGACCCCCTCCCCTCCCATGAGGGCTCAGACAACACCTGGTCCTGCAGCTGTGCGGACCGCTCGGCCTCCCTGGGGAGGGGCTGGCCCGGGCACGTGGGCACAGGTCTGCAGGGAGTTCCTGGGAGCAAGGCCGTGGGCCCACAGGCGGCTGTCGTTCCTTGAGCATGGGCCCCTGCCCGCGGAGCACTGTGCGGGCATCACAGGAGGCCCGCCACCTGGTGCCCGTGCTCAGTGCCCTGACCTCTAGGCCCCAGGCAGGGAACGGGATGGCGCCAGCCGACTTAAATATCTCACATGTTCATAAAAGAGACCCGAGGAACACTATCTGGCCAGGCCTGGCTAGCTCTGCCAATCCACGGGCCCATGCCACCAGACTAGCGCCACTCTGTGCTAGGCCACAGGAGATCACCCCAGTGGTGTGCACTTGGTGGCCACTGTAGCCAGAAGTGAGCCACTGCTGACACCGCGGCCCCCGTGCTGAGAACCTGTCTTCCTGGCTGTCTTCAAATGCACGCCTCAGGCCCGCGGGACTCTTAGGGCCCCAGCCCCTGGCACAGGCCCCATCTTCCTGTCTTCAGGGTCTGGGATCACCTAAGTCAGGTTGGACCTGGGCCACCTGGGGCTCCCCATGGAGCAGTGTGGCATCCTTGAGCCCTGGCTGTGAGGCTTCTGGTGGTGAGGGCAGTGTGGCTGGCGTGTGGGTCCCACAGAAGCAGCAGCCAGGAGCACGGCTCGCCTGCCTGGCGCTCTGCCCCTCTGCCGGCCTCTGGGGAGCCAGCAGCCAGAGACACAGCTGGAAGGAAAGGAACGGGGGTGGCGGGGTGCCAAGGGGCCGGGGCACAGGGGAAGTACTAAGGATGTAAACCACGCGTCCGCGAAGAAAGGCAGGCTCACAGGCCAGCTGGACCCGAGATGGGGCTGCTCGATCCTGCTGCTGTGCTGCCCAGGAGGTAAGGCTTTGGCCAAGAGACCAGGGACCCCAGGACAGAGCACAAAGGGGCTGGGCTGCCGCTGCCCACCAGGGGCCAGGCCTCATGTCTGTGCCAGCGAGAGTTCTTCCAGGCCGCCCTTCCCCAGGCGGTACCTGGCCAGGTCCTTCCTGGTCACCAGCCCGACCACCTGCAGGAGCAACATCAGGTGAGCGCCCTTGTGGAGTCAGGGTCCCAGGGCACTCCACGTGGAACGTGGACCACCAGCCTTACCTGATTGTGATTGTCCACGACCACCAGGTGCCTCAGGCCCAGAGCCCGGAACAGCTTGAACACCCGAGGGAGAGACGCTTCCTGCAAGGTGGGTGTGGTACTCAGCCTGCGTGCGCGCCCCAGGGGAGGACGGGACCCCCACAGCTCCAGGTGGGTAAGAGGAGTCCTGAGGTGTCCTCCTCCCCGCCAGGCCTCTCTGAGGCCTTAACCCTCTCCAAAGCACTGCTCCCAAGGACCACAGCACCCCCACTCCCAGGTCCTGCCCCAATGCCTTCTGGGCACATGGCGTGTCCTTGCAGACTGCCAAAGGGCAACGCCCTGCTCCGCCCCACAGGTGGGTACCGGGGCTCAGTATAAGGAGGGGCTGGATACCTGGGGCACAGTGTAAGGGGAGGGGTTCATGAACTCGGACAGGTCCATAGAGCACTCTCGCTCATCCTGGGACACGTGGATGGACTGGATCGGGGGGAAGCGTGGATAGGCATCTCGGAAGTCCTTCAGCCTCAGCCGGCGCTGCACCAGGCCCATGTTGGACCTCTCTACAAACACCTGTGGGCAGCGGTGGTCAGGGCCCGTGGAAGGCCAGGCCCTCCCCTGCCCTGACCAAGCAGGCCCACCTTGTGCTTCAGAAGGACAATGAGCTGGGAACGCAGGATCAAGCCCTGGAGCCTGGCTGGCTGTGGGGGAAGGAAGGGTCAGAGGCAGCGGGCAGCAGCCTCAGGATGCCAGTGTCAGGACCTCAGTCGATCCTCTGGTCCCTGAGAGCCACCTGAGTGGCTTGCAGTGAATTAGTTCCTACTCAGTCTCGGGAACCTGACACAGAGACACGGGTGTCCCCAGCCCTCCCCAGCCCCTACTCCCATGTCCAGTGCATCCCACAGGCTGGGCCTAGTGAGGGACACAGTGAGGCTGTATTCACGGACCCCACATCCCGATGGAGGCCATACTGCCCAGCAGTCAGGCTGGGGCACTCGAAGCGAGTGCCAGCTGCGGGACCCTGCCTTCCGCAGACCAGAGCGGGGCGGGGCGGGATGGTCCGCTCAGCACAAGCTCTCCTGCCTGGTACCTGGGTGTCGTCCGTGTCTTCCACCACGGGGAAGCCGTTGTGGTTGGAGGCCGTGTCACTGAGGACGTCCACGATAACACCGACCTTCTCCCTCCTCCGCAGGCACGTCACAGGGGTGCTCATCACCTCCCTGCCAAGACCCCAGCGCCCGTCACCGCCGCGCCGCCATCCATGCGTCTCAGCAGGCACAGGCTCTGGGGCCATGGTGCTGCCACACTAGGAAACAGCGGTCCCCAGGACACCCCACCTCCCCACGCTGCAGACTTAAGCGCCAGAGAGCCCAGCAGGGACTGAGCGGTGACGCTCACAGGCCCGCAGCCTCCTCCCTGCCTACACTCTACCTGCAGCCAGCACGACCCCCGTCCCCCCCACAAGCTGCAGCCTCAGACCTGGCCCTCCAGCCTGGGTGCGGGGAGGCTGCTGGCAGTACCTGGCGGTGAGTGAGTGGGAGGTGACCGGAGCCTCCCAGTGCAGGAAGGGCACGCTCTGCAGCTGGATGTGCATGTCGTACAGGCCCTGAGGAAGGGGCGGCAGGTGAGGCGTGGCCGCGCCCCCAGGGCATCTGGAAGGGCATCTGGGTGGCTGCACAGGGCTGCCACAGGCCCCCAGAGCCCGGAGCACCCCGACCCCTGGCTAGGCCAACGTGTGGGGTGAAGGGGCCGACAGGCTTCCTGCTCTGCGCACCTCAATGAAGACATCGCCCACGATCTTGGCGGTCATCAGCACCAGCATGATAGGAAAGCCGTAGGTCACATTGCTGGTGGCCTCCATCATGATGACTGTCAGGCTCAGGGTCATCCTCACGATCCCACCTGCGGGAGTGGCCGCAGGCCTCACCATGCACCTGTGGCTCTAGAGCTCCAATGAGAGGCCCGTGACTGCCTGGCTCCGTGGGGAAGAGGAACACCACCACCTGGGATCCCAGGCCCTGTTCTGCTCACATTGATGGAGGACCGACTCCCGCTGCGGGGCGGCACAGCCTGCCCGGGGAGACGGTGCCCCTGCCCTCTCGCCTCTCTGCAGTGGTGAGAACCAGGACTTACCGAGCTGGGCAGCAGCTCCCATCAAGGCGTACTTGCCAGGGTCTGCCCAGATCTGCAGGAGGTAACACAGGAATGACGGCTGCATGCCTGAGGCCCTGGGTTCGATTCCTCAGCACCACGTAAGCAAAAAGAAAAAAGCCAGAAGTGGCGCTGTGGCTCAAGTGGTAGAGTGCTAGCCTTGAGCTGAAGAGCTGAGGGACAGCACCCAGGACCAGAGTTCAGGCCCCATGACCAGACCCCAACCCCCACCCCCAAAAAAACAAAAAACAAACAAACAAAAAAAAACTGAGCGGGCTGGGAAGGTGGCTTAGTGGTAGAGTGCTTGCCTCGCATGCATGAGCCCTGGGTTCAATTCTCAGCACCACATAAACAGAAAAAGCCAAAGCGGACGCTATAGCTCAAGTGGTAGAGTGGTAGCCTTGAGCTGAAGAGCTCAGGGACACCGCCCAGGCCCAGAGTTCAGGCCCCACGACCAACGACAAAAAAAAAAAAACACCAAAAAAAAACAAAACAAAACACAACAACAACAAACTGAGCAAGGAATGGTGGTGCACTTGTGACCCTCAGTGCCTGGGAGGCTGAGGAAGGAGGCTATGAGTTCAAGGCCAGCCTGGGACACACAGCAAGTCCCTCCCTGCACGCCTGCTTGTGGAGCGTGTGGGAAGAGCTGCACTTCAGGGATGTGGTCCCCAGCAGACTTCCCCGACTCACCGCTGCCCCCGTGAGGTAGGATAGAGAGATGCCAAAGAGCCGACCCCAAGCAGCGCCGATGAGCAGGGACGGGATGAAGACCCCAGCAGACACAGTGAGCCCGTAGGTCCAGCAGGCCAGGAAGAAGTACACGATGGTGAACAGGCCCAGCGTCATGGGGTTATAGGAGCCTAGGGAGAGGAGGCTGCCGGTCCTGACTCCTGCCCACGCACAGCTGCCCCACCCAGCCCACAGCTCCATCCTGGAGCTGGGCCACCGAGCCCCAGCCTGGCTGTTCTTCAGAAGGCTCGACACTCGCCTTTTCAGAAGGATGGATGGGCCTCAAGAACTGGAGAGGGAGCCAGTGCCAGTGGGTCACACCTGCAAACCTAGCCACTCAGAAGGATCGCGGTTTGAAGCATAAGACTAGCTCCAAAATAGCAAAAAGTCTGGAAGCATGGCTCAAGTGATGTGCCAGCCATTCAAGCAAGCCTGAGCTTAAACTCTGGTAACAAAAAACAAAGAATGCGCCGGGCGCCGGTGGCTCACGCCTGTCATCCTCCTAGCTACTCAGGAAGCTGAGATCTGAGGATCGCAGTTCAAAACCAGCCCGGGCAGGAAAGTCCATGAGACTCATCTCCAATTAACCACCAGAAAACTGAGAGGGTGCTGTGGCTAAGTGGTAGACTGCGCACCTAAGAGCCCAGGGGCAATGCCCAAACCCAGAGTTCAGGTGCCACGACTGACAATAATAATAACAACAACAATAAACGAGATGGGAAAGTTGTGGGCTCAGCAGGGAGGCCTGAGTCCCCAGGCAGCCCGGCCTGCATCAGATCCACAGCCTGGAGGTCTCTCTGGGGAAAAGGATGTATCACACACCCCTCCGGGGAACAGCGGAGCTGCTGGGCCTGCTGTACATCAGTCTGACCTCAGAGGACCAAGTGAAGGGGAGGCCTCTCTGAAGCCAGAGCAAGGCCTGGGCTAAGGAGGCCAGTGGAGGTCAGTGGACCATCCTCCTGGTGGCAGTGGGTGGTAGAGGTGAGCTCTGCTAGTCCACACGGGCAAAGGGCATGGAGATGTCACTTCTGAGAAGTGTGCAGCACGGCCGGGCCTGGAGATGGCCACTGTGATCCCCAGTGGCTGAACACTAACTCTTGGTTGCTCTTCCTGGATGAGAAGCCAGGGAAATGAGGCTAAGATGAAGGGAGAAGGCCACAATGACCAACACAGAGGTCTATAGCAGGCTGGGGCGGTCCGTCTGTGTGCCAAAGGTACTATGGCACAGGCCAGAGGTCAGAAGGGCCAGGCCCCAGAGCCACACGTGAATTCCATGCCCTTGATCTGCTCCATTTCCTGCCCCCTCCCATGGGCAGATCTAGAGACAGGGAAGCTCCTGGGGCCTTGTCAGGCAAACGATGAAAAGCAGTGTCCCCACGAGACACATGGGAAAGCAGGGCCAAAGCCAGGCGCAGGCCCCGCCTGTGCTAAGGCTCTACTCTGGCGCAGGTTCCGTGTCACAGAGGTAGCTGGGGGAGGGCAAGGCCTGACAGAGCCGCTGGGCTCTCCGGCTGAGCAGCGGCGCTGACCTGGTGTCTAAGGCAGGAAGTAGGTGGGGGGCCACAGCCCGCCCTGCTCCAGCGCTTGGCTACCAGCAGCTGTGGACCCTATAGCCCTTTCAGTCTCACCACCCCAACTTTGCCTACTAACGCTGGCTCAGTGCACCCTAACATGCCAGGGTCAAGTCCTCCAGATCAGGGCAGCAGCCTGGCAGCATGGCTCGGCCGCACTGCCCGCACACACCTGGTGGGTCGTGGAAGAGGCTGACCACACTCTTCTCAGGGGTGTTGAAGAAGGCCGCAGCCATGGAGTTGTACTCGCCGTCCGCACAGAAGAGCTGCAGGAGCAGGAGAGCACAGGAGGGGGGCTGGGATGCAGAGCTGTGTCGCCAGGGTCTGGGGGCTCGGGGCCACAGCACATCACTGTTCCTGTCCTGATTGTGGCTGCTGACTGCCCAGCAAGCAAGGTCACCTCCTCTGTCTGGGCGCCAGGACAGTTCTCACTCTGGGACGCCCATCAACAAATGGACTCAAACATCTGTGGAAGATGTGTGTGTGTGCCACGCCCACAGTGTGTGCACGCCCAGGTGAGCAGCCTCAAGGCCCCTTTCTGGGGCTCTCACCAGGGGCTGCTCTGGAAAGAGGATTGTGGTGGTAGCCCTGGCACTGCCACCTGTTCCCTGGGTGCCCTGCAGCCGGCCTCTGCCTTTCTGGGACCTGCTGGGCGACACAGGCACACTGGCACGCTCAACTTGAGCCAGGCTGTGTCCGACAGCCCTCATGCCTAAGCAGGATGTGAGCAAAGACCACCTGGCCTGCTCAGGGTGCTCGCCCACAGGGCCCCATGCCTACCTGGAGCGGGTAGGACATGGAACTTCCCTGCAGGGGCTGGCAATCCCGGGACGAGTAAATCAGCACAAAGGCGACCGTGGCTGTGACAGCGGCCACCAGTATGGCCTCAATCACCTGGAGGCAGGGCCGGTGGATGTACCTAGAGCCCAAAGCCAGGATGCACCTCACTGCAGAGACGGCCCCTGCAGCCCCACATCACGCCCACCGCGGCCGTCACGACAGCCTACCCCAGAACCACTGCTGGGAGAGTGAGTGACACACCACAGGTTTCATGGTCAGGTCTCCGCACACTGCAGACCCTCCTGGGGGACAGGCTAGCCACAGTGACGGGCACTCACAGTGGCACAAGCATAGAAGCAGCTGCCACCAAGCCAAGACACTCCTGAAGGACGCAGGGAATTCCATCAACACACCTAACAACAGGGCTAGCAGGCAGGGTGGACAGAGCCGGTGCCCCGGCAGAGCCCAGTGGAGTCTTACTCCTTCTTGGCTTGCTCTTCTGCCCAGGGACATCCCTCAGGCAAGGAGCCCTGCTTCTCTCTGGAGAGACCTCTGTTATCTGGCTTGGCCCTCTAGCAGACCATATAGCACGTCCCCAACTTGTCTGTTAGGCACAAATCAAGCTCTACTGGGTGTGGTTCCAAATCCCAAGCCCATTCTTGAGGGTCCGTAAGGCCAGATGTCAATTCCATTCATAAAAATGGAATGGCTTTCTCACCTGATTCGAAACATTGTCAGCCAGTAATTCAAGGCATTGAAGACAGCTCCGAGAATGCCACCTACAACCCGAAAGAAAGCACCCATCAGTTGGGTGGGACAAAGGGGGGAGTCCCGGCCAGGAGCAGAGAGCCTGGAGAGAGGCCAGCCGGGCCTCACCCTGCCCTGGCGCCCCAGCTCTGCTGCCGCCGCCCCCCTCCCCCACCCCCAGTCACAGGAACACGTTCTCACAGAGCAGCTCAGGCGTGTTTTTTTTTTGTTGTTGTGGGTTGTGGGGCTTGAACTCGGCCTGAGCACTGTCCCTCAGCTCTTCAGCTCAAGGTGAGGGCTCTACCACTTAAGCCACAGCACCACTTCTGGTTTTCTGGTAGTTAATTGGAAATAAGAGTTTCATGGACTTTCCTGCCCAGGCTGGCTTTCAACTGTGATCCTCAGATCTCAGCCTCCTGAGTAGCTAGGATGACAGGCATGAGCCACCAGTGCCTGGTGAGCATTCCTTTTTCTGTGTGGGCTTTTTTTTTGGCTAGTCCTGGGGCTTAAATTCAAGGCCTGGGCATTGTTCCTGAGCTACTTTTGCTCAAGGCTAGCGCTCTACCACTTGAGCCACAGCACTATTTCTGGCTTTTTTTGTTTATGTGGTATTGAGGAATCCATCCCGGGGCTTCATGCTTGCTAGGAAAGTACTCTACCACTAAGCCACATTCCTAGCCCTGAGCATGCCTTATCTGGAACTCCTACCCACAAGTGGGAAGTTCTGCATTTGGCCCACGGAAGGCCCTGTTGAGGCAGTGTACGTAGGTGGATGTGAACCGGTAGAGTCTGGGTTTAGGCTTGGGTCCCTATCTCAGAATATCTCATGGGTTTAAATAGGTTCCAAAGTCTAAAAATGAGCCGGGCGCCGGTGGCTCACACCTGTAATTCTAGCTACTCAGGAGGCTGAGATCTGAGGATCACAGTTCAAAGCCAGCCCAGGCAGGAAAATCCATGAGATTCTTATTTCCAATTAACTACCAGAAAACCAGAAGCGGTGCTGTGGCTCAAGTGGTAGAGCGCTAGCCTTGAGCTGAAGAGCTGAGGAACAGCGCCCAGGCCCAGAGTTCAAACCCCACAACCAATAAAAAAAAAAAAAAGAAAGAAAGAAAAAAAGAAAAATCTAAAAACAAAACAACAAAACCAAACACCAAAATCTAAACCACTTCTGTCCCAAGCCTTTTATTTTGGGGGCCATCCTGGGATTTGAACTCCACGCCTCACGCTTGCTAGGCAGGTCACTATCATTTGTACCATGACTTCAGAGCCATGTCTCCAACTCATATTTATTTTTTTCATAGTATTTGGGGAAGGGATTCTCAAACTATTGGTGCTGTGGGACCCACAGCATTCCTCAGGAACCCTGGCCAGCCCTGGAGCTTTTTTTTTTTGTCAGGCTGGCTTTGAACCTCGATCCTCAGATCTCAGCCTCCTGAGTAGCTAGGATGACAGGCGTGAGCCACCAGCGCCTGGCAGCCCTGGGACTTTGTCTGAACACAAAGCCAGCCTACAGTTCTTCCTACATATCACCTATACAGGGCTCACCCCCAGCCTAGCCAGCACCCTACCTGTGAACCGCAGGGTGTGGAGGCCTCAACCTCTGGACACTGCAAAGCTGTACTGGGACCACAGTTATCTGGCACGGGGGTTTTGGGGACCTCGGTTATCTGGCACTGGGGCTTTGGGGACTGCAGTTACCTGGCACTGGGGCTTTGGGGACCACAGTTATCTGGCACTGAGGTTTTGGGGACCTCAGGTATCTGGCACTGGGGCTTTGGGGACCTCGGTTATCTGGCACTGGGGCTTTGGGGACCTCAGTTATCTGGCACTGAGGTTTTGGGGACCTCGGTTGTCTGGCACTGGGGCTTTGGGGACCACAGTTATCTGGCACTGGGGCTTTGGGGACCTCGGTTAGCTGGCACTGGGGCTTTGGGGACCTCGGTTATCTGGCACTGAGGTTTTGGGGACCTCGGGTATCTGGTACTGGGGCTTTGGGGACCTCAGTCATCTGGTACTGGGGCTTTGGGGACCTCGGTTACCTGGCACTGGGGCTTTGGGGACCTCAGTTATCTGGCACTGGGGCTTTGGGGACCTCGGTTATCTGGCACTGGGGCTTTGGGGACCTCGGTTATCTGGCACTGGGGCTTTGGGGACCTCGGTTAGCTGGCACTGGAGCCCTGGGGACCGTGGTCACCTGGCACCAGGGCCCTGCTCCGCTCCATCCTGGGAGAGCAACTTACCCACCACTCCCATGGCAATGAAGACAGGGATCTCATGGATGGTATAGGCCATTTTCTGTGAGAAGAAAGGGAACATGGTAAGGAGTGTCAGCTGTGGCTGGGGTCTGTGGCTTTGCTTGTGGGGGCTTCATAGCTGGCTGGGCTGGTGGGTGAGGCGCTCCCTGATTGGTTGAAGGACTAATCTTGATATTTGCAAGTGGCTCCTGCCACTTAAACCTCAGGGCTGCACGTGAGCTCTGACTCTGTTCGTGGAACTTTCTAGCACTTTCCCACAGACCCACAGAGGCCCCACGGGTAGGAGAGCTGGTCCCTTTAGCAGACCTCACGCCTCCTCAGGGCCCTGCTGGTGTGGGTGGCGCATGCACTGTGGCTGGCAGCACACAAGCCGTCCCTGCAGGGTAGCTGTGAGCTCCTGGAAGCCCCTACAACACCCAGGGGCCTCACGTCTACCCACAGCCCAGAGCCAAAATTCCCAAACACCTGGCTGAAGCCCCAGCCTTAGACAGGTGAAAGGTAGTGAGGCGGGTGGAGAGCTACCTCTGAGTCAAACCTTCCGAAGTTGATGAGTCCTGGGCTGGACAGGTCCCACATGTTCCCATGGTAGATACTCAGGACACAGTTCAGAGTGAAGGTGGAAATCATGGAAGCAAAGAACTGCAGCACAGAAAGAGTCAAAACCTCAGGGCTGTGGCCCAGCCAGGGCCCTAAGGGGTGTGCTGGAGCCCACCCAACACACTTGGGGACGCCAGAGACCATAACTGAGTGCCTGGAACCAGATTTGGGGGGGCGGGGGGGGAGACAAGACCAGCAGGCAGGACCTGTGAGCCTGGAGGGTCCAAATCCACCCCATACAGGAGGGAGAGAGCTAGAGCGCCAAGCAGGCCCAGCCCACTGCACGGTGAGGCAAGTGCTGGAGACAAGGTAGTGGCGGGAGGACGGTCCAGGGCTGGCAAGGACTCACGAGAGGACGTGAGGGGACGGACAGTGTGGGTGTCCACTCTGTCCACCTAAGTGGCACCTGACCGTGGGGGAGGTGGAGAAGAGGGAAACATGGAGCCTTAGTCATGGGTGGCCAGTGGATACTTACAATTCTCCATGTCAAGAACTGGTTCCAGAAAGAGGCACCTTCTTCCAGGCTGAACAGGACACCACCTGGAAGAAAGCAGGCAGGCCTGAAGAGCCACCTGGCTACAGGGTGGCTGTACTCATGTCACCCCACCCCCAAATCCAAGATAGCAAGACTGTGTCACAAGGAAGCTGGGGGGGGGGGGGGGGCAGGACACAGGGAGAGGGGTCTCTCAGGGTTCCCAGGGCCAGTCCAGGGCTCCTGACAATAGTACAACCTCTCATAAATCCCCTGGCTGGTGACTGTAAGCACTGGCCACACCTGACCAGTGCTCATCTGCAATTACCAAGACCAGACCTTCAACCAAGCAGGGAGAGCTTCGCTCCCTGGCCTAGTCAGCTATGAGGCCCCCAAGAGCACAGCCACAGACCAGGCAGGGCCGGCCCCTCCTCACCCACGGGCGCTCCAAATGCAGCTGATACTCCAGCCGCAGCTCCTGCTGAGACAAAGTCTCTCTTCTCCGTGTCTCTGCGGAAGTACTCAAAGATCTAAAGGAGGAAGGGATGGAGAATGGCATGGGTAGACTTGTAGGGGATACAGGCTGCCATGAAAGGGACTAAGACAAACGGGGGACAATCGTGCCATCAGCTACTGGAGTCACAGAGCTGCCACAGGCAGCACAGAGGCACAGCCAGCACCCTGCAGGCCCCAGCACCCTGCAGGCCCCAGCACCCTGCAGGCCCCAGCACCCTGCAGGCCTACGTGGCTGGCACACCGCGTGGCCCGCTGAGATGACCAGAGGACCCCATCTACAATGGCAGCTCAGCTTCACTACACACACACAGACTATTAACACAGCTCTACCGAGAAACCAGAAGGAACCAAGTAAGTGGAAAACCCAACCCTGCTCTTCATTTTATACACAATTGAAGCTGGGCGTCGATGGCTCACGCCCGTAATCCTAGCTACTCAGCAGGCTGAGAACCGAGAAACGAGGTTAAAAGCCAGCCCCAGCAGACTCCAGGTAACCCCAAAAACCCACAAGGGGAGATGTGGCTCAAGTGGCATAGCACTGGGCTTGAGCAAAAAATCTAAGTAAGAGTACAAAACCCAGAGTTTCAGCCCTAGTACCAAAGAAAATGGAAGGTCTTAGCCGGGAACCAATGGCTCACATCTGTCATCCTAGCTACTAAGGAGGTTGAGATCTGAAAATCACAGTTCAAAGCCAGCTGGGACAGGAAAGTCTGTAAGACTCTTATCTCCAATAAATCACTAGAAAACCAGAAGTGGTGCTGTGGTTCAAGCGGTAGAGCGCTTGCCTTGAGCTGAAGAGCGCAGGGACAGCGCCCAGGCTCAGAGTTCAAGCCCCACAACTGAAGAAAAAAAAATATATTTTTGGAAATGAGTCCCACGGACTTTCCTGCCCGGGCTGGCTTTGAACCTCGATCCTCAGATCTCAGCCTCCTGAGTAGCTAGGATTACAGGCATGAGCCACGGGCACCTGGCAAGACAGCTGTTGTAAGGTCTTGAATTCAATTACATTACACAAAAACAGGACTGCAATGTGGCTTAGTGATAGAGTGCTTGCCTAGCAGGCATGAAGCCCTAGGTTTGCTCCCTCAGTACCATACAAACAGAAAAAGTCGGAAGTGGTGCTATGCAGTGTCCAGGCAGAGTTCAAACCCCAGGACTAGCAACACACACACACACACCCTAAATAATATACATGTTCTGCCTCTAAATTCCATTTTTTAAGACAGGTCACTATGTAGACCACCAGTCTGGCCTCAAATTTTCAACTCTTTAGCCTCTGTCTCCCAAATGCCTGGACTATAGACATGTACTATCATTTCCAGCCCAAAACAAGTTTGGACAACAAGTGCCAGCGAGTCCATTTACACACCCTTCACACACACACACATACACACGCACACGCGTGCACACTCTCTCTCTCCATGCAGTTCTGACTTTCTTCAGCTGGCTGGCGCCACAGACTCTACACACACACACACACACACACACACACACACACACACACACACACACACTGGGATTGTGCAGAGAAGGATGCCACATGGGGCGGAAGCAAAGGATCCATACCTGCCTGGGCTGGAAGCAGGCCAGGCTGCCACTTAGGTAGGGTTGGGGATAGAGATGGAGAGGGGACCAGCTCCCCTGCCTGGAGGGATGGAGCGATGGGGGGGGGGGAGAAGGGGGGGCTCTTATTCACACGCCTCCAGGGGAGAGGGCTTACCTTGAAATCTCGCTTGAGTGATGTTGACCTTCCCTGGGAAATCCCAGCAGCGATCACGGACCCGGAGTGGATCATAGGCCCTTCCTAGAAGCACAGCACTCAGAGGATGCCCTCAGGCGGTGGCTTCCTCTGAGGGGCGGGGTCAGAGCGGGGGGGGTGGGGGGGGGTGGGGGGGGGGGAATGGGGTGGGGGGGTGGGGGGGGAATGGGGTGGGGGGGGGTGGGGGGGTGGGGATGGGGGTGGGGGGGATGGGGTGGGGGGGCAGTGTCGTGCGCACTCATCACCTTTCCCACAGCCAGTCCCCCCACCACGGACAGAATCACGCCGGACACCTTGATCACCAATGTCTAGAACACAAGAAAAAACACATGTGGATACAGAACTCGGGGCTTGAGCCTGGGCTGAATGCACACATGGTGGCTAGGACCCTGGGATGCGGGAGCCGCTGGGCTCCAGGAGGCTGCATCCTCCTCCCTCCTCAGCACAGGCCAGGACGTGGCTCCCTTCTCCATACTCTGAGGGTACCCCCCCACACACACACACAAGGGACATGTCTTTTCCCTGGTTTCCTTCCCAAAGCAAGATGGCCACAGTACAGCATGCATCAGGCATCCTCCACTGACAGACAGGCACCCCGCACCTCAGCGCAGGGACTGTCATTCTGGGAGCCTCCTCCCACCTCACGGCACCCAGGGCACACTGTCCTGGGTCCCTGTTGGGGGATGTGTGTGCACCACCAGCCTCCCATGCCAGCCAGGAGTCTTAAAGGTAACCCTTAAGACTGCTGGAGGGTGGCAAATATTCACAGCGCATGAGAGACAGTAGAAGTGACTGCCACCCAGGCCCCCCAAGGGACAGAACACACACCCCATATGCCTGCCTGCCTGCCTGGGGCACAGATCCACAGGGGAGAAGAGCTTCACACTCAGTGCAGGCACCAAGGAAACCTACAGGAGGCCTGGGAAGGTGGCTCCGTGGTAGAGCGCTTGCCTTGCATGCCCTGGGTTCAATCCCTCAGCACCACATAAGCAGAAAAAGCTGGAAGTGGTGCTGTGGCTCAAGTGGTAGAGTGCTAGCCTTGAGCTGAAGAGCTCAGGGATAGCACCCAGGCCCAGAGTTCAGGCCCCAGGACCGACAAAAAAAAAAAAAAAAGAAAGAAAGAAAGAGAGACAGAGAGGGAGGGAGGAAGGGAGGGAGGGAAGGAGGGAGGGAGGGAGGGAGGGAGGGAGGGAGGAAGAGAGGAAGGGAGGGAGGGAGGGAGGGAGGGAGGGAGGGAGGGAGGGAGGGAGGGAAAAAGAGCCTACAGGAGGACCCAGGCTCCGCACAACCAGTCTCCTGAACCAGGGACAGGAAGCCCTCTGACCAGTCTCAGTCTGGGAAGGCTGACCATGTGGGCTAGAACAGGAATAGGTGGACTGTGGTCAAAACCACCCAAACTTCATGGAGCTAGGAGGCTATTGCTGACATTAAGCATGATAAGTACTAAGGAAACTTCTTTTTTTTGTTTTTAGTCCGGTTGTGGGGCCTGAACTCTGGGCCTGGGCGCTGTCCCTCAGCTCTTCAGCTCACGGCTAGCGCTCTACCCCTTGAGCCACAGCGCCACTTCCGGCTTTTTTTCTTTTTGCTTATGTGGTGCTGAGGAATCGAACCCAGGGCCTCAGGCATGCAAGGCAAGCGCTCTACCACTGAGCCACCTTCCCAGCCCCCTAAGGAAACTTTTAAAAGAAAAGCCTCTCACCCTAATGCTAGTGGTTCTGAAACGCCAACACCCACAGGCTCCTGTGTGACGGCACATTCTACGTGGCTGCGACCGTAGCACGCACTGGCCGAGTGTGCCCGTGCCGGTTAGTGAGTGCTGCCACTTTCGGAGTACCCCTGCCAGCACCCGCACGCACGCCAGCAGCAAGCACAGAGGAGGGAAGGGCGAGAGACATGCCGGTAAATCCTGAGCGCCGCACCGGTCAGCCCAGCTCACCTTGAGCCGCACTACATGGGGGATCTTCACCCCATTGAGGAAGCACTTGATCTGGGGGATCCCACTGCCGGCAGCTACTGGCTAGAAAGAGAAAGAGACACCACTGAGCAGGAGGGGTGAGCAGGAACAGCTCCATGGCCCAGGAGCAAGTGGAGCCAGGCCCAGGAAGGACTCTCTGCCTGGTACGCGCAGGTCCTCACTTCCAGCCCAATTCTGCCAAGGAAGTAAACCCTGTGGGCTGTGCCGGGGCCTGGGTGGAGACATGATATCCATGCACCCCACAGGGGCAGCTTGGGGGGATGCTCCCGGATTGAGCATCATCTAGCACAAGCTAGCAGACAGCTAGGGTCGCTGTGATGCCCTCATGGCTCTGGAGCTGCAGCTTCTTGTTTCTATCACCCCATGACAAGGATGGTAAGGGCAGCAGCCTATAAAAAGGGGAAGATCTCCGGGCGCCGGTGGCTCACAGCTGTCATCCCAGCTACTCAGGAGGCTGAGATCTCAGGATCACAGTTCAAAGCCAGCCTGGGCAGGAAAGGCCGTGAAACTCTTATCTCCAATAAACCACCAGAAAACCATAAGTGGTGTTATATAGGACTCAAGTGGTAGAGAGCTAGGCTTGAGCTCAAGAGCTGAGGGACAGCACCCAGGCGCAGAGTTCAAGCCCATGACCGACGACAAAAAAAAAGGGGGGGGAGGGGGGACGGCGGACTCCTGGGAGCCCCAGGATAAGAGATGCCCTCTGCCTTGCGGCAGAGTGAGGTCCCACTGGGGAGAAACTGGTCCTGCCATTTTCTCTTCCTAGCCCATGTCCAGTTGACGCCTCCCATAGCACCCCCGCCCGAGACCCACAGTACAGGCCATGGAGGATGGGGTCTGGGTATGCCAGTGCGCTGGGCAGATCCTGCTTTGTCTGAGCATGGAGCAGGTATGGGAGACCTGCCTAGGATAGGTTTTAAAGGTGGGTGTGGCATGGGAATGGGGGACCGGGGCTGAGGGGCTAAGGCCTGGAATGGCATCACCCAGGGTCTGGGCTGAGGCAGCGCAGAAGGTTTTCCTGTCTTACCACTAGATCTCACACAGCTCCTGACTTCCACTCGCACAAAGCATGCACGCGCACCAGCCACCAGGGTAGCCTGACCCTGTCCTGCCTCCTGCCCCCACCCTGAGATGCCCAGTGCACATCACTGTACCTCAATGAAGGCCACTATCACAGAGCCTATGAGCACAAAGGCCGAGTTGAGCGTGGCCCACAGCAGGAGGGAGAAGGACAGCCCGCCCTTCTCTGTGAACCTGTCGATGTCTGGGAGCAAGTCAAGGCCGAGAACAGCTGTCCTCACAGCCCACGGGCGCCCTGTCCTCACTCCCATGGCTAGTCTGGGTGCATGTGGTGTCCTGCAATGCCACGGGCAAGCAGACACCACAGATGTTTCCCAAGTAAGACAGTGGTGCAGCTGTCAGTCCAGGCACCCCCCCCCACCCCCCCGCAGGCTGGATGGGATGGAAAGCACCCACAGGGCTGGGCCTCTTGGCACCGCCCACTTGTGAGGGCACAGGCTTCGGCCCCCACTCTCTGCTAGGTGGTGAGGATACTGTCCTTGATGACCCTGTACTTGAGGCCGGCCAGGTTCTCAACCACGATGTCGATGAAGCAGGCCACGAGGCCCGTGAGGATCCCGATGAGGGCACAGATGACCCAGCGCTTGATCTCCACCGTCCTGAAGGCCTGCCAGGAGAGGTGGAGTCAGATGTGGACATCTCAGCCAAAGACAGGCTGCAGACAGCTCTGAGGCTGGCTCTCAAGGACGCCACACACACACACACACACACACACACACACACACACACACACACACACACACACACACACACACACACCATAACATACACACACACAGCACCCAGGACCAAGTCTTGCCCCTTTTTATTTTTTTGGTTGATCGTGAGGCTTGAACTCTGGGCCTGGGCGCTGTCCCTGTGCTCTTCAGCTCAAGGTGAGCTCTCTACCACTAGAGCCACAGCGCCACTTCCAGTTTTCTAGTGGTTTATTGGAGGTAAGAGTCTCATGGAGGGGCTGGGAAGGTGGCTCAGTGGTAGAGCGTTTGCCTTGCATGCCTGAGGTCCTTGGTTCGATTCCTCAGCACCACATAAGCAAAAAGATAAAAGCCGGAAGAGGCACTGAGGCTCAAGTGGTAGAGCGCTAGCCTGAGAATCTCATGGACTTTCTGCCCAGGCTGGCTTTGAACTGTGATCCTCAGATCTCAGCCTCCTGAGTAGCTAGGATGACAAGCGTTCACCATCGGCACCCGGCCTTTGCCCATGTTTTAATGACATGCAGCACCATGAGACATGAGTGGGTGACGTTCCCAGCAAGTCCACACAGCTGCTGACCGTCCAAGGCTGCCATCTGTAGGGACAGCCTTCTTGGTTGCCATTAGCACGTTTCCTCCCACAGTCTCGACCGTGAGAGGCCAGATGTCACGTGGCCCTCAAGCAGTGGTTTCAGAACCCCGAGGCTGGGGACAGAGGAGGAAAGGGAGCAGGCAACACACTGCCTGGTCACAGGACAGCCCCCCCTTACCGTGTGGTTGATCCGCCTCTCCTCTTCCAGGAACAGCTGGTTCTCACTGTTGTCGTAGTCCAAGCTCTGCAGAGCAGGGCGCATGGGCCATTACCAACCAAGGACCTGGGCGGGAGGGGCAGGGGAGGGCGAGGGCTGGGGTCCAGGGCAGAGGCCCACCTCATACTTGAGGGACAGGAGCTTCTCATTGTGTGGGATCTCCTTGGGGAAGGGGGGAGGTGGGTCCACTTCCTGTGGAAGGAAAGGCAGAATCACAGGTTTTTGGGGTTTTTTCTCACTATGTATGTAATCTAGGCTGTCCTGGAACACTCAATCTTCCTGCCTCAGCTTCTCAGGTGCTAGGCTTACAGGCATGTGTTATCATGTCCAGTTTCTGTGCTTTCTTTGGGAATGAGGAGCAAGGGGAGGAAGAAGGGACACTCATACCAGAGGCCTGCACTCTCCCAACACTTCCAGGCAGGCCGGGAAGTCACAGAAGCCTAACATCTGCCCTGGAGCACAAGAAGCAGGGCTTCTAGGGCACAGATACACAGTTGTCCAGATAGAAAGCAAGGGATCCAGGAACATCATGACTGAGATGGGCTTGTCTCAGGAACACAAGGTTTTTTGTTGTTGTTGTTGTTTGTCAGTCGTGGGCTTGAACTCTGGGCCTGGGCGCTGTTCCTCAGCTCTTCAGCTCAAGGCAAGCACTCTTCCACTTGAGCCACAGCACCACTTCTGGTTTTCTGGTGGTTTCTTGGAGATAAGAGTCTCATGGCCTTTCCTGCCTGGGCTGGCTTTGAACCATGATCCTCAGATCTCAGCCTCCTGAGTAGCTAGGATTACAGGCGTGAGCCACCGGCACCCAGCACCACAAGATTATTTTAACACCTGCAAATCTACTAGCACACAGTGCTAGGCCAACAGAGCAAAGGACAGCTTCCATGATTCCATATATGGCAGGCGGGTGAGAATACACAGCCCTCAGGCCACTGGGACAAATGGGAGTGCCACCAGAGAGGAAGTGAATTTGGGCATGCCCCAGTGTGGTACAAGGGCCAGAGTCCATTCTGATGTCAGAAGACATGACCAACCTTCACGCTCTCCAAGGATGCCCTGCCCCTCAGGGATCCCCTCCCCACCTGCCCCGGAGCCAGCCCTTTGGCCGCGGAGTCCCTCAGCCCATATCCACTCCTGCCCAGGGCTCTGTGCTCCATGATCCGTCTTCTACTACTCCTGTCCACCTCTGCTCTTCCAGCTGGCGTGGCTATGTGGCCTCCGGGCCACGTTTCCCTGGAGCAGTCTACCTCTGACCGTCTCTGGGGGCCCCTGCTGTCTGCCAGCCATACTGTCCCGCCACCCCCACTGCCCACTGTCCTCCATCCTCAGGTGGGCACTGCCCTGTGAGGATGCACTTCTGTGAGGCCAGGAGTGAGGATGCGGGCCACTCACCGGGTCCAAGAGCTCGTCATCCAGCTCCATGGTTTTCATTTGTCCAACTTGGAAAAATGCAGAATGAGGCAGCTAAAAGCGGAGGAGGGGTGGTGGTGAGGTGCGCGCGGAGCCGGAGGGGCTGCGTTCTCACTCCCACCTGCGAGGCCAGGCTGCTCCTGACAGCGCTGCTCCCGTCCAGCCCAACCACGGAGGGCGGCACGGACTTTACTCACTCAGTGCGCCGCCTTGCTGCAGCAAACTGAGGGAGAGCGCTGTCACCCCTCAGGACAAACGCAGCAGTGCCCGTGCTAGGCATCGTCCCTGCCTGCCACCACTGGCCCTAGGGGTGGGTCTGTCTTCAGGGCCACTATGCCACGTGCCAGTGTGGCCTTTCTGGGCCCCGTCTGGGCCTCACCCAGCCCGGGATGTGCTGCAGTGGGCCTCCAGCAGAAGGGTGACCATGATGCAAAGCTGAGGGGTCTTAGCCACAGAGGTCTCCAAAGCACAGCCCGGGCAGGCGGGAGGCAACGAGCCCCTGGTTAGGCTCCACCCCTGCCCCTGTGAGCCCAGCTGCTGGCCCCGGGGGGGGGGGGGGGGGGATGGATGAGTGGAGGAGATGGCATCATGCACTTCTCCTTCCCCTAGTTTCTGATGGGGGAGGGGCTAGTTTCTGGGCTCAGAGCCACAAATGGGTGCCCCATGGCCAGTATTTTTTTTTTTTTTTTTTTGGTTCCGGTCATGGGGCCTGACCTCTGGGCCTGGGCGCTGTCCCTCAGCTCTTCAGCTCAAGGCTAGTGCTCTACCACTTGAGCCACAGCGCCACTTCGGGCTTTTTTCTTTTTGCTTATGTGGTGCTGAGGAATGGAACCCAGGGCCTCAGGCATGCCAGGCACGCGCTCTGCCGCGGAGCCGCCTTCCCAGCCCCTGAGCCACCTTCCCAGCCCCTGAGCCACCTTCCCAGCCCCTGAGCCACCTTCCCAGCCCACTGAGCCACCTTCCCAGCCCCTGAGCCACCTTCCCAGCCCCTGAGCCACCTTCCCAGCCCCTGAGCCACCTTCCCAGCCCCTGAGCCGCCTCCCAGCCCCGGCCAGTATTAAAAAGCACAGGGCGACAGAGCAAGACTGTGGCCGGCTGCAGCAGCTGATCACCCCGGAGCTCAGACAGCCACCTTTACCACCAGCACTTCCACTTTGAAATCTCTGAGATCCCACACATTTCCCAAACAGGGCTTCCCTCCAAACTTGGCCAGAGGCCCCCCAAGCACCTGCTCATGACGCAAAATGTAGCTGACACACTAGGGACCAGCCAGGTAGTGAGGGAAGACCAATCCCCTTCCCCCAAGCCAGATAAGGACCAGGACCACTGACAGGTGAGGAATAGCGGGCAGACCCAAGGCCTCTGAAACAGGCTCTAAGAACTTGATCTTCCCGTTCACCTGCTGCTCTGGGCCCAGGACTCCACTGAAGTTGGCAGGGTCCCCTCCAGGAGCTGGGGACAGACTGCTGGGCCTGGGAGGAGAGCAGGCACACCGAGAATGCAGGCCGTTTGCACAGTCAGAGGGAAGTCCCACTTCACGCCTGAATTCTCCCCCGGAGGAGCCAGGGCAGCTGCTGCTTCCCTATCTGTGTATGAGCGAAGGCGCATGTGACAGGCAGCGTGTCCAGCAGGCCTGTCCCCACAGGACACTGGGGGCATCAGCCAGTGCACCCCCCGGAGAGATTCTACAGGCACCGGGCTGCATCAGACATGTGGCAAAGTAAGGCAGGCTGATAAACACAGCACAGAGAAGCTATCAGCACCAGCTCACAACGGCTGTCATGAGCCGGAAAAGCTAAGGACCTTGCACTGCTCCATAGCACCCAAGAACACAGACTTGCATCTGCCTGAGGCACCTCAGCAGGTTTTGAGAACCATGGGAGAGGGGTTGGCCATGGGCAGGCCAACAGCACCTGCCCACAGGAGGATGAGCCCTCGGCCAGCCTGGGAGATACCAGGTATACTACAGTCACACCTGGGAAAGCACGGTCTGGCAGCGGCAGGCAGAGCTGAAAATGCAGTTAGGTAAAGGCCGAGGGACAGGCTGGGAGTCCTGGCCCTACCACTGACATTGCCGGCTATGCTGCTGCTCCTGAAACACAGTTTCAGTTTTGCAAAATGAAAAAAGTTCTGGAAATTTGTTGTACAACAGTAAATATCCTAACTAGAAGTAGATGCCACAACTGTACCCTTGCTACTCCGTAAGAGAACAAGTTTGAGGCTACTCTGGGCCTAAGGTCACCCTGGGAAACCCAGAGACCCTGTTTCAAAAGAAAGAGGCAGCAAGAACAAGTGTATATGTTCACTTCACCAGAACATTCTCAAGTGGCTGTCGGCTGAGTCTATCCAAGGCCCCCTGTCAGGCAGCAGGAGGGTGCCTGACCCTTTGCACTGCCCACTGGACGCAGCAGAGCCTCCCTCCAGGAAAGTAGCACTATAAACTTACTCGGTCGCTAATGGAGCCACGCATGACTGTCAAGAGTGCTAGAACAAGTCATTTTGGGATTGCCGTTTCCCCCACTTTGTTGCTGCTCTTAACATCGTTAGGAACAACTAGTATCTATTGAGTGCTTCCTCATAGGCACCATGCGTGGTGCGGTGCTGCATTAACTTTTGGGCAAATGAGAAAACTGGCACAGTCAAGTTACAGACCCCGATGAGACCTTGGGTGCTGCTGTGCAGAGGAGTCAGGACTCCCAGCCTCCAGCTGTGCCCCCCACGCTAAGGCAGGCTGAGCTTCCCCCTGAGCCAAACGCAAAGCCAGCTCATGCACAACAGGTCTGACCTCCACACCCCACACTGCGTTCCAAACTATTGCAGAGTCTCGCACGCACACACGCACGCACGCACACACACATACACACACAC